TTAGAGGCTAGCGGTGTTGAGGCATTTTTGGGTGTTCCACATGTGGGGGTGTCCCGGATGTGGGTGTGGGACGTTAAATCTTTATGCATGCTAGACATCTATCCATATTCTAACTCAGTAATTACGACAATCTTTCATTTCTCGATAACTCGGAAGCTAATCTTCAACTAGATTCTCGTAATTATCAGTTTATCGCGGAAATACAGGGCGTTTAATGCTCTGAGTCTGACAACCGCCGCGCGGATCTTGCAGATCAAGCACTGGGAATGGTTAGGTGCAAAACCCTACAATAGAGGCAGGAGTAGCTGAAGCGGCCTATCTTTCGAAAGTTCGAAGGATCCTAGGTTTCGGAGGGCGATACAGCCGTATTAGAAGCTTCGCGATGGTGTAAGCCGGCAAAGTCTCGATATAAGCTGCGAAAGCCCATCCAACCAAGAGCATTTCGTAGAGGAACTGCAAAATCCATCAACGGTAAGCCTCTCCACGGTCGTTCCACGGTCGTTCACATACCAGTTATACTTGTAATATGCAGGTAACGCCCCTAATACTATCAGTAATTATTTAATACGTTAAACTCCAAATAGGCAATGTTTAATAGGGCGTACATTAATAAGTACATCAAGTCCCAACGTCGAAAATGCATATTTGGACGAGCTAAGTAAAATTAGCTTGTCTAGGATTTTCACTCATATTAGTCTGACGCGCGATCCATATGCTCGATGAGACATAATTCCCAACGAAGTATAGGAGGACATGTCAAGGTCCCGAAACAGCAACGGGAAGACCTAAACAACGGCTAGAGTCGATACAAAGGCCATAAAAATGAAAATGATATTCGCGGTCGGACTAGGCAGATTCAGGCGAAGCAAACGCAACGTAGGAAGATAGTCTAACAATAGTAACGCAACTTCTACTTCTATAATTCAGACATGCGCCTCGTAGATGCCGAATCGCGGAGAGCTTCATTGGTTAAGCACCTCAACCACCGTGAATGGAAACCCGGGCCGTGTATTTCATTCACTACCTCCTCGGCCGCAGTCGACTCTCTGCTGCACATGAGAGCCGCCAAATAACAATGCGCCCAAAACTCACCGTTATCGACTCTAATAGTGGACTAGAGACTGGTTTGCCCATTCTTGACATTCCAGATAAGATGGGCTATTACGACATTACGGATTCCTCCAGGAGATCCAAAGAATACTATATTGACCATTAGGTTTGCCTATGGTAAGTCATAGAGGATGGAATTATTGGTCAGTTGGACTGAACCAACCCTGTGAGCATTGAAAATTGGTAATAGGAAATCTCTAAACCCACTTTCGAGCAGTTCACCGTGACTTCTTCGACAACAGATGACGCAGGCACATTGGTAACGGAATCCGGGGTGGAAAAATCTATGAAATATGCCTTGAATGGATTGCAGAGCGCTCTTGATAACCTATCCAATAGGTCCTACACAGTCTACCCTTGCAAATGCCAATTAATTATTTAAGCCTGATCAGTATACAGAATGAGTGCCCCCGGGTAGTCTGTGACGCCCACAAGGCGACACCGGTTCGCCACCTAGAAGTAGAAGCAGCAGTCCCGCCACTAGACCTCTATCTTAGTGCCCGGGCGGCTAGGTTTGAAGAACGGTTACGGAGTAGCGGGAAGAGGAATCTGCTTCGCAGCGCGAGCGTCAAAGCGTCATATATACTCCGGCAGTATGGGCCGTGGAGGAGGAAACGGGCGTCGCAGTTACTCCGACCGGCGGGTACATTATAGAGAAGGAGGCCCGGGGCTCAGAGTGGATAGACGGGGAGAAGGAGGTCCCGGCTGCCCTACTAGAGAGAAAGGTAGCTCTCTGGAGCAACGCAGTCGCTGATAAGGCATATCAAACAAGCAGCCTTTATATTTAGTGTGGCCATTAGGGCACGGTTTGACATACGGGAGTACTTGTAGAGGTGCCGGGAGCTTTGAGCCTACGGCGTATCTAATAATAGTAATAATATTTAAGATGCAAACTGTCCTCCCAATACTCAAACTTCCAACATTTTCTAGATGATGGGCAGGTCTCAGATACGGATGATGGAATACATAAGACTAATAAGGCAGATGACATAATCAAGATGGCTGAGGGGACTGACACCAACATCTGTCATAATCTGGACGAACCTGGGAAAGGCATTCATTACCACAAATCTAGCCCGTGTTTGCAAGGGTCTTAGAATTTGTCAATTTCGTAACAGCCACAACTGCTAGAATGAGGGGTTGGTCTGCGGACTACTGTGGTTTCTTCTTTGAAACCTTCCTCCAACCTGTACCCCTGCATCCTGGAAGACTCATCCGTAACACCCGGCAGATGTATCCAGCAATCCCTGAAGATCCAAAACCCTAGTCAACAAAATTGCTAGACATCGCCCAATATCACCAAAGTTGTTGTAGCGCAAGAAGTAACGGCCTCGTTACTTCTATGTTATTCCTAGGAGATTCTGAACTGAGCTGCACTAACTGCTAAGGTTTGGGCAAGTTATTGTATCCGAGACTATGAAATTTGCAGACTTGTAGAATAAGTTTTTTCAGCTTTTGTTTAATACTGTCTCATGCAAGTCTACGGCTTATGAATACAGTAGACCCTAGCGGGTACGTACTCAGTCCTACATACAAGACCTGAGCCTGTACTGCAAATCTTTATCCCTCATAATGATCACTTTTCCCTGACACTTTGATAGTGGAAGCTCACTAGTGGGCTGTGGACCTAGGAACGTGCCCAAATTCTCCTAAATGAGAAAGATCTATAGTTACAGCCCCAAAACAATGTTGAAAGATAATCTGAGTACACCTTCATCCTTTGCCAATCTTCGAACAGCACTGTTTCACTAATTGGCCTTCTTTACCAACTCGAAGGCAAAAGCAACCAGGCTAAGCCACCAAAGCGTGTAGAATAGCCTCATGGGAAAGGATAGTGGTGCCATCTCCAGACCCAGCTTGGAATTCACCAATCCTAGTGATCGCATCCGTTCTGTCTTTCAATACCTTCGACAGGGAATTTCGGATGCTGGTACCAAAGATGGCGATGATCCAGCAATGCAACCCCAGTGCCTGGCTTTCCGCCTCTGAAGCCGTACATATTCGTCGTCTGTCAAGATCGGATTTGCAGAGTGAACTCCACTCCTGCTGTTGGACGAGCACTGTCGCTGGTTTGGAGATCCAGCGCTGGAACCCAGAGTGAGTTTGAGTGGGCTGCTGGCAGCTATATGTGCCAGGGCACCTTTTGCGTTGGTGATGTGGTGAATCGATTGTCTCAGGGAGTTGCCGTGCGGCGACGTGCAGTTCCAAGATGGAATCCAGGAATCCTCTGAAAGGGAGACGAGAGAGGAATGAATGCTCAGAGGCTTTTTTCCCCCGCAAAACTAAGCATGGCAAAGGCTGCCGTGATTGAAACCTAGAAACAACGATGGTAGGGACAAATAGTTTCGTAAAGATGATGTTGTTGGATTTTACCTTGCATGTTTCGAGGCTGCCAATTTTGTATAAAGACGCAGCAATAAGGAACCTGTATAGAGAGGATGTTTAAACTTGAACTATGACTTAGTAGCGTCTCGACCTGCCGTTACCTCGCGCGTTCGATTATGCTCATGGTAGCGAAGCTAAGCCTGAAAGAAAGCCGTCGGCAAGGCAGATCCAGCACATAATAGTAACTTCGTGATATAGAGCCAGCCAGTTCTCTCGGCCCCTGTCAGCCGAGTATGCAGCGCAGCAGCCTACAAGGTCTCTACTTAGAACCGCAATATCCAAAATCGTCCTTCTTCCTTGAGAGTTCCATGCCTCAGCTTTACAACGTCTACGGGTCTGCACCATTCAACTACCATAAATAGGCGCTAGCAAATATAACACGAACGCCCAATAACTACCTACGTAGCCGGCGGCCAGGGGTACTAAACGAGTCCTGCAAGCTCGACGCAACGAGGACGCTTCGGCGGCCGCAGCGCTAATGTAGCGCCGAACACAGCCGCCAACGACTATTAGTGAACGATTAGATGATATAGAAGCGGAACGTCCATCATCCGACGCAACAAATCCACTTAGGCGGTTGCGGTGCTGACGTAGCGCTGAAGCAGGTGCAGCTAGCCCGGCTAATACTGCTCAGTCCGCAAGAGGTTCTCTGTGGAGAAGTGTATGGCGACAATTATGCGAGGACGAATTTTATGTCGGTTGTAACTACACACTATGAGCGGAGAGTTTCACCATAAGAAATATGAAGCTCAAAGAAACAACTATGCCTCGGAAACATATAGATCATACGGCTGAATTCTCCTTAGGCAGTTGCTGCACTCTACACGGGGTTCAGATTACCAGACGGATTTCCAAAAACCATCAATAGGTTTTATTACAATGAATAACAAGAATTTTTTTTCAACACCAACATACTGGGGATCTGCTTGAGCTAATTCCGTGCAACAATGGAGACTATAGGAGTTGTGGTTATTGTCGTACTAAACCTTGGTGCAAGACTGAGTAGAAACATGGTATAGGCAACAAGTCTGTAATAAAGATATTGACCGGAAAGACCCAGCCCGTGGGAAAGTCTTGGACAACCCCTTTAACCTTTCATACCGAATTTCAACCACGATGTTGACCCTTTGACCAGCTTTGGAAGACTGAGACATGTGGTCAGCTAGTGATGATGCCACAATCCCTGGATGGATCTCTCCGTTCATCCCATCACTAAACTTACCACATTCCACGCATCCATGCCGCCGCCCCCCGTTACTATTCATCTAAAAAAACACTTTCAAAACATATATAAGTCCATTCGCTCTTTTATTATCACTTGACTATAACAAATGGTATAATATACGATGGGAGAAAATCAACCCCTTATATGCTCCGGTCAAATGCCAACACGTCGAAAATCATTTCATCTGTGGCTCGCTCATCCCATCCAATCCAGACGCCTTGCATGATGCATATACATACAGCCATTGTCGTCTCATTTCATGGCGGCAGTCTCGATGTTTGCGGACCATTTTATGCATTGGGACACTAGCAATCGATGCGGCATGGTCCCGTCGAGTGCTCTGTTTGGTAAGGTAGGTTAGGTAGGTTCGGTTGAGTTCGGCCGACTTCGTGTTTCTTTCTCTTCGTGCCGTTATTCGTTTGGTATTGCGTCTTGGGGGTTGGTATTCTGTATGCCATTGGTTTCAGCCCCGGCTTGAAAATGTCGGTGCTGGTCATTCTCTCGCGACCCAAATTCATTTTAGTGTTGTCCGCATCGCATGGGAGGTCACCGCTGTTCGCTCCCGCTTCTAGACCTCGGATGCGCACTCGACGGCTCGACAATTATCTGGGGTAGTCCCGTGGTGAGCCTCAAACTAGGAAGTTGAGGAGCCCCACCAACACCCCTAGATGAACGTGCCGATGGGCCCGCCGAGGTGTGACTCGACCTCCTTGACAGATCTCCATCATCCAGATCGGGGCTGTGCATCATACTTGGCGCATGAGCGCTGAGCCTGCGATCCCGCATCGTCGGGCCTGAGTACTCGGGTGGTGGCTCGTTAAATAGTGGCGTAGTGGCACCTGACCGAGGAGTATCATCCAAGCTCACATCATCGTAGCCCGGCGGGCTGTGCGGCGGCATGCCCTCATCGCCTAAGTCCGCCTCGATCATCTCGGGGCTGGATCCGGCACGGCCCGAGCGCTGCGAGCCACCCGTGTGCTGGGCTTGCAACTGCGGCGTCGTTGCGCTGCATCGCGGTAGGCCGGGCGAAGGGAATTCCTGGTTGCTGTCGAAGCTCAGCACAGAGCTGGCACTTCGTTCGCGGCGATGTGTCGATAATGTAATGCTAGCTGCATCCGACAACAATCCGACCCTTTCGCTCTCTGCGCTGTTGGCACGAAGCCTCGTGCCGTCAAGCCTGGCAACACCGAGATCAGCGTAGCTCACACTTGACACGGCCTGCTGGCGTTGGATTCGTATCCGCTCTTGCTCCTCGCGCAACTCTTCGACGGTACTGGAATGACTGGCAGCACTTTGGCGCTGGCTGAGTTCGGCGAGAGCCACCATATCGCCACGATCCCTTGCCTCTCTCCGTAACCGCCTCCGCTCTTCTCTCTCTTCAATTGCCTGTCGTCTGGCCAGGCGAATCCGATACATCGTCTCCATTTCGTTCTCGCGCAGAGCCTCCTCTTCCTCGGCATTAGGCAATTCCACCACCACGTCCACGCCATCTCGCTCACCCTCACGACCTAGCACCCGTTCGTTTTCATTGGCTTTTGTTCGATAGGCAGGTAACGTCATTATCGACCGGATTGACGTATTCCTGTCTACGGTCGCTTGCCTTTCCCTCGCCCTATTTGCTTCTGAGATCGCCGTATCGAAATTGGGGGGTGGCTGGAGAGCACGAGCTAGAGCTGCGGAATATCTCGATGATACACGTTCATTGCCATCGGTTTGCTGGTAGCCGCCTCGCTTCTTCCCGTTGTTCGCCCTGTTCTTTCTCCTCGCACAGATGAAAATTCCAGCAATCGCTACGATAGCGACTACGACTATGCCAATGATCTGCGACAGGGCAGAGCTCATGTTAGCTGGACTACGAATGAAGCTAAGCAACAGCTATGCTACGGAGAAAACATACTATGAGGTAACCTTGTGTCGGCCCTTTGTCATTACTTCTGCGAAAAACCCTCCTTAAACTGAGGTCATTGTCGATTGACCGGAGAACCAGTGGTGATCGGTGTGGGAGGATCATCGTGAACGAGTGACGGCGGTTGATGGCGAGCCCGCCAAGAAGAGAGCAGACCGACAGATGCAAGGCAAACGGCGAAGACCCAGGACGAGCGCTGTTGGCATAAACGTAAGAACGACAACAACACTAGTATTAGGGTGGTGTAAACACAAGAAATTCAGAAGATTGGAGGTTTCCAGAATGAAAAGGCGGCGAATCTTGAGTTGAAGATGACAGAGGAAGAGGCTGGAGTAGCGAGCGGCGATGCCGTACTGCGGGTAGGCGATGTGGGATATCGCTTTCGTAATACTTAGTCGAAGCAATTTCTTGGCTGCTAAGATGTCTGGACTTGGGTGGGTGCTAGTACACTGCATACGAGATCGGCGAATGCACGGCTGAGGTACCCGCGCCGAGGGTTCGATGCTACCTTGGATGCAGGGATTGATTTAGTGCACAAGCTGGGCGGGAAACGTTCTCTGACTCGTGTTGCGTCTGCTAATGAGTCTCGTCAAACGGAGTAAATGTGAAGATATCTCGAATAAATTGACGAGCAGCGGAAAAGGCTTGGGGAAGAGTCGAGTTGAGACCAGATTGTGGCAGAAATTGTATTGCGGTTAAGTGGGACTCGTCCCTGGGCCGACATGAAATCATCAAGATCGACGTTTGACAGCCACAGGCAGTCCACAGTCCATACAAGACAACGGTACAAAAGATGCTTGCGCGTGTCGCGAGCCGGGATCTTGTTCTTTCAAACAGCTTTTCACTATGGGGAAAGAGACTCCAGGCCTGACTCTAGAACGGTCGTAGAGTTGTGATGCGTTTGCCCAAAACTCTGCGACGCTACCGGGAGGTTCCGAGCCGTCCTGACTTGGCCTGGCAAGGTGTTCGTGTGCAGGAAAACAAGTTGCTTAACGTCTGCCTGATGGTGTGGCGAAAGTCAGTTGATGGTATATTAGGGTCGACAGTGATGTAGATATGTCGGGTTGGATCCTTCGATTCTGCACCTCGTCTATCTAGCCCATCACCTGTTCCTCATGCGACCGAGAAGCGCCAGACGGTGAAGGCCAGGCTGTGTGGCAGAGTCTTAGATGATGCGAAACGCAAAGGCCCAAAAGTCCCGGGGTTATATCTGCCTTGCGCCAACCCGCAGTTTGCGTTTGCAGGGCAACTGCAAATTTCGGAAGCCATTGTTATGACTATTTACAGAAACGTGCCCCGCCCGTTTCGGCCTACGAACACTCCATTAAGCCCGGTCCCGCAGAGACCCTGCAACTGTGCCCTTTCCTTTTCTGCCAGCGATTTCGCCAGCATGCTGCAACACTCATTTTTGGGGGGTGAATGCGTGCAGTGTGTCGTAGCAACTACTACGGTATTCTCCCGGCGCTTAACACTGCTAGAGTGTTACACAAACACGCCTTAACGATAAGATGCTGTGTGAGCAGTGAAAGACTTGGTCCTGTGGCTGGGTCAAGAATCGTCAACCACCGCCTCCCTGAGAGTTAATATAAATTTAACAAACCATATTTGATCTCACCGCGTGGTTCTTTTTTGTCTTTTTTGGTTTTTCATGTTGCATGACAGATATCGAAACACCTTAGCACCTGCTGACCTTGCGTCCGGTTCTCTTTTGCAATTGATGTCTCTGATTACATTGGTTGCTGCAAGGTACGAACTTCCCTCATCTACGGCGCAGTTACGAGCAACAGGAGGAATCCCACTACACTGAGACACTTGACTTAGATCTGACCACTCATCATCGCCTCCACAAACAACACAGCTTTTCTGCAGCACGGAGTCTGACCAAATCTTTTAGCCTTGAATTTTGGGCACATGGAAACATGAATCACGAGTCAGCAAAAACCACGTCTTCTGCAAGTTTGACGAAGAATTGCGAACCTTGCGCCTGTCTGGGAATGGCGATAGGGCTGATGATGTGATGTTAACTAGCCCATCCCCTCTATAGTGATCCAACCCGACAGACGGACAGTATTTGCTATCCCCTAGACTGAACACTTGCGCCTTCCATCATTGAGCTCCCGTCTCACTCTCCAGAGGTCGACATTGCATTCGTCGTGGTACACGGAAGCAAAACGCGAGAACTCATTGGGTGCCCCCATTGGTCGACTGGACGGCCACCTCACTGCCGTGTCCCGTAACACGACACACCCGAAGGAACGAAGGAAAAAAAGCTAGATGGATGGGCTGTGCCACACGTCGCCAACGCCAACCTGACTCGCGTGTGGCGCAATTTTGCCTCGCCTCTGTTTGCTGCGAGGATGGCTTTAGTCACAGCAGTCCCGAAGCACAGTTCCAATACTTTCGGGCTCCGACTTGAAGCCTACATGAATTATATCGTCACACAAGTTGGCTATGCTGTCGTGTTCCCAATTTTCGGCGCTGGGATGCAATAAACATGTTGCGAAACATGCCATTTGGAATGTAAGTCGGGTTATGCGGTGCCAATCGTCTCTCCGTCGTCATTGCAAGTTGCGTCAGAAGCGTGGAGTGAAAAGTTGAAGCCGGGAGCCGCTACGAAACCTGAGAAGTACGCGGTGAAAGCTCGAGGGAAATAAAACGACATGTATTGTGCTTATCAATATAAGAGACTGTACATCTAAGCGACGGCACGAAGTTATATAGCCACGGCATTTTATAGAGATCTTACGACCACGATCTAAGAGTACTGATGGAATTGCACGTGTTCAATAAACTCCTGAACTCATCACGTCATTCTAACTACGATCCCCAGATATCACTACAGACCAGTTTAGCCAAACACCTAACCCACCACGCCCCATCCCATCTGCCCCCTTATCCAAACTTTTTCTCAAACTTCTTCAACATCCCCGTAACCCCCCTCTCAAGCCTATCCGCATTATCCCCCAACTTACTCCTCCCCTCCTGCTTGGGCTTATATTGCACAGCCTGCGCCGCTTGCTTCCCCTGCGTCTGAAGATACACCTGCTGATGTATTCCATATTGACTTCCCCCTTGCGGCGTCGCGCCCGGGTTCCCGTAATTATACTGCGAATAACCCCCCGGAGGCGGCAACCCGGGACTAGCCAGTCCCTGACTCCCCGGCGGGGGGGTTGGCTGGTGGGGCGCAAAGCCCGGCGAGACCGGGAAGTTCGACCCATAAGGAGATGCAAGCCCGGGGGAGCCGAGAGCCGCTGTCCCCGGCATGGTGGCCGAGCGCTGGAGGTTGCCGAACTGGGAAGGTGGGAAGCCGGGGCTCGCTATGGAGGGGTGTTGAGCAAAGGGGAAACCCGGGCTGGCAAGGGCAGTGTGTTGGGAGGGTGGGAAGCCCGGACTGGTTACGGAAGGGTGAGCCCCCGTGGGAGGGCCGGGAGGACCGGGGAAGCCAGGGCTCAAGGGGCCGTTGGGGCCGAAGCCCGAGGCGTAGGCCGGTGCGTGGTCCCGAGCTACGGCTGCTTGGAGGGGGTCAAGGCCGTCGTCTTCGGGCGGTGGAGGGGTCTTCTCTCGGTGGCGGATCTGCTCTGGGGCCGCGGGTGCGGCGGGATTGTACGCCATGGGGGCGAAGCTTTGTGGTGAATCAGAGGCCCCGTGTACAGCGGAGATAGGGGGGGGGTCGAACGAGGGTACGCCGCTTTGTGATGACGGCTTGGGCGTGCTGTAAGGCGGGTCGGATATAGCAGCGTTTTCGAGCTTCTGAACCAGAGGATTCAGCTCCTGGTGGTGATAGCTGCCAGCGTGGTGCGGCGAATGTGCTGGTGGGCCGGGCTCGTCTAGGACTTCAACTTGAGCTTGAGGTAAGACGCGGCGGATGCCGTTGACGAACTGCAAGGCGTCGGTTTGAGTCCAGAAGTAGATGTCAAGCGAGTGAAGCTTGTAGTGGTATTTATTTTCATTTCGAGGGTCGTATGTCGGTAAGTGCCACTGACTTGGGTCTACCGGCGCACCGGGGATACCGTCCACGGTAATGGTAACGAGGCATTGTTGGTTGTACGAGTATCTCACTCGAGTGTTGTCAAGAACTGCGTTTATATCGAGTCAGACTTGAATTTCATCTCAGTGAGGAAAAACATAATTGTCGTGCGCTCTTACATCCATCGAATGCATCTTGGTCCTCGGTGCCGGGCTGGTTCGCAACCTCGATACGCGCCCTCCGATCATTCGCGTTTTCGAACAGATAAATGTAAGATCCCTTATCGAACCGATGATGCGGTGGGTTGGCAGTCGGCGGGCCATAGAAATAGTGAATGTCCCCAAAGCTACTCGGTGGCCGATCGTATCAGTCATCGCTAGGCTCCCATTGCTTGAAATTGGAGCCTGCTTGTACTTACAGGGTCGCAACGTTCTCCTCTCCCGGCCGAACTGCCATCTTGACTTGTCGCAACCGCGATGAGGGGTTCCCAAGTGTACCGCCTTTAGAACAAGAACACCGAGAATCAAGGGAAAGAAGAAAAACCCAATAGCCTGGAATAAGACACCAGATTTTTGCTTGCGGCGATCGTTGCGACCTGGCGCAACTCGAGCTTGACAATAGAAATAACGGAAGAAAGAGAAGATCTGACCTACAGCTCCAAAACGTCACAGAAACAGCCCAACCACTTGGTGACGATCATTCCGGTCCACGGCGTCTAAACAACAATTAACTTACCATCCCCTGTACTGGGCTGCATTGCTTTCGATTCCTGTCTCGGTGTCAGCGCTTACTGCTGTACCTTCAGAGGACTACCACTGATGATGGTGGGGTTGCCCCATGCCGAGAAACGTAGTGGGAGCTGGCCAATTGTCGCACAGAATTGATTGCCAGCCCAACTTGCCGCAGGGATCATAGCCCGAACGTAACCACCCCCCTAGCCCACTCGGGCCTTTCCTTTTCCGCAAAATCTCGACTTGGTGATAGCTTCAGAGGAATTTCGCTATTCAGAAGCCGCTACCGCCAATTCGCGATCTTCCGACGGCAGCATTGAGCCAGGCGTGGCTGGTTTCTGTTCCACAGTCGTCAGTCCATACGAACCCCAAATTGGCCATCTTCCAATCTAATACTAACACCCTCAGCTCCCCGGCACAACAAACCAACCTCGATTGCGAACACCTTCCTCCACGTCAATCCGCCCGCCAGGGCAACACCCACCGCCAAAATGCCACACCAAAGCATAGCCCACATCTGCTCACACATGCAAAACGCCTCGCGCGCACGCCTAGCCCTAACCTCTACCCCCCACTCGAAATTCCACCTCAACCTGCTGCTCTCCATGCAGCGAACAGGCTTCCTCAGCTTCGTGACGCGCGGCGGCCTCCACCCGCCCGATCCGGCCACTCTGAGCACCTACGTCCCTCCTCCGCTGACCTCGGCCAACGTCGCAAAGCAACGACTGTGGGTCGGGCTGAAGTACAGCAACAACGAGCCCGTGCTGAAGCATATGAAAGTCATTTCGAAGCCGACACGGCCCGTGACGCTCAAGTTGGAGGATTTGGAGAGGATTGCTAGAGGGTGGGATGCGGGTGGCAGGATGATGCAACGGGGACTGAATTTGGGCGAATGTATGTTCGTCAGTACGCCGAAGGGGGTTATGGAGATTCGGGAGGCCGTGGAGAGGAAGATGGGTGGGCTGCTGTTGTGCCGTGTTTCCCCATGATCGAGGCAATGGATGTAGGTGATGTCGGCCATGGACTGCATTTTTTATCCCTATGGAGGAGCACATAGGGAGAGGGATGCTGGAACTGTACGATACTGGAGCAGGCAGGGTCAACGCAAGCTATCCTTGGATCACCCCAAAGTAACTAACATGGCATCGAGAAGTAGGGTATGGAAATGTATCAAAAATATACGACGACATTGACTCTGTATCATACCACCACAATGCAAATGCAACAACTACTCTTACTCTGCGACGCCTGGGAAGCAAGTTACGATGTTCATGCCCGTGCGGCGGCACCATCGAATAGAACGGTGGCTTGATGAAGCCATGTTTCCTGTTCAGTCTCGCAATGAAGTTATTTCATCTTCATTCTGAAAACCCCGTTTTCATTGCCCGCTGCGCGCTTCGCGCTTCGCGGCTATCAAATTTATGGGGGCAGAATCAAAGTTAACACTAAGGACTTCGACTCTTCAACGTGATATTGTAACTGATTCTAGGAAATTGAAGTCTCCAGTTGCCCACCACCACGCGTTCGAACATGATAGAAAGAGCGACATGTGTCCAGAAAGGAGTCAACCCGACTCCTGTTGTTTACGAACCAGGCTACCGGAATCCATTGACATGAGCCAGTTCTCACAGGAATCACTACGCAGACTGCTCGATAGAGCGTGAGCATGAAGATCAAATTCAGATACAATAAATGTGAGAAGAGGTATCCATTCAAACTAATGCTACTCCCCTCTCTTGGACAACCCTACTTGAGTACTTCAATGACCGCCTTCTAACTAACTAAACCCTCATTGTTACACCGACACCATTTGCTATGCTCCAAACACCCCGTTTGCTCCAAAAGGTATCATCAGCGCCGAACGAAACAATTAACAAACTTGACAGTATTGAATTTTTTTGTGCCACCCTCATTGTTCGTCATCATCGTGGGTGAAAAATATGGATACAGTCGACTCCGGCATTTTCCTTCTGTTTTTACCGATGCAGCGACATTGATCTCCCCATGAAACCAGTCAAACCCCCGATCCCTACCTAAGCAGTCTCGGTCATTCCCTCCTCGGTCTTCTCGGCTATAGCGGGAATCTCGGCAGGCGCCGGAGTTACAGGCTCATCCTTCGGTGTAACTGTTCCATCCAGGGTTATAATGTCTCCGTTGATCGTTTTGATCTCCTCGTCGGGTACGGAGTCCTTCTCGGCGGCTGATTCGGAAGGCGTCTCGGAGGTCTTCTCAACTACCTCGGCGACCTCTGCAACCGCCTCCGGTGCTGGCTGCTTGCCAGCATCTGTCTCTGCCTCCGCCTCCGCCCCCGCCTGTGACTTCTCCACAGCAACTGTGGTATCAGTCTCCTTTGAGGTCGCGGCCACCTGAATAATGTCCTCAGCGCTCTCCGCCTGAGCAACCACCGGAGCAAGCTCTCTTGCTGTCGGCTGAGTAGGCGTCTTTGGCGTCTTTGGTGCTGCCTTGGTCGAGTCTGTCTTTTTGACGATCGTGGGACTGGTGTCCTTGTCCTTTATGAAGACGTCGCCGTCCTTGCCCTTCGAACTGCAGCTGCTGGCCTTACTCGATATGGCAGTCTTAGCCGCCGCCTTTTTAACACCTGCCTCAGTATCACTCTTGCCATTAGATCGCTTGGCGGAAGTAGCTGGGGTGCTACCCTTTCTCGGGGGCGTAATGGGAGCCTTGTCAGCCGTCTTGCTAGAACTGGCCTGCGTAGGACGCATCATGCGGGCGAGAAAACTCTCGTCAACATGTGGCTCCTTCTTCACCACTGGATGGTCTCTAGCTGTGGGTTTCGGCGGCGGTCCAAAGCTGGGGCGAGGGCGATTGATGGTGGAGTTCTGGCGCTTCAGGCCCTTAGCGGTGTTCGTAGCTGCGACGCTGACTCGGCTGGCGGGTCTGGCAGCCACGTTGCCCGAGGCACGCGAGAGAGTTTGTCGGGGAGGAGGGTTGACGGCACCCGTCTTGTGAGCTGAGGCAGCCGTATGCGTGGTGAGACTAGGAGGAAGCTTGATTGGACGCGTAGGAGACTTGGGCTTGGGCTTGACGAAACCGGCGCTGGTTGGGGACAACTCCAGTGCTTGGGGCTTCTTGCCTGACATTGATGCCGATTTGGGGACTGCCGCCTTCTTATGAGTATCGTCCTTGGTTGTTGCTGTCGGGGCTTTCTGGGCTGGAGCATAGCTCGGAACTTTCTTCTCTGGAGCATGACTCAAGGCCTTGGAAGTCTCCTTTGTCGGGCTTTTGGGTACCCTGACTACTGCTGGAGACTTCAAAGGTTTCGATGCCGTCTTGGCCGATGTGGTGATAGGACCAGTTCTCGGAGGCTTGCTAGCGGGTGCGGGAGTAGGAACAGGGGCAGTTGTTGTGGTCTTTGCCTTGTCTCTCATACTTGCACTAGCACTTGGAGCGCCATTGGTGCCGTTCAAAACTACCTTGATGGTGGGATCAGCAGGAGTCAGCTTCGTCTTGGTCTCCTCCTCGTCTGTGATCTTGTCTGGGTTCGGGTTGGGTGTGATTTCAGCCGTTTCGACTCCCTTCTTCGGAGAGAACTTGGCTGGTGCATCCTGCTTGGGCGACTCCGGTATAGGCTCCTTGGCCAAGTTGGTCTTAAATGCTGACACGTTCTTGGCCATGTTTTCTACCAACGCGTCTTGCTTCTCGGGCAACGCTGCTGGTGTAGTGCTTTCTGTTTCGTCGCTAAACCTCCGAGTACTGGAAACGGACACGGAATCACCACTGGTGTTTCTCTTCAGTCCTATCCGGCCGTCTTTCTCGACGGCTACGAACGCTGTGCGGACCTTCGAAAGGGGTCGTGGGGACTGTGAAGGAGTAGGGGTTCCTGGATTGAGAACGCGTGTTAGCTATATAAAGGCCCAATACAAGAAACTGGTGCTGGAAGAAGCGAGAAGATGCTGTTGACTGCTGGCCAAATGGGATGCGAATGGTCGATATCGGCATTCCAGTGAAGGAAGAGATAGACGTAGGTTTTGATTTCGATTTGAAGTGTCAAATAAAGGAGAAGGTGCTTGCCATACCACGAAGCGACAGGTTAGACGACAGGTTGGACGGAGCTGGAGACCTCCCGCGGTCTTCAGGAGCATTGTCGCTGCCCCTTTGCTCGAACATCGCCCGCAGATTCTTTACGCCTCCAGACATCATGAAAAGCTCCTTCTCCAAACGGGGGATCGGGGTCGTTGTGGCAGAGGATTCAGGAAGTTGCGGTCGGTGTTGTTTGGATCAGAAAATGTCACCGGGGGAAGGGGCACTTCGCGTTTGTTGGCAAGTACATTCCCCGAGTTCCGTTGGTGCCAATTTGGAAAGTTTCACGAAAGGTCCAGTTTTGGGCGTTGGAGATCGAATGATCCTCGAGAAGCTGTGCGAGTGCGACAGGAAACTGTATATGATCGGAGGGTCGCGAAGTAAACAATGGAAGTTGGGAATATGCGAAAGTTGTTCAGATTGATGCCTGGTCGACCGGTCCGTGGTGGGATGTCGCGCGGTTTGGCCCTTAATTTGGGGAGATATGGGGTGGAGTTCAGGGGCACGGCAAGAAAGAGCTTAGCTCGTCTGAGAGTTTGAAACATTCAGTTATATATCACAGCTGCTGAAAGTAAAAAGCGATTCGGTGGCAATGTTTGATTTGAGCTCGAGGACACATGAGAACTATATTTTCCAAGGCATTTCACAAGCCAAGTGGTGGACGAATCCGTGAGTACCTTAGCTTAAGTGGCATAAAAGATGTCAGCACAGCATAGTACAGCCCGTGGTCTAAAAATAAACGACCCAATAATCCTTCATGCAATGGGCTATTAAAGGTAGAAAACGCACAATTACAGCTATTTCCAATGATATCCTACTACTACTGTATCGCATTGGTTTCCGCTCAGCTACAAGTTTAGGTTAGGAGAGCTGCTCTGAGCGGTGGCCGAGCAGCGAGCGGATATTCTACGAAGCAAGGGGAATATGCCAATTTGTTCGGAAGCGTCTTTGAGGCTATTAGGTTCATTGGGTCAGAAGTCTCTTTCATCAGGTCTTTGTGTGTTTGGTTAGGAAGTAGCTCGCATCAACACGTGTTTCAAGTCATTAAGTTTTCTTCTGCAGAACGCGCTTTACGCGTCTGATGCCAACGGTCAGACGAGAATGCTGCAATCAAGCTGGATTTCTCCCCAGTTCTAGAACCAAAACAAAGAACTCTTCTCCTCCTCTGTGACCAATCAGGCTGCAAGTAGTCTTCAGGACAGTGAAATTTGATTTCATCAAGCCGATATGGGCTCTCGAACTTCGCATGGGACAGCCTCCATTTATCTACGGCATCGGACCGTGCTCCCCTGAATCATACGAATCTCTCGGGTCAGTTCTGTGGAGTCGTGGGATAACGTACAACCCCACCTTTCCGACCACCCACCTTTCTAGCCACATATTGCAATCCAATTGAAGGTATTCCAAACAGTGTATTCAACATACTATTATAGCTATTCAGGTACAACCAGCTCTAATAGAAAGCTGTGCTCTAGGGCTTCCTGAGGTATAGATCTGATAGATTCTGACGCCTTAGCTGGGTCCAGTATTACCTGATTCCGACGTTGTACCGCTTTAATGGAGCAAATACGGCGACGTCGAGAGGTTGGAGCCCGTGAGAACAGTGTGCTGGCAAAAATAGTAACGAGATCTTGTTACAATAGGCTAACCACATAAACTCGACGTTGTCGTGAGCGATATGACCATCTAATATCAAGAGCCGCTGCTCGTCGGGATCAACTGGTTGTGTACGAGGTATAAAGATATCACGAAGCCATCGAACGGCGATATCTGTACTGATCCAACCGTTACACGAATAAGTATATTGCCAATCAGGTATATCGTCGCAATCGTTAAACCATTTCCCTAGATAGCTTCATCGACGCGATTGACGCGTCAGAATGGCTGAGGCCATCGCCGAGTCGTAATTGGAGGGTAGAGCGTGGAACGCCCTATCGGAGGGAAGCCTGGCGCTGGGATATCCCTTGATTGATATCGTTGAGAGCGCCTTGAATCGAATTTTCTGAATATCGAGGCATTGTATAATAATAGCCAATACCGACGATAATCTGTTGTGCCGAAGGTTGTTGTAGTTGGCAGATTAGGTGGCCGGAAAGGTGGGATTGTACATTATCCATGCGAACAAGATGCCACCACCTGCATCCCCACAGGCTAGCTCCCTGTGGCTGCCGAGACCGGGGAAAGTTGTCAATTGACGCAAAGCTTGGATTCAGGAAATTTTCGTCTCTTGAGAGCTTCATTGTGCCTACCCAAGCACATATCAAGGTGTGATCAATTGACTCTTCAAAATGGCTTCTTCTCGCCTGTTAAAAATTGGTCTTATTCCTGGTGACGGCATTGGCAGAGGTCAGTCTTTGGAGGTCATTTAATTCCTTTTTATGGCCGGCTTGAAAGGGTCCGATTTACTCCCGACACCATGAACATCTGGAGTGAACACTTGAGCAATGGCTGATTCCAATGATAAACAGAGGTCATTCCAGCAGGTCGCCGCATCCTAGAGGCGCTCCCATCCTCGCTAGGCCTCAAATTCGAATTCGTCGACCTGCACGCTGGCTTTCAGACCTTTGAGAAGACTGGTGCCGCCTTGCCGGACAAGACGGTCGACGTCCTCAAGTCCGACTGCCATGGAGCTCTCTTCGGTGCCGTCTCCTCGCCCTCAACCGCCGTCAAGGGCTACAGCTCGCCCATCGTTGCCCTGCGCAAGAAGCTTGACCTATATGCCAATGTGCGCCCCGTCAAGACCGTCATGAACGCCGCTAAGCCTATCGACATGGTCATCGTGCGCGAAAACACCGAGGACTTGTATGTCAAGGAGGAAAAGACCTACGACGCGACTGATGGATCCGGCAAGGTGGCTGAGGCCATCAAGCGCATCTCCCAGAAGGCAAGCTACCGTATTGCGGCTATGGCGGGCGAGATTGCTTTGAGACGCCAGAAGATCAGACAGGCGGGCGTGCCGAGCATACACAAGGGACCCCTTGTCACCATCACACACAAGAGCAACGTACTCTCACAAACAGATGGATTGTTCCGCTCTACGGCCCGTGAGGCACTGGCTCTCGCCAAGTTCAACAGCGTCGAGGTGGAGGAGCAGATCGTGGACAGTATGGTGTACAAGCTGTTCCGCCAACCCGAAGCATACGATGTCATTGTCGCCCCCAACCTGTACGGTGACATCCTGTCTGACGGTGCTGCCGCCTTGGTCGGTTCCCTGGGACTGGTTCCCAGCGCCAACGTTGGTGAGGGGTTCGCCATTGGTGAGCCGTGCCACGGCAGTGCGCCCGACATCATGGGACAGGGCATTGCCAATCCTATTGCGACTCTCCGCAGCACGGCGCTAATGCTCGAGTTCTTGAACGAAGAGGAGGCTGCTGCCAAGATCTACGCTGCGGTGGATGCCAACCTTTCGGAGGGCAAGCTGTTGAGTCCCGACCTCGGGGGTACCGCCAAGACGGAAGACGTCGTCCAAGACATCCTGAGGAGATTGTAAAATGGCACTGATGAGAGCAAGATAAAAATTGGAGTGTGACGCCCTCGGTGGCGAGGGATACTGTAGTGTACATCAAAAATATCATGATTCTACGCCGCCAGCAGTTCCCTTTTAGCATTGGACGCAATCAGGACAATCCGTTAGTCGTATACGCTTCAAAGCTATTTGAGGTATAATCGGCTAGCGAGGTACTAAGGAGCATACCGTAATATCCTCTATAATAGAGATAGAGTTATTAGTCCTAGTATAGGCAGCTGAGAGGTGAATATCTATCCCTCGGCTCGTTATAGAGCTTAGAGTCAACGTTAACGATAAATCAAAATAAATCTGATTTAATAATATATGAGGGATTCAATCCTCTATTGATGACTCTGCGTAGATCCTCTGTTGATTGGTCTATCTATCTGCTCTGTTGTGTCTTCCGTGTAGCTATTTTATCTATGAGGAAGGGTTTTGACCCCACTAGTGCAATTGCCGCTACACCGCCTTCGGCCTAGGGCATAACCGTGGCGCTCAATCCCACAATATATAGATAATGAGGCTCGTTAAGCCTAAAATACCTTAACTAAATACTTGATTACGCTTAGGTTCTATCTGTTCGAAGCACTTCGTCTGTTGGTAACTAAACTCTCTACTAGATGTTACGAATCTACGATTCTAACCAACGCAACAGGCCCGATGGCAGGCCCAGTGGATACAGGACAAAGAAGGAGGGGAAAGTCACACAGGAGTGGCTAGCTGCAGGAGGAGCCAGCTAGTGCAAGGATCACAAGTCACGTGAATTACAAGGGTGGATCATTTGGATATGAAATGATCCAACATATCCAGTTAGGACCAATAGTATCCATGAAGGATCTAATGGCCCCAGTTATCAGTGAAGGAGGGAATGGATATATAAGGGACAGGACTCCCAGGCATTTCATAGATAGACAGTCTCTACTTCAGTGATCAATCTAAGCATCAATCTAACCTGTCACGACCTGGGTTGCATCGCATTGGTATAGACCTCGATTAGGTGCTATCGACGAAGATTCTACTCTAAGGAGCGAAGGAAAGAAGATGACAACTTAGGTTTGAGGGAGCGCGACTAAGTCATCCACGCTTGGCGGGGCTCCTACAAGGGTTATGATTGGCTTCCCATCTGACACTGCCACGGCAGGTGTTCCAGCTGTAAGTCACCTGGTTGTAGTGAGTCTGCGAGGGTTGACCTTCACATAACCCATTGGTGAGGCAAACTGCCTTGACGACTCTATTCCCAGTTACCCTACTTGAATACTTCAGTTACCCAGAGCCCTATACTCCATACGTCAGACCCCGATATTATTGCTAAAGGACTCCGCAGCAGGACTTACTTACTAGCACAAACCCTTACAGACTCTTTAGTGGTTTACGCAGCTAGACTATTAGAGGTTTCGTTACACTAGATATGCGGAGATAGCGAAGACACGGACTGTGCTTCTAAATAGCTTCTGAAAACGACGTACGGTGACTATTGTAACGAAACCTCTAACAGTCTAGCTGCGTAAACCACTAAAGAGCCTGTAAGGGTTTGTGCTAGTAAGTAAGTCCTGCTGCGGAGTCCTCAAGCAATAATATCGGGGTTTGACGTATGGAGTAGAGTGCTTTGGGTAACTGAAGTATTCAAGTAGGGTAATCGGGAATAGAGTCGTTAAGGCAGTTTGCCTCACCAATGGGTTAGATTGATGCTTAGATTGATCACTGAAGTAGAGACTGTCTATCTATGAAATGCCTGGGAGTCCTGTCCCTTATATATCCATCTCTCCTTCACTGATCTCGTTGGATCACTTGGATCACGTCGCTCCTGGTGATCCCAAGTGGGGGATCACTCTGCCAAGCGTGATCCCTATCACGTGACCTTTTCCTTTAGTCGGGGGCCTAGTTGTTCCTTTCTGTCCTTATGGGGCTTTGTTCCTGCGGGGTTCTGTCATGGCCTATTGTAGGGCCTGTCGGGTTGGTTTTGGCCAGGTTAGAACCAACGGTTCGTAACAACTATTTCATACCTAGCTGCCATAACTCTGAACTACTACCGATTTAGTTCCGGATCGAGCACGATATAGAGCTTTTAGAGGGTCGTTATCTCTAGCAACATCTGTTGACGATGGGCAGTAAATGCACGCAGGTTCGAGGTGTGATGATGATGGCAACGGATAACAAGATCATCAACAAGACCTTACTATCCGGGAGGTGGAAAGAATAACAAAATCGAGAGCTTTCTTGCTCCGATCCGAATAACAAGAGTACCTCAGCAGGTACTAACAATCGACTGTGGCTCAACAGGCTAGAACAGATCGACTTGAACAATAAAAGTACCTCAACAGGCACGAAGAACAGAAAAAGATCTCAACAGGTCATCAGAACAACTGGTGCCTCAACAGGCGAAGGGAATGGAATCAAATTGCTATTTGCTTGGATACTTTCTTCTTCAAGAGAGAGTGACTATCACCCTCATTAGTTAAATGCATGTGGAATATAACAGATAGCCCATTCCGCAGCTATATGTAAGGAAGAGCCGTCAAGGCGGGCCGGTCTCAGCTGACAAACCGAGTCGGGAGGGTTTCGTCTCTGGTCCGGTAGAACTCCGCAACCGCCCCAGCCAAAGAGGAGATCTCGAGGCGCTCCCACGTAGGTTAGATTCCTCAAGAATCAGTCTTGCAATATACGCACCCATACCATTGGCGCACCATAGCCGCTCTTTGCACTACCTGACTATAATCGTGAGACGTGTGGTATCCCCGTTACACTATAGCCGTGGGGATTTAGTTTTACCGCTTGACGTGATGTGTAATAGTTGTCAGATACAAGGGGTCACGTGACTGACCAAGATCACGTAACTTCACGTAACTACCAGCCACTGGGACTTTGCCAGAAATCCTTCTGCAGAGCAGGTCACAGATAACAATAATGAATCCATCACACAGAACAGTCAGATTACCGTCGCAGCAAGGTCACAATAAGGTCACATGGCAAGAATCGTGAATATCTAACAATAGACTACAGTATTGCGTGTCATGCGTAACAGGCTGCTACAGTACTGCGCGTACTTTTCGTGAACAATTTTGATCACGTCCTGGCCACTACGTCTGAACTTCTCCGGGTTTCTTTAGGAAGCCACCTGCCGCGTACTTGGGGTTGGGGTTCGTATAAGTAGATGTATGGGTAAGGAGACAAACATGTTTCTTTTCCACTGTCCTTATATCCAAGTTCTCTCTTCCCAATCATCAGTCTTTGCCAGTCGTCTTTCATACCACTTGCTTGCGTCTCGACTACACTCTAGGTTGTCATATCCCGCAATTATCATCCTATCAACCACCTTTCCCCTTGATATCAAATAATCAAAAATCACTATGTCCTCCCTCAAGAAACTCAGAATCCTAATAACAGGCTGCTCCCCGGGCGGAATGGGCGCAACCCTGGCCATCGCCTTCCACAGTGCGGGACACCACGTCTATGCGACGGCGCGGAACCCATCCAAGCTGTTGCCGCTCGCCGCACAGGGAATCGAGACGCTGACCCTAGATGTGACGTCAGCATCTTCCATCGCATCCGCTGTCTCTTCCATCTCCTCCTCTCTACCAGACAACCAAGGTCTGGACATGCTCATCAACAACGCGGCGAGCACCTACACGATGCCCATGATAGACGTATCGCTGGACGCGGCGAGGGAGCTGTTCGACTTAAACGTCTGGTCGCAGCTCGCCGTCACGCAGGCTTTCTTGCCTTTGCTGCTTAGGTCCTCCACCACCACCGCTTCTGGAGGCGGCCACCCGACCCAGGCCATGATAGTAAACCATACCTCCGTCGGGTCTGTGTTTGCGCTCCCGTTCCAAGGTATCTACAACGCGTCCAAGGCGGCGCTCGCCATGCTTTCCGAGACGATGCGTCTCGAGCTGTCCCCTTTTGGGATCCGCGTCATCGATCTTAAGACGGCGGGGGTGCGGACAAACTTGATTTCCAACAACAACGTCAACTCCAAGGCCGAGGTGCTGCCGGAGGCGTCAATATACGGACCAGCCCGCGAGGTCGTCGAGAGTGCCATGAGTCAGAGAAATCTAGGCGAGATAGGCATCACAGCGGAGCAGTGGGCCGCCGAGGTGGCGGCGCTGCTGTTAGGGAAAAGCCCACCGGCCGTTATCTGGAGGGGCGAGAGCGCGCTGATGGGCCGGGTAGCGAGTTTGCTGCCGTCTGGCATGTTTGAGGGGAGGCTGAAGAGGCTAAGCAAATTGGATATAGTGGAGGAAATTATCAAAGAGCATAGGAAGTGATTTGGGGCGGGCAAACGAGCAAGCGTGACAGGATAAGTGTTGGTAATTAGCGATAAATAGCAGGAATGGCCTACTTTGTATTAGTTTCAGATTTGTGAACGAGGTATACTAGCAGAAATCAGCTTTATTGATGATAATTATGTGGTATATGCGAATAAAGAAACGAGCCGGGCTGCAAAATTCCAAACATGTCACCTCCTCGCGGTACAGCCTAGAAACATTTCTATAGCTAAGAGCAGGTCACCGGCGAGCACTGCCTTCCTCTCTGTAGGGCGAGAGACGCCAGAAGTAACAATTCCGGCGATATAATTAAGGAGGATTAACTCGTCGCCGTCGCTAGGGAACTACTATTATTAGCAAGTGAGACGTCCTGCACCGAACGGCCTTTAGCTAACTGCCAATTTGTTATCGACTTCATCGACATCGCCGTTGCTTCAACTACCTAGCGGTTCTCGCCCGACTTCCGTCCTATCAAGGAGGTTACGTATCCTTAACCTAATAACGTCAGACCCTGCCTGCCAACTTTCACTATTATTTTCCTAAAGTTTCCGGACTCTTCGGCCCCGCTGGGGTTCCACCATATTTTTCCATAGGCTTTCGGGTGAGTCATGCACTTTTCAGTATACGATATTTTTAAAGTCTAATTATGCAACTATTACTTCCTAAATTGATTTGAATTAATCGCTCTTTAATTAATTAATCATTCTATATCTTTATTACAGGTTCGCGTATTATAACCGATATTTCCATAGTTAGTATAGCGACATCCACGCGATCCGGTCCTCTTTACGTGATTACCCTGAAACTACGTTTCTTCACGTTCGACCTAACTGCTGATTTTGTGCGTTACTTCCCTGATAACAGATTTGAAAATACCAACGGCATATTTGATCTCGGATAGGACAGTTCTACTTTGTATTCTCAAGGGGCGCACCTTTCGTGAAGCAGACTTATCATGTCAAGGACGGGTTCTATCGTCCTGTAATCATCTACTTAGCTTCTCAATAGTAGACACCCTCAACATATCCACGAGCATGACCGTACGTCTTTCTATTTTTAAGGCCTTATGGCCACTTTCACGCTTTTTACTTTGAAAAGTCAGAGACAACTTCAATTCAATCTTTGTTGTAGCTTGCAATAAGCCCGATACAAAAAAGCATGAAGCGGCTAGCCCTTACACAAGTCCCCTCTCCGCCAATTCCTTTGCCAGAGACATTGTTGTCACAAAGTCGCCTAGAAGAAGAACTTTTCGCCCAACCTCAGCTGGACCCTCGTATTCTGTGCCTATTTCAGTTGCCGACCCTGCACTTGTATCCCTAGCCCTCCTAGTCCTGGACCAAATGGCATTCCACAATTTCAAGTTATTTTCACATGTAACCGGGGGCTGCGGGCTGTCAGGGTACGGCTAGGCCGAAGGCAATAGTACAGAGTGATGGGGAGTAACGGGCGTCCCTTCTACGTAATGCCGGGTGGTCACTGGCGGTCTCAGGTAGGGGTGCCCACGGTGATGCATTGATCTCTGCCCTCTCTATCTTCCTCCGTCTCGACTCCTTACTTATAGCCAGCCGAGGTTCTCTCTTGGATTCTGGATGTTTGCTTCCGTATGTCTGTGTTCCTCCGACTTCGGCCAATATCTTGGACAGCGGCTCCTTATCTGCAACCAAGCGATTCCCTATCCGCTGCAAACGGCTTCAACGGCTCTCATTCGCCACAAGCGGCTCTCTAGCCGCCACAAACGGCTTCCTACCTGGTGGAAGCCGGCCCGCCTCGGATGACACTTGTGGCTCTGACAACTCCTTCCCTATCCTACTTCGAGATGGTCCTTATATAGATAGCTAGGCCGCCGCTTGGACCCGGCATAACAGCAGGGTCGGCGATGCCAAGGATCTTGACTCTCGTCATCCCAAAGCTTCACATAGATTGTAATCATGATTCGGGAGTCTTTTGTCCGAAACACCCCTCCGGCGGCCCGCCGGTGTCCTGCGTTCAGTGTCCTGACACCCACTGGTGCCTATGGCATTCTGTTCTCTGACACGGGCTCTGTGGCAAGAAGTTCAGGCAACAATGTTTGCATCTTACACTGCACTTACGTTATAGCAACTCTCGGAGGCATATTGGTCACTCCTGCTGACCAGAGCCACCTCGTGGGATGCTCGATATCCGAGCATTGACGTTTGGACAATTGACATGGCGTCTCTTCTTTACTTGTAGAAAAGACATTTGCATATATGAGCCTCCTCTCCATATCACCCAGAACCATTTACGATGGAAGATTCGAACTTGCTCAGATCCACCGCCTACCACATGCCACTCACACCCTGGGGTCTCGAAACTCGGGTTGAATCTCTCAACAACATCTGTATGGTCAGTGGACTCACTTGAAAGCCTTTCCGTTATATGGAAACCTGCTCCTTATGCATAAAGGCACGTATATCTCCAGCTCATCTAAGAGCTTGCAAACTGCTGGACGTCGTCTCCCCCAATCATTTAGAACTAGCCAGTCTAGGAGGACCTGCCGGCTCAATGAGCACGAATTACCGCCGCCAAGCTTCGGAGACCTTCGTCTACCAATTTCTTGACACTGGTATGGGACCAAACGGTGAAGGCACCATCGTTGTACGTTGCGGTGAACATGGATGTTTCATTATTAGTCGAACATACGCAGCCAGATGGTTCCCTGCGTTTCACGCCTATTCCCCTGATCGAGCGGTGGATGTCATCGGGACTGATCGATGAGGATTGTCCGAACCTGGCTTGCCAGGCGTTTGGTGGCGGAGGCTTGACTGACTGTGAAATCGAAGCCTACCACTTTGTAAGCTCCAGAAGTATGCTTGAGAATGAGATTTTGGACTACTGGGAGCTACATTGCTACCACGTTCTCTTCCTTCTGGAAATCGATTGAGTCGTTGATCCCCGCGTGATCCCCGCGGGATACACGTTTTGGGAGGAGAGGGGGGGGGGTTGCAAATGAATGTGTGTCCATGGAAAACTCGTCATTCCGGCCGCCAATGTCTCTTATGTAAATCGGCGCTGGGTTACCATCGTGATTTCTTCGACTCGGATGAGATGATGTCTCCACTGTGTTCTCCGTCTTTTCGCTGTCGGGAGGGCCGCTATTGAAGCAAAGGGTGCGCTGGAGGCATCGTTCTCGAAGGATATATACGATTGGACTTGGATAAAAACGAGAGCGTTGATATAGTGGTTTCTTGTAAGCCGCAGGAGGAAACATGGCCAGGTCCAAGGTCCCGCAGTGAGTAAGTCTCTTACGTGATCATCAATAGTGTTTTCATTTATCAAAGGACAACGCACTTGGAAGGCAGCCCGCAAGGCCCCTCGCTCTTCCTTTTCTCTTTTCCCTTTGCTTTCACCTCAGGTGCATTGGCTGCCGTGGCCCCATTCCCATTCTCTGTCTCCTGTGCTTGAGGCTCAGTCGACGCAGTAGCCACACCTCTATCTTTCTCTGTTTCATTTCCCTGACTACCATGTAGTCAACCAGAGAACTTAGCGACCGTTTTGTAGAACTGCTCTCCCTGAATTTCAGCAATCTCCAGCTCCTTCGCGGACGGCAGCCTCGACCCATCACCCGCTGTGAAAGAACCCGCACCCCAGGCGCTTCCACCCCTCACCTCCGAAACATCCGACAGCTGCGCAAAAGCGTGCTTGTACCCAGACGGCACGAATATAATCCCATGGTGCGCAAGCGTCGACATAGCAGCCAACGCCGTCGACTCCTGTCCACCGCCCTGGGTGGCGTTCGTGATGAACAATCCCGCCATTTTGCCATGGTAGCTGCCCTTGGCCCACTGGGCGCCCGTCTTGTCCCAGAAGGTGCGCCACTGGGCGGGGAAGTTGCCGTAGCGCGTCGGGATGCCCATCAAGATGCCGTCGTAGGGCTCGAGGGTGGCCGGGTCTTCAAGTAGCGGGATGTCGGTCGGTTGGCCCGGCGCGTACATCTGGGTGAGGACTTCTTGCGAGAGCGTCTCGGGGATTTGGTATAGGTCGACGGTGCCGCCGGCCTTTTCGATGCCCCTCTTTTCGGCTTCTGCCAGGGTGCGGATGTGGCCGTACATGGAATACTATGCGAGCATTATTGTTAGTTCTCCATTTTTCATTCAGCAACTTGTTGATGTCATTGTATCGTCGAATTTCCAGGAGCTTCGAGAGGCATGTCAATTGCATGGCCGCTGCGATCTGTAGCGTTGCGATTCACACTCGTGGTTTTACACGTTGAAGTCTGGTGGGGTAAATCTTGACAACAGTCTGTCACCAGGAGCTTGGGGCAAAGCTTCCGCACGTAAGAAATTAGTTACTGACAAAGACAATTGCGATTTTGGGCGCCATCCTGAACTATCTGCTTGAGTCTGACTGGGTATGGGTATCAAGTGGAGAAATGTGCTGAAAACGGGTGGTTGTTGTGTATTGAAGTATGATAGGAGATGTGACACACATTGGGAAGTGACGAGGTGCTAGTTAATATACCATCAATGTCCCCACAGCAACAATGGACCTCCAATGCCAATACGAACCGGTACGGTGCCGCCTGTCATGGGTTGACATCGTTACTACTCGCTCGATAATCAATTTACGCAGCTTAGATGTTGATGATATCAGCAACTAGTCTAACGCAACTGCATACGCGGGGTCGTTTAACCGCGGGGTTTCGGAGTCCCTACAGGGGCGTCCCGGTAACCCACCTCCAACCATGTTTTGCATGCAACTGCCACTCGCGGCCCAAACCAACCTCAGGCAATTCGACCCTGACTACAATGAATCTAGGATATGTTGGAACGGATATCAAATTACGCGCGGTGGTAATGCTAGGTGTTAGTTGATTGCTTAGATACATACATGCACATGTAAGCCTCTCGATTCTACTCTCGATGCTGGCTCAGGATCACCTTGAGATTTCCAAAGATACAGCGCCGGAAACTCGTACACCGTTCATCATCTGTATGCATATTAGGCTGCATACATGCCATGAATAGGCGCTACCCAGAGCTATCAATGTAACCAGCCGGCTGCTGAATAATATATTATTGAGCTTCGCAGTCGCAAGCCAGCTAGCGCTGACGGAATGGTACTCAATTAGGTTATGGAGCTTGCTTCGTTGATGCTGTGGGCCCGTTAGATGGGCGTTATGGTGCAGTCGTGGCAAATTGCAAGGAATTAGTCGTCGTTGACAAATGCTTGTTAAGCTGCTCCAATGTTGCCGCTTGGCGACCTGAAGATGTAAAGAGGTCCACGGTTGCCACTAAGATATGACTAAGATAACGGAAGCAGCCAGGGCTCTGTGGTCAAAATCCATTTGGGCTATACTGGCTGGAAAATCCCCGTCGCGTACCTGCGTATTGGCTCACGAGCGCTTCAATACCTGATCTCTTGTCGTCATCGTCGCGGCTCGGGCAAGTATATAGCCAACAATGGCAGCATGTGCACCTTGCTAATATCATGAACCACAGGTCCAGCTTCCAGGCCCGCGTCTGGAGTTGAGATGATGGCATCTTGACGTCGGCTTGAGCAGTTCACCGGCCGGCTTTTGCAAGTGCACTCCACATCACGTACGGAAACCCTCTGTTCTGGACTCGCAACAGGCCCGCCGGAACCGTGGAGCTGTTTCCACTAGCGATGCAGGTCCTGCAGTTCTGGGTCCTCAAAGGTTGAAATAAGGTTCGCTGTGATAAATCTTGACGTTGGCGCGGTGGGGTACCGCTGGCTGAACATTCAAGATACGAAGCCGTCTTCGCTCCAAGTAGATGTTCAAACAATTGATCTTCTCGCGCATGCATGCCTTAGCCAGGCAGTGATCTTTCGCCAGGCTATGAGGAGTTCCGGACAATCAGGCGCCTAGCTGAATGTCACCTGCCGCCATTGGCACTCGCAACGTCCCTGCGAAGTTTCACTTATTAAAGAACCCTATCGACATGTGCCGTTTACCCGCAACCAAAGTGATGATCCTAAAGCTATCACCCAAGCTTATAGCATATGATTGACCAAGCAGCAGGTGGCTTCACCAGCGCTTCCGGTGTGCTTCCCATGTATGACGGTTGGATGTATGTGTTGAGTCTAACCCGTATTTCCACCATTATTGCCATCCCTCAACTCACGTTTTCCTCGCTCTCAACTGTCTGCGGCGGTGCAAGAAAAGTGACAACGTCCATGTCAGCCCGCCCGCCAACAACATAGCGCCCGAGTATGCAATGATGCGCTTCCACGCCGCCTCTCCACCTTGGCCAAGGATCGCACCTCCGATTGGAGTTCCCACCAATACAGACAAGCCCGACGCGAAGAAACACATGCCCATCCAGGTTCCAAATCTGCTGAGATCCGGGATCAGTGGCACGAGTGCACTGGGTAGGACACCGACAACCCCGCCTGAAAAGGCGCCGTATAATATCGCAAAACTGACAGCCCCTGGAAAGTTAGTAATTCCTAGCCAAGCAAAGTCAAGCGTGGCCGCCAGAAATGTGATGATAATCAGGACGTTGACGGATCCAGCGTAATCGGCAATATAGTTTGGTATCAGTCTCCCAAAAATACTCCCGGCGTTGAGCAGCGTGACGAAGTACGGCGAGAACTCGAGGGACGATATTTCGTGGTCGATACTCCAAAGCTGCAAATAAAAGAAGGGCACATATAGCCCGACAAAGGCCAGAAACCCGCCGAAGCTGAAGATGAGAAACGGCCAGTCGTAGAGAGCGCTCTTATCGAAGGCCCTTGTGTGCGCCCGCGGCGGCACCCGCGTCTTCATGAAAACCACGGGAATGGCGGCGAGCGCCGTAAGAATAAAGCCGATCACGCGCGTAGTCCAGGCGAATCCGATCTGCGGCTGCAGTCGGCCAAAGATGATAGGCAGGACGATGCCCGCAATGGGCGAGCCAACCGACTGCACACCAAAGGCGAAGGCGCGCTTCTTAACGAAGTAATGGCCGAGAATGGCCGCCGACGGGAGGAACATGAGAGCGCAGCCCAGACCAACGCAGATGCCCTGCGCCAGGACGATCTGCCAGTACGACGTGCAAAGGGAAGTCATGAAGGTGCCGAACTCGACGAAGAAGAGACCGCTCAGGAGCAGTGCGCGGAAGTAGCCTGCGTCAAAGAGAGGTCCTGACACGACACCGCCCATCATGAGCAGGGCTGCTTGGAGACTGCCGATCCAGGAGATGTCCGAGGAGGAGCTGGTGGGGAGGAGCTCGGTTTCGTAGTAGGTTTGGAAGACGCCGAAGCTGTTGACGAGGCCCCAGGTGTGGATTAGGACGATCATGGAACCGAAGACTACGAGCCAGGCTTCCCAACCGCCGTCTGGGGGTTCTGAATTTGGTGCGGTGGTCGGTTGCTGTTGGGATTCCGGTTGGGTGACATTCTCATCTTGAAATGATACCGCTGCATCGGCATCGAGGGTGCCACCCTTTGCAGCTGTTTCGTCTTTTTCTCCCATTGTTCCTGAATCTGATGAACTGAACGGATGCAATGAAACCCTGGTGGTTTTGTTGGTGATTTTCTGGGTTTTGTGATATCTTGCCAGGAAGAGGAGTTTGCCTGTTCGGCAACCCAGAGCCCCTCGGACACAATCCCCCGAGAGCGAGTTGATCTACGGCCGGACCGGTTTTAGGTGAATTGATAGAAATAGAGCCCGATTCCGAATCACGCCGTCATCCCTCAAAGACAATGAATATAATCTTTTATATTCACCTAACTGCAAACGAACCCAATATGTGTACGGCACTGCTTCTTCAAACCTCCAGTTGACTAAGACTAATTCTGAGCTCGTCATTTTCCGGTTTGTAATCAAGTGATGATAAGGCTGGAATGGTCATTTTGGTGGTATGCTTGATGACTAGGAGGGTGGCTTTGGAAACAACGCACTTCTTGCTGCGGCTGACTTCGGAACCAACCAACCGTTCGGCAGTCAGTTCGACGGCTAATGCGGATGTCAGATATTAGTCTCAATCTGATGCCTTCAGACTCGAGAGATCGGTGGCTCTGTACGGTTTGTGACCCAAGCGTCATAGGTCTAACAGATGCGCAGCTCCATGAACCTTTAGGTAGCCCCAGACCTAAACTACATTACCTCGGTGTCATATGAACATTCTTTTTCTCAGTCTCCCAATGTCTTCTCTGGGACATGAATAATACTGACCGAACTACGACTGATATGTGACGGGCCAGAACGAATAATGTATAAGCAGACCCCTTGCAAGTTTTCGGCACCTGTCAGGCGGGGTTGAAGTTAGGTAATCAGGGCCTCCTACTTGGATGTTCAGTGATCTGGTTAAGTCGCCAATCAAGTCAATCGGACCAAGAACTAACCGCATTGACCACCTTTTTGCATGCACCCCCATTTTGCAGGGTCTAATTGAATCAACCTAAATACTTCGTCCATATTATTTATATACAGAACATACTTAATTTAAGTGTCCGAAGACTTAGATATATATTATTTCGAGTCCTCTTTTTAGGAGCGACCCTTCCTTCGAGAAAAGTATCAATTTCTAACTGCTTATCTGGTAAAATAGGCCGTATTCGCTTATTTCGCTTGTCCTGGGCTGTTCGGATCGCTGATAAGTTAACGAATACTTTATTCGGGTCTGGCTCGACGGGCTGGCGTATATCTGGAGCGTATTTATCGAGTTCTTTATATAGTTGCTCGTTTTCGATACGTAATTTGGCATTCTCGGCGGTCTGGAGTGTAAGGGCCTTGCCCGCCTTGCCTACTAGGGTACGAATCTTACGAGATACCCCGCCCTCGGCTTTCTGTCAGAGCCACAAGTGTCATCCGAGGCGGGCCGGCTTCCACCAGGTAGGAAGCCGTTTGTGGCGGCTAGAGAGCCGCTTGTGGCGAATGAGAGCCGTTGAAGCCGTTTGCAGCGGATAGGGAATCGCTTGGTTGCAGATAAGGAGCCGCTGTCCAAGATATTGGCCGAAGTCGGAGGAACACAGACATACGGAAGCAAACATCCAGAATCCAAGAGAGAACCTCGGCTGGCTATAAGTAAGGAGTCGAGACGGAGGAAGATAGAGAGGGCAGAGATCAATGAACTACTGTGGACACCCCTACCTGCCATCACCAAGTGACCACCAGGGGGACACGCCTATTTCTCCCCTTCACTCTGTACTATCGCCTTCGGTCCAGGCCGTAACCTGACACTTTCTCTATCGACTGTAGTTGGCTAGATAGTTGCTGCGCTTTCTGAGGAGTAAAAGCAACTAAAGGTGGTGATATATGAGGCGGAGGATCTGGTGTATGAGGCTCCGGAGGATCACAAGATACGTCGACTAGTCCTTCGGAGCCTAGGGGCCATATACCAGTCTTCCGCCAGCCAGATTTAATATTTCCCGTAGTAAAGGCTCTCTCCGAGGCACGTAGATATGCTTCTAGCATACGTTGCTTGTAAATTAGGGCTGTAGCCTTGTAGGAAGCGTAAGCCCTGAGCTCTTGGCGGTAGTAGGTCTTCAAAGGTGAGAACGGCCCGACATGGCACGGCTGGAGATCGTCACTGCAGTGTGAGGGTAAATACAGCACGGCGACTCTATTCGAGTAGGCTTTCCACATAAATTCGGCATGAATATGTGTCTGGTGGCCGTCGAGGATAAGGAGTCGCCATTCGGTACCCCTAGGCTTCGTCTTGGGGAGAAAAACCTGATCTAACCACCTATTTGCGATAACTTTATTACTCCAGCCCTTACTCGTCGCGGTGTATTCCCACTGAAACGGGGTCAGGCGGTCAGTAGGATATACCTACCACCTAACACACTGAACAGACGGCTCCAGTACCAACAGATCCCATCTATTGGTCTTATCAGACGAAGATCGTGGTACTGGTTATAACAGCGAAGCTCTTACACGTCTGGTGCGTGAGTTAGTCGGATATGCCTCTGTGTAAGGAAAGAGCCGTTGTGGCGGGCCGGTCTCAGCTGACAAGCTGAGTCGGGAGGGATTCGCCCCCGATCCGGTAGAACCCCGGTACCGCCCAGCTTAAGAGGAGAACTCGAGACGCTCGCACCTAGTTTAGATTCTTCAAGAATCAGTCTTGCAATATACGCACCCATACACTGGCCTACTTCTAGCTACCCTTTGCACTACCTGACTATTATATTGTGAGACGTGTGGTATCCTCGTTACACTCTGATACTCGTATCGTAATAGTAGGATCTCGAACGTAAAGATAAGCTAAATAACTAGATAACTAAATAACTGACTGAAAAGCGAAGGTGAAGATATAGATAAGAAGGAGATGATGATATGAAGATGAGGATGATGATGCGTGAAGATGGAGGACTCGTGTCCTACTCTGCCTCTGTGCTTCTTAAAGAAGAGAAAATAAACTTTCTCCTAGCCCCGTAACCTATTTCCCTGATGTCCGGCCTTACCCCGTTACACCACTCAGGGATATTTTGGTCTGGGAACCACTCTGCGTGGACTCTCTTGCCGGAAAATACGCAGACAGGTGTACCCCGTTGGGTATGCGAAATGTACTCTAACCAGGAGCACCACGACGAAGCGTCCGACTTTGATACGCGTACCCGGCGTGAATTAGACGTCCCAATAACCGTACCATGCCCAAATTCCCCCTCTTGGACACCTGTCTCATCCATATTATACTCGTTGTCGGGTTTGATACGATACTTCGTACGTAAGCGTTCGAGGAGGGTGTAGAAGTCTCGGATCTTGTTCGAATCGGACGCTCTAACTCGGCTAGCATCTACGACGCGCCCAATTTTGGTACGTATCTGTGGATGGCGGCTAACGAAGTGATCCACCCAGTGTTGGCCGAGTGTATTGTTATCCCCTTGAGCAAGGAGGATTTCGGCAGCGAAGTCGGCCACATAACGCTTGCTAGGAGCCCGTCCACACACTTCTTCGTGTAGGATCCAGTTCACGATAACCTCCTCTTGCTCTGGAGTCAACTTTTGTTGCCTGGAGGCCGCGTCGCGATGCGAATTACTGTGACGAATACGCTAGGACAGTGTAGTCCCCTTGATACCGTACCGATGAGCTGCTACGGCCTGGGAAGAGCCCTGACGGACAAGCTCTTTAGCGCGTTCGATTCGCTGCTCAAAATTTTCCAGACTATTCTCCACTGGATTAGCCATTTTGTACGTAGATAGGGAGCAATTGCGAGGTAAATTGAGAGACGTCGTGTTGTTGAGGCGTAGAAATTCCCTGCAAAATGGGGGTGCATGCAAAAAGGTGGTCGGTCAATGCGGTTAAGTCTCGGCTAATCCGCGATCTTGTGAGCTGCTTAGTAAATATAAGTCGCCCAAAAGCGAGCTTGGATCATCTGATGTCCTGAACATTATTCAATCAAGTGGTGAGATGGCCGAGTTGGTTATGGCGCCAGGTTAAGGTTTCAATCTTAGCAACATATCCTGGTGGGGCAACCCTCGTGGGTTCGAATCCCACTCTCATCAATACTTTTACCATTTTGGTGAGGTTGTTTAGTTTTACAGTATCCGGAATTTATTTTTGGAGAATACGGGCGAGACTACTGTACACGTCGGTTATTCGCAGCGCGATCGCCTTCGGGGCGGCTGCGTGGCACACTATAAGCGAGGAACCAGCGGGACCAGCTAAGAGCCTAGTCGGGATACAGAATGAGTGCCTCCGAATAGTCTGTGGCGCCTACAAAGCGACACCGGTCCGACACCTAGAAATAGAGGCAGCTATCCCGCCACTAGACCTATATCTCAGTGCCCGGGCGGCGAAATTTGAAGAACGGCTACGGAATAACGGCAAAAGGAGCCTGCTTCGGAGCGCGAGCGTGAGAGCGTCACACATACTCCGACAGGATACGCCGGCGAGACGGAAGCGGACGTCACAATCGCTCAGACCAGCGGGGTACACGATATAGAAGGAGGCTAGGGGCTCCGAGTGGATAGGCAAGGCGAAGGAAGTCCCGGCCGCCCTCCTAGACCACTGGGAGAAGAGATGGCTCTCCGGGGCAGCACAACACGACCGCCAGCGACGCGCTATCGCCGAGGAGCCGGAGGGCCCCTCGATGCGAATGCCGAAACAGGGCAAGTACTCAGACCTAAACCGACCGGAGGCGTCTACCCTATGCCAGATCAGGACCGGAAAAATAGGACTATCAGCTTTCTTATTTAAGATAGGAGCCTTCGGTGTGTCTTCGCCGCTATGCCGTTGTGGAGAGGCCCCCGAGACGGCAGAGCATGTAATCCTCTTTTGCGGCCTGTGGAAGAATCGAGAGAGCGCCTGCGGGCCACTATCGCACCATGGCCGCTGCATACACGTAGAGACCTGGCAACGGCGACGGGGAAACCAGTAGTCAGCGGGACTATCACAAGGTAGCTACTCAGGACTGGCCGGATAGCGCTTAGGCCCGGATAATATCGATCTTCTCAGGGGGACTTTGTTAGTAGGGTGAGAACTAACATAGTATTGTGGTGGACGTAACGCAGTCGCTAATAGAGCGAACCTACGTAGCAGCGTATGTATTTAGTCCAGCCATTAGGGCACGGTTTGACATACGGGAGCACTTGTAGAGGTACCGGGGGCTTCGAGCCTACGGCGTATTTAATAATAATAATAATATTTTTGGAGTTTTCTTTTCTTCCGCAGCGCGGGCTTTCTTGAATATATGTAATTGCAACAACCTGCCCTCTCTCCATTCAAGCAGGTACTGTTCTAAATGACATAATGAACAGCCCGATGGAATAATTACGTTAATACCTGGTTACGGAGGGAACCATTCCTCTGTTGATGCTTCTGGGTATAATGTAGTCCATAAGCGAACAGGTCACCCAACCGAACGGGTCACGCCAACTAGCAAAACATGGAATTCAACACGATTTCGCAACCACAACGCCGTAAATCAATTAAAACTACTCAGAATACTCTTGCCCAGATGATTCTATCTCTACCTGACAGGTTCGCGCATTATGCCCGGTCTTCCCGCATACGCCACAGCGCCGTTGCCGTGGCTGGCCACGATTTGATCCAGCGCTATTTCCACGCATTTCCTGCTGTACTTGCTGCGCAACGTCCTTTTGATCTTGAAGATCTTGTACGTCTTGTGAATTAAGTGATCCTCCAAGCCGTACTCGTATTTTTTGGCCCTGCGCCGCTTGCTAATTAGAGCATTTGCCTCTCGAAGTTCGGCGACCTCAGCTTGGAGTAAAGCCATCTTATGCATAATTCTCCGCGCTCCTTTCGAAAACTGATCGATAGCATCGTAAATTGACGTCGGGGAGCTATTTTGATGCCTGGAAATTCGAGATTTAATAAATTCGGATTGCGAAGTAGCCTCGGTTGGGTTGTTTGGCGTCCGAGAAGCCCAAGGAAGGGTTTCCCGCGTAGGGGGCCGGGAGGACGTTGGAGTCTGTAATTTCACATCCAGCTTCTCAATAACAATATCTGAGCTTAAAGGCAAAAGTCCAACCCCTTGAAAGCCTGCACGAATATTTCTTTCGGTCAGGCTCTTCTTGAATGCGTCGCAAAATGCCGGAAGAAAGTCCTCCTTTGTGATATGCGCGTCGCGTAGCAGTCGGTTTGCCATATCTTCAACAGCACTTAGCCGGGGAGGAAATGCTTGCGAATCTAGCTCAATTATCCTTTGAATAATCGTATTTTCTTCTAGTTTTGTTAAATTCCGACCGTTGGCTTCGATATTGCGACGTGATTGACGTTTTTGAAGACGCGCCTGGAGAGTAGTATTCGAGACTTTGTAGATTGTTGCAGCACGTCGGATACTAAGTGTTGAGTCATTTCTGATAGCCTGAGCTGCAAGGAGTAATTGAGATTCTTTTTGAGCAGAATCTATCGAGAATTAGTTGCGTGGTAAAGTTAGGAAGTTTAGTTCTATTTTTTGCTATGGGCGTGACCCGTTCGGTTGGGTGACCCGTTCGCTTGTGGACTACGTTATGTCATAGTGACCGCTATATTTGATGTACGCGTTGCATCACGGTAGGTTGGTGTTCGGGAGGCTCTGTAAGGGTGCTTTGAGTAGAAGGAATGAAGGAAGGGTTTGACACACTAGCTACACTAGCAAAAACACTGCTTTCTCGGCCTAGGTGAACTGTGGTGCTCATATTATACTTCAATTTTTTTATCACTCTGTTGTGCTGTTGACTTTATCACCTAATTACGATTTGGTTTTCTAAGTGCGTGGCTTGTGTGGTGAATAGTTGCAATGTAAAGCGACAAATGATATCTATGGCGGTCATAGCATTGGACTTTCTACGTGAAACACTTTGCCTATGCTCTCTACAGAAGCACATTAGACTTGTCTAGTAAATCTCGCCTCCTTACCTGACAGCCTCAAACCCACCGCCATGCCACTTTCGTCAACTTCGAATATGAATCTTTCCACCGCACCAGCCCCTACCGATCCAGTGTCCATCCATGTGATACAGGTCGGAGTGCCCATATCCGCCGGCGCACTTCTATCCTGAAAGACACTCATGAACTGCTGTAAGTTGTCCTTCGCCACGTTACTCGGATAAAGCCTGAAGTCCAAGTCTTCCAAGTCAATCCCAGCGGCATCCGCAGCCTCAGCCCTGAGATCAATCCCATTTACCTCCAAGCCAGTAACCACAAGTCCTGGCCCCTCGTCCGTGACATTCAGCACCACGAGACTCCCCTCATCATCCCCCACGAAAGTCCCCGCATACCGTGCTGCCATCTCCTTAGCAGCCAACTCCTCCAATTGCAGCAAAGCCAGTGACACTAAATCTGCGTACACATTCAAATCGACGATCCCGTCCGTATCATGCGCCAGAATAGCAAACCCAGCATTAAAGTCCGGGACGAGACCGAAATAGCTGCTGTATTGCCCGATAGCGCCGGTCTTGGTGTACACATCCAGAATCGATGAATTTGCATACTGCCCCGCGTGGTAGACTTCCCAGGGTCGACCCACGCCGTTGCGTAGATTGGAGGTATCGGCGATAGGCTGCAGCCAACGGCGGGTTTGGGAAGCGGAAAGCAGCTTTGATGAGAGGATGGAGTGGCCGAAGCGGGCGAGGTCGTTGGAGGTGGTGTAGAGAGAGAGAGAGGGTTGTTCACCGGACATCGAGGAATCGATGTAGTTACCGAAAATTTTGGGGTTGGTGGTGGTGGTGGTGATGTTTTTGTTGTTATTGCTCAGAAGGCCTGTTTGGCTCATGTTTAGCGGGTTGAGGATGGAGCTTGATAGGGTATTGCAGAAGGAAGTGGAGGTTTGGGATTCGAGGGCGAAGGCGAGGAGTTGGAATGCTGCGTTCGAAATCATGGGCGTGGTGTCTGGGAGGAAGACAGCTGGTTTTGAGGCAAATGCATCGAGGAATTTCTGCTTGTCGCAGGAGGTTCCGATAGTGCACGCATGAGCTAATTCTTGTTAGCAACCATGGCTTTACTTGAAGCTTTCTGAACTGACAGTCTCGCGCAATCCCAGAGATATGACCAGCCAAACTACCGACAGTGACCTTATCCCAGTTGACGCTGAAGTCGGAAGATATACTGGCTGCTGCAGTGATTTCTGGTAGGAATTGCGTAATGGGCGCATCCCAGGACTCGTCTCCGATCTCAGCCAGCCAAGTGTACACGGTGAAGAGCTGCGTCAAAGTCCCAACGGGGAACACCGTATTATTGGTAACATTCTCAGCTTCCTGCGACTCGATGGCCGTATGCTGGTATTCGAAGAACACAGGGTCTTCTTCAGCATTCTCTGCTCCCGAGAACAAAATCACGGAGAAGGAGGTGGTGTTGGGTGTAATGGGGCCGAAATCCTCGCTTCCTCCAACTGCTATGAGCTGATCGAAGAGATCTGTAAAGTCTTGTGTAAATGATTGGATTGTTTTCGAGTTCTTGTCTATAGTCGGCGCTGGGTAGTATGCTCGAAGGATAGGGCAGGGCTGGTAGACTGCTTGGCCATTGGCCGCTGCAATGAGCGTAATGACCGAAAGGATAGTGAATAGTGCATGCATAACGAACGACTAGCTGGTGACACTATTCTTCAGAAGTGATGCACATGATGATTCGCAAAACTATCCTATCCAAAAACGAGCGCGTGGCCGACTTATATGCGACCGCATAGCATTGCGGAGGCTAGGATTGTGACGCTCACTGATCAATATTGTTTAGGAATGCTATGATGCGGCATAGTTACAAATCTCCGTTTCAAACTCCGGTCTCCGATTCGTATTGAGGTCGGGACCCCAAACTAGCTATGACACTGCCACGACTAGTGCTAGGAGGATCGCTACCAAGCACCACGAGCCTCAGTAGAATGTGGCACAGCATAATCGAAGTAAGGAGTATTAATAAGAAGATTTCCTGTCGGTGGTTGTGGTTAATAAATATGTTCGTCTGAGTTTGAAGAACATTCGTGCCCGGAATGCTAGCTTCGAAAAACAAAACCACGATCATCTGCAGTGTTGCTGCTATGTGACCACCAATTGTGACTACCTTTACCCAGATCAGGACTGCGGCACATTGAACCGTGTATAATAAAAGCAAAACCCCTCTATGATGCCATATCATAACTTACTCAACTATGTCCAGAGGTGTCGAAGATTTGACAAACTCGGTAGAGTTCAGTTTGGTAGCTGTTGCAAACAGTTTTGTGTCAACCGGAAACACTACAAAGTTAGTTTGTGATGCACAATCCACCAGATGAAAATATTGCACATCTAAAAATTCATGTCTTGATGCTCTTGAACTTCAATGTGACTCCCCTGATCAAACATCGCAGATTTAAGAAGTCATCATGACTTACCCGTTATGCCTCACATACGGCCAGCGCGCCGCGCAGCACCCTAATCCTGTGGCCAGGCGACTCTTCGAGATTGCTAAGGCCAAGCAGTCGAATCTCGTGGTATCAGCAGACCTGACTGGCACGGAGAGTCTTTTGAAATGTGCTGACTGTGAGTCCCAACCATCTGCATCCCGCGATGCAGCAACTCGTACTGGACCCACCCACTAACACGAAATCCAGCTCTTGGCCCATATATCGCCGTTTTCAAAACTCATATCGAAATCGTCAAAGACTTCTCTAACAAGACGGTCCAAGGGCTCAAATTGCTGGCTCAAAAGCACAATTTTCTCATCTTCGAGGACCGCAAGCTCATCGACATCGGCAACACGGTTCAGAAGCAGTATCACGGGGGCGCGCTCCAAATCTCCGAATGGGCTGATGTTGTGAGCCTGAGCGTCCTCGGCGGGGATGGCATAGTTGACGCCCTGGTCCAGACCATCACGACAGCCTCCTTCCCACATCGCGGCCAACGCGCTCTCCTGATTCTGGCCGAGATGACCTCAGAAGGAAGCCTGGCAACGCGTCATTATACCGAAGAGTGCGTCGAAGTGGCGCTGTCGCAAAATCCCGAGGTTGTTTTGGGATTTGTTGCGACGAAGGCATTGCACACGTCTGATGTTGCGAGTGGACGGGATTTTGTTACTTTCACGACTGGTATCAGCCTGTCCGAGTCGGGGGACGAGCTGGGGCAGCACTGTCAGACACCTGCTTCTGCTATTAGCCGTGGTTCGGACTTTATTATCGCTGATCGGGGCATATATGCCGCTGAGGTCCCCGTAGATGCTGCGAGACGGTACCAGGAGGCGGGGTGGAAGGCGTATTTGCAGCGTACTCACCACGATGCGTAGATGCCAAATTGAGACTGGAATGGTGAGGTAGTACCAAAAAATCTGGTATGACTACTACAGCGGGCTTGACACCAATAAGGATATTGCAGACACCAGGTTAAACTTAGCACTAGTTGTGGTTACTGAAAGATTATGTAGCGTAACCCACAGAGCATGAGCTGATTCAGTACCTTGATTTGAATTCAGGGGAGCAGTCAAGGATATAACAACTTCAAAGCACATTAATGTCTCTTGCCACCTTGATGTATCTTTTTAGTTACGCTCCATCACCTAGCGTCAGCATTATCTCTACAGGAGGAGTATATTACCTTCTATAAACTTGTAGAAAACAGTAAGACTCCAACCCCTTGGTGTTGTAAACAGATATCATATTACTCGCAGACCCATGTCAGCGACATATTACAATAGATATACCTAATATGTGAGTAACAATACAGTCATTTCTAATATAGCATTTCAAACGAGTTACCGGGATATTTAAAGTTCATCAAGCAGAGGATCCCAAGCCTCGCGAGTATGAAATCTGTCAGCCTGGCAGCAGAAATGACATTCAAGCTGATCACTGCTTGTCCCATATATTGACTTCCTAAAGTATAATCATCACATCTTTAATATTTCCACGTCTACATAGACCACTATTGACTAAAACATTTGGACCAATGGATCATTACGATATCAATCCATGGGCGTGGTCGATACTTCTAATATAGTCTTCAAGTACGACCAACTAAGATTAGCATACTGAGACAACGCCTTTCACTCCTGTTGGTGGCATATAACCGACTACTTATGTAGATTTCATAGATAAATGCTTCCTCAGACTGAGTAGAGTCCGCAGAGCGAATGGAGCTAAATGAAGCAGGGAGTAACGCTATAGTCCCTGGCGGTGTGAGACGACTAATCTAAATTTAGTTAGTTCTTCGACCTTCCATATTCAACCACCGATTCCTGGGCCACACCATCCACATAGAATGCTCACTTGCATGTGCACCGACCCGTAATTCTATGCAAGAAAACTTGGCTCGACCTTACTACCAGCCCGACAACGTCACAGCCACTTTTGCGACTGTCTAGCAAGATTACGGATGAGATCTCATTCACTGTCCCGAAAGCTCACGCACGCTGAAAGGATGCCGTATGTGGAAAATTCGAGCAGGTTATCATTTACCCTAGACTATGAACAACAATTGAAGAGTTCTTGGTCTCGGACATCATCCATCACCATAAATCTGGTTAGTTGCCAAATTTCAGCCTGAATGAAATCATTGGAATGGTCGTCAATAACGCCACCACGGACACCGAATACTGTGAGGGATCAATGGGCATACGCAAGTAAGTCAATAGACCCCATGGCATTTGGCTGCATACTGAAACCAGTTCGAAGGGCTCAAAATTTTGTGGACAGGTTTATACAGAAGTTTTAATTGTCTTAGTAGATAAACTGAGAAAGTCGAACAGACTAGTGGCTAAAGACTTCGAACTAAACCTAACAAGTTTGAGCTGATTACAGTTCTGACGAGAATTAGAACGTTGGAGCGGCTTAGGATGATCCCGAAACCGACAACTATATGAGACCCCTTGGGGAGAAAGTGGACGAAGAGATTGCTACCGACCAGACTGACCCAAGCCAGAGATATTAAGCCAATTCCCATCTCGCAGCAGTCAATGCCTCTAACCTCTCTAGCTCCTTTATCCTGTAGGCTGCTGGAGCTGGAGTGACTGCCACAGGTTCGCATCCGTCAACGGCGAGCAAAATATAATGCCAGCAACCACAACAGTCCCCGGGAATTATGTCCCAGATCAGAAGTAAGCATATATCATTAACAAATTCAGAATAAAACCAAGTATGTAACTAATGTGTCTTTTTCGATATAAAAGAAGAAGAATTTTCAGCGACATGTTGATTCAAAGCATAACAGTGGCCGTTATTACCACTTTGCCGTAGGTGGGTGTCCCTGGCAAATTCCGGCACACCATTATAATGCACTAACGGACCACTTCGGAAGATCGCACTCCATATATGGGCTAGAAAACCTTAGGTGAAAACACATAGAAAGGCCCATCTCCTCAGAAAAACCAAGGATGTTTTAATTGAAGATTTGAAACGGAAAGCTGCAGAAGAGAAGATTACAAAAGCCATATTCACCCCAAGATGGGATATTGGAGAACACGCCACCATTTACAGCAGCTTCGCAAGGCCGACCTCATGAATAAACTTACCAAAAACTGGATCAATGGTCAATCCCCCCATGTCAAATGGCAACCGGGCGACCCCAAGGCTGAAATAAGGTGTCAACTATCTCGCCAGGAAGTCCGACCTGGCATTAATCACAGATCTTACCACGGCCCGGCGAAAGAGTCAGAAGCGCAAGGCTGAAGTCCACTGCCTCGAGGAATGCCTCCCACGTATTGAAGATGAATAAGTCCTATCGAATGGTCTAATAACTACTGCTGTCGGTGTCACTATGGATCCCACGTTGATGAAGAAAGCTATGCTGTTGGTACTGTAGTTGATACTTTAAGCCCGAGCGCGATACCCAGCCCACCTCCAGTGTGTTTGGAGCACGCAACAAATTCTTTTATAGTCCTAATATTAGTACGTAGTGTATCATTATTTTTAAAAACGAGCCATGTGAAACGTAATATTGAGGATGTAAGTAGGTCTTAAAGACTTGGTAGTGTCAGCTGTTCTTTACCCAAAACTCTCAAACTAAATACTCCGCCACATACCCCCTCAACCTCCCCAACGCCTCCCTAACCACCTCCGTCTCATTCACATACCCAATCCTCACAAACCCCTCAAACCCCTTCCCGTGGCCAAAGCACTTCGAGCCCGGCAAGAACATAACCTTAGTCCTCTCCAACACATCCATACAAAACGCCACATCATCCACCGGACTCCCACGCTTCCCGAGAAACCGCACAAAAGCCGTCGTCCCCGCCGTCGGCTTGACCCACTCCACCGTGCCCGGATGCTCCCTCACAAATTCTTCCAACAAAGCCAAGTTCGTCCTCGCGAGCGCCAGGTTCCGCGCTATAAGCTGTGGTCGCACGTCCGCGCTGAGCGCGTAACGGGAGACTTGGTCGTCGAGCTGCGAGACGCTGATCGTGGTGTAATCCCGCGCCACAGCGACTTGCTCGATGATGGAAGGGTCGCGGGACGCGATCCAGCCTAGGCGGACGCCGGCTAGGGCCCAGGCCTTAGACATGGAGGAAGTTACGATGCTTTTGTCGTATCCCAGGGAGAGGATGGATGGGGGGACTTGAGCAGGTGGGAGGTTGTGGAATAGGGGTCTATAGACTTCGTCGGAGAAGAGGATGATGTTATGCTTTCGGGCAATGTCCACGGTTTTGGTGAGGATGTCTTTGTGGATGGTGGCACCTGTTGGATTGTTGGGGTTGTTGATAACGATCATCTGTGCGTGGGTCAGCTTCGATATTGGATATGTTGAATAGTGTTCTGTGAGCTCTGACAGTTGAATAACTGACTGACCTTCGTATTACTCTTTATCATTCCCTCGAGTGCGTTCACATCAGGCGCGTATCCATTATCTGCCTGGAGTTTCCATAACGAAATTTCCGCACCCAAACTCCCAGGCACAGCATACAGCTGCTGATAAGTAGGAAACACGCATATGACGTGATCGCCCGGTCCAACCAGACTGTAGAACACCAAGTAGTTTGCCGAGATAGCACCTGGAGTCACAATGACGGACTCCACGTCCAGTGAAGTTGAACCCCCATCGCCTTCATACAGGCTGGCTATGTTTTGGCGCAACTTATCTGATCCTCTAATGGCACCGTAGCCAAGCCTTGTAGACAGGTCCAGGGGTGGAGGTGCATCCGTGTGCCTGTTAAACTGCACGAGTTGGTCGATGGAGATGGACGAGCAGCACGTCTCGGCTACGTTGAGAACACCCGGGGTGGTCTCGTATTTGTCCATCCATTGCTCGACATCGAAGGGCGGTATTTTGACCATTTTGACCGAATCATGCAAGCGGGGTTTCGCTGCGTAATTTCGTCGAAGAAATCGGGTTCTAGGAAGAAGATCGTAAGTTCTTATATACAATTATTACCGCTGCTTTCAAGCAGTTCAGTAGACGGCGAGGTCGTTTGTTATTACCCACTTCTTCAGGGAATCTGTGCAGAAATAAGTATAGCTTGGCTGTTCTATCTACGTCTAGTTCTTGACATGAATTGTCGCCAAACGGCGCGCATGAGATCTTTTAGTGTCTGCGATTCCGGAACGCGGCTGTCGCCGGCAAAGCAAAAAATAATTCTCCACTTGGCACTAGCTGGAGTATAAAAACCGATGAGTTGTCAAGCTGCAAACTGCCGGCACCTCCACGGACTCCTGAATTCTGCTTATGTTCGTCAGTAATCCTCCGAGAGGCCCATGTAGATTCGATATATGGTGTTTCTTTTGCTTTTATTCCCATTACTCCCGCTCGTGAACGCACTACTGCCCCTGCCTCGATCGATGCCTTCGACTGGATGATTGTGTAGGACTACACGACCGCTCCTGCACCCACTGTTACGTAGGGTTAAACTCTTTCTCCTGATTTTATGATTGCACCAAACCCAATGCTTGCCTAGTCTCGATCTTTGCTGTCGATGATACCTCTGCACTAGGACTCATCTCTCGTGGTGCATTTATCCGCTGTATGTTGATCGATGACGTCGATTCGGACATTGAGCCGAGTGAGTTGGAAACCGACCCAGACGATCCAAAAACTCACTCCAACGAGTCAAGGTTGAGTCAAATATCGATTGCGACTAGATAACGACCCCTGGCATCGAGTAGTGTATCACGCGCCGATAATTTTTGAATAGATCGCACACGTTCGATTCGGTTGATATGAAGAACCCAGAGACGGACATAGCCAAGTTTTAAAACGTGAAGTAGCCCAAATTCCACACAGCACAGTAAACCAATTGATCCAGTATCCGATCCAGAACAACGCAGCAGGTAGTAAGATAATCGGTATACACTCAAATCTCGTAGATCGAACCCTTTGAACAGGTAGTTCTTTCGGAATGTCTCGCACAGATTGAGGAGGGAGACTGAGAAGCAGAGTGACATTGCTAGTAAGACATAAAAGGTTGTCGACCGATTGGCGGCATAGCCCTTGAGAGACCAGAGAGAGGCGGAGATATAGATGTAGTGGACTAACAGGACATTAAGAAAGTTTACTGTCTAGTACACGCCGGGGAAACGGCCAGCCATGATGGGCCGGATGTCGTCGAGTGGGGCACTTAGAAGTCTGCGTGCTTATAGGACAGTTATGCTCCAGAATTGACCGGCTTTCAGTGTTTTTGCTTTGCCAGCTTTCGTGAATGAAGATACGTTGCAGAAATGAGATATGGGCTAGATATGCTAAGGAATGGAATTACGCCCCCGCGCAAGAGAAAATATGATTTGATCCAAGAAGCTCTAATCAAGTCTCCACATAGGGAAATCTCAGGAACCAGGAAGATACACCTCGATAAGGTGGTATGTGTCGGGTTCCAAGTATTGGGGCTGTATTGGTATTATGAAGGTGCATGGGGGCCCGTAATTTCTACAATCCTAGCCTGCCTGCCTCGTAGCCTTCCATAACTGAGGCCACAGCTTCCCATAGTATGTGTGCCAATATATAATTGGTCTGGAAGACGCAGGCAGACGCGGAGTTACTCTATTTGGTCAACCAAGCACAGCTCGAGACGGACGTCAAAAAACACATATCCCTCTCAATGCCAAGGACTCTTCACACACTGTTGTCTGACATTGAAATTAATTGTCGCCTCTATGGCAATAAACTCATGCCGCCGGGTTGACAGAAGTTGCCATTTCTCTTCTTTTTGTGTCGCTTATTGTTCGTGCTATCATGTCATAAAATCTTTTGCTTGCACGTTTTTAATGTGACTCGTCCCACCAGTAGCCATGGCCAGGCTCTTGAGCCTCTTAGAACCCAACCGACTTGGAAAGGGGGGGAAGTGGTCGGGAAGCGATTGGGAAGTGATCGGCGAGCTGAGTCTCGGAAACGGGCATAGTCTAGCATCACTTCTGCAAGTCCAACGCCATGTCCTGTCACGTAAGGTAACCTTTTGGACAATCCCCAAACGGCTTTCGGCTTATAATGGTTACATTCTAACTTAGCACATGCGTACGGAGCCAGCCGTTGCCTCACTCCATATTGGTACCACCAGAGCCAAATCAAGAATGGCATACTATTCATCGATGGAGGAATTACCACCTATGCTGATCGAACGTATGCCAATGTAACAACCTGCTGGATGTAAACTGCAGTATTTACATGTACCTCGTCACCGATGTTACTACTTCGAAGCCCGCAAACCATGACAATATCAACCAAACGGGTCCATTCATCACAGGTCCCAGTAAGTGTTAGATGACGAAGTACTTAATGGATCTGCCTCAGGCTTCTACTGACTTCTCAAGACAACTACGTCATCACAGTTGATATGAGAACTTCGTGGGATTGGAAAACCAACATCAGTGAAGTGGCCTTGAACAAATCGCTCGCCTTGAAAACGGCAAACTACGTCCCAGATGTTCAAATGGGCGCTCTTTTCCACGGCCCAGCAGACGACACTCAAGTCTACCTTGACGGGGGTGTGACACCGGACATAAACACCTCTTTTACAGGCTGGCAGTCTCCCACTGCCAAGCAGTACAATCTGTATGATTATCTTTCGTGGGGCTTCAAATCGGTTTACTAATGGTTTTATCCGCTCCCAGATGGGGCTTCGATACCGAGAGCCACGGTTGGACACAGTACGATGTCGTTCTGGATGCGCCGGAGAGGTCAAGTTGGGGTGCTTCTGCCGAAGCACCGGAACTTGGTCTTGCTTTTTACTTAAACGGCATGGTCACCAACATGTCTTCTGATACAGATAAAGGTGACAATACTCCACCTACTAATCTCGAAGGCATGATTGTTCTCGACCTCCAGAATCATACGGTACTGTTCACCGAGCCACCAAGGACTGGATAATGACGCTAAATCTTTGACATACAGGCTAAGAATACATCTACCGACATCATTACTGAAGATGGCGGCCCGCGAATCGGAGGGAGTATGGTCTATATACCTCGCATTGGCGACATGGGAGTCTTGATTTCGTTTGGTGGAGCGACAGGAACAAAAGACTCTCTACAGACAGGTTTCTTGAAAAAACACTTAAAAATACGCAGGAGATTATCCGTGGGCTGATTGGGTTTATATGGTACCCCCTACGCTGGCTTATTGGGCTGTGCAGACGGGGGATGAGGAGTTGACGAGCACGGCGGTTGAGCAGTGTGGTTTATATCGTGATGTCCTTGCTGTGCCTGACGGGGAGGAGAGCGGGGGGTTGTGGCATCATATCATTGGGCCCGAGACGGAGGATTTAGGGATTTGAAGTACGGGGAATGCGTGGGCTGCGGCGGGGATGAGTCGGGTTTTGGCTACGGCTGAGAAGTTCAAGTCGGAAACCGGATCAGGGGTGTTGGATGAATCCAAGTCTTTTGGGCTCAAGCAGCTGAAGGAAACTATCCGCGCTATCCTCGACGGCGCCATTGCCCTTGACGAGGCCGAGCCCGATGAGTCGCTCTTGAGGAACTATCTGAATGACACGACGTGGTCCGGTGAACTATCCGGTACGACGCTGCTGACGGCCACGGCGTACCGCATGGCGCAGCTCGAACCGCATGAGTTTGGATCTCGGTACGTGGACTGGGCAGATGAGAAGAGGGATGCTATTCTTGAGAGGATAGACGAGGATGGTTTGTTGTCTCCGGTTATCAATCCGTTGAACTGGGGAGATAGGACGCCAGGGACGGAGTCGCCTGAGGCGCAGAGTTTTGCCATTTTGATGTTTGCTGCGTATCAGGACTACAACGAGGGGTGGTGAGGTGAAGACATAGATGCTTAAGGGTAGATGTATGCTTGATAGAAATTTTCAACTTGCGAAGTTTGCTTTAATAAGGCTAGAGCAAATACCTCGTATTTCCCTGCAGAACCTTGTAACGACTTTGAAGAAATTTACAGATATGTAATACGTATGGATCATGAGATCTCTTTTCGGGACATTTGATGCGGGTTAGGAGGATCCGCTATTTTCATCAAGGCCTACCTCAACCATGCTGTCTATACGACATGTCACGTATCTTCTCAGTGTAATCGAACTTTTCTCAGTCACAAGTAATATTGGATTATATAGCAAATCAGTACGAAATTTCTCTATGTCAATAATCTATCCCATACTTGGACTACTCTTCCCTTTATTTACTCGCGCCCTCCTCAGCAATCTTCCTCGCATTCCCCTCCAGCCCCGCCAGCAACCTCGTCGAACCACCTGGAATCACCATCTCAAACGTCTCCCTGATAACCGCATACTCATAATACCCACACCTAGCAATCGGCATCGTCTTCCCAATATCCAGACGTCCCTCCGTCAACACCTCATCCGCTATATGCACCGCCTCCACCCTCCCAATCACCACATCGACCGTCCCCATAGGCGAATCCCCCGGCAATCTAATCGTACTATGGTACTTACACTCGAACTTGACCGGACTCCTCTTCACCATCGGCACATCCGACAACCTGCCCTTTTCCTTCTCCAACCCAGCCTGCTTGAACTCATCGATCCCATGCGGGAATTGCTCGGCGGTGGTGTTGACTTCGTTCCGTAAATCCCACGTGGCCAGGTTCCAGACAAAGCGGCCGGTGGATTCGGCGTTGATAACGGTGTCTTTGCGCGTTCCGTCCTCGGTCTGGTTCGAGGAGAACATGACGTACGGCGGGTCGAAGGTTAGATTGTTGAATTGGCTGTAAGGGGCTAGGTTGGCATGGCCATCCTTGGTGAGAGTGGAAATCCAGCCGATGGGACGGGGAACAACGCATGCCTGCTTGGCGGGTTAGTGAGTTTGGGATGATGAAGTAGAAGTTGTGTTACGGGCCTTAAATGGATCACGGGACAGGCCGTGGTCGTCTATGCCGGGTCTGTAGTACATAATGGGGGTGCGACTCTGTTTGGTATACTGTGGACCGTATTACAAGATCTGCTTACTTTCAAAGTTATGTCTCCAGCCGAGAGAAAGTATTACAATATCTGCTTACTTTCAAAGTTGTGTCTCCAGTAAGAAGTGTGTACGTAACCATTGGTGACGCTTACTTCCCCGCACTGTCTAGGGACGGACGCTATCAAACCCCCACTTAGTGAAATACCTTCAGTTAAGAATAAACCTTTTTTCACGTCGTTATAAGCTAGCAATGCATTAGCCTTTAATGATTTGGTGTATGGTGTATGTTCATAGATTTATATAAAGGCCAAAAAAAGATGTTTTTTTTCTTCTTCTATGATGGTTACTTCTGGTTTGAGGCGGGGTTTTGTAGCCCTACACTTGGCCGTACCTTCCCATCTCTCATATAAATTATATCATCGTTTATACTATACGCTATAAGAGCCACTTGCCCTGAATGTAATGGGCACCTCCAGGGTGTTTTTAATTTATATGACCAGCCGGCATAGCCTATATGTTGATTACTTAGCATGTCAATAAGGCGGCGCTAAATAGTCTCAGGAGGTGCATTCAAACCCAGGCTCTACGCCCAATTATACATACTCTTCTCAAAGCTTATAGTCTTGTGAGACTACAGTTTTGAAAGTGGCAGTCCTTGAGAATTTTCATCGTAACCCGAATCTGCGAGTCTTCCTGATAAAATACTTCAAGAAGTTTGTTGCGATTCTTTTCGAGTTGGAAAGACTGTCGGTGCCTCGTGAAGACATTGCCAGAATCACTGGCCACAGACCTGAAACCGGCGTTATGTAGAGAGCCGTCATCTTCCTGCTGCCTAAGTAGTCAATGACTTCTCAAGAGTTGCCTATGAAAGACAAGTGTGCACCGAGATCAACGGATCACTCTTTTCTTCCATGAATTCCCCCCGTCGGCCAGGTTGGTTTATTGGGTTCTGTTATTGTCCCTCCACGGAACATCCAAGATCCACCCACCAAACTGCGGGTTACGTAACGGACATATCTTGGACAGAGTCGCAAACCCATTCGTATGCTGTTTTTATTAAGGCCCAGGCACTGCACCGATGACCAGACGATTGGAAGGCCTCTAGAATGACTCTGCCTTTGTTCTAGAGCGGAGGGCTCGGCAGTATCCTTCAGTAACTTATCAGATGAGTTTCTTATTCGCTAGCAATGTCTGCGTAGAGACTTAGCTGATATCTAAAATTATCTCAATCTTTATCGTCGTATGGAAGGCCCGGTAGTAATTGAGTTTATGAATAGCCCAAGCTAGATGGCATTATCGGGAGGTTGTTCGAAGATCGGACGGTTGAGTTTTAGTTTCCGACAACCAAAGTACTGTTTGCTAGATCCTGTCATTGGTTAGGAGTCGCCCGTTATGAGAAATCTCAGTTGTTGTAGTCCAAGCCTTTCCCAACTGTGAACTGTTACTACATGAAACCAACGCTTTTTCCGGCGGCATATGAAAGCGTCAATATATGCCATTTCTGTACGATGAACATGACGCATGTGAAATCCATCATATGCTATGTTCCAGGCCCTGGCCTTTTCGTCCAGTCTCAAAATTTATCAACTGGTCTTGGTAATTCGCTCTTGAGATCTCCCCGATTGGTGACAAAGCAGGCCTTGATGCCCCTCTGGACCATCAGCTGAATTTTTGAGCACAGCCTAGACTTCGGTCGATTGAGGGTTATCCCTTGATGGCAACCGGGGTCACCAACACTCATACAATTCAACCGAAGTAAGAACGGCTTTCTACGTTCTTTCGTCAGATCGCTTCATCACACCACATTGGTTGGCCAGGCCTCATTGTCTGCCCATCACAGCATGGTCATCTTTTAGCGACCATGGCTCCCGAGTCTCGCCCAACCGTAGGCTCAGCCTTCCATGACTGCTCGCGAATAGAGTTCCATATACTACTCTCTCTCGAGTGTGCAAATGATTGACTCGAGTCGTCGTCTTTACATCTTTTCTTGTGCGTCTCCACTCAGATATTAACTGCCGTGATCTACGACAATCTGGTGCGAACCTTCTTCGCCCCCGTCGAAATCTCGATGGACTGGGGGCATCTCGACGTCTTGGGTGAATCTGTCCACATATCACATATGCTGTGATCCAGCACTGACGAAAGCTCTAGACCTTTCGTGTTGCTCCGGCCATCCGGGAATCCATCTCCAGTTTTGACGCTTCTAACAATAGTTCTCAAAAGAAATGCGCGCGAGATAGATCTCGATTGCGTTTATTGGTCTAAACCTTCCCTATAATCCCGCTCTTCGGTATTTGCACTGAGTATGCTTTAGGCTTCCCAATAGGTCGTTATGATTGAATAGCAACTCGAATCGGTCTATTATCGCGAGGAAGGTCATAATCACGAGTCATCGAGATACCTTTCGCGATCCGAAGTCTCAACAGGTGGGTGTATATAATCCTCGTTTTGTCCCCTTTCGAGCCTTACAAATCTGCACCTTGGAACTTCAGATCGACCAGGTATTCCAGATACGGAACAAATTCAAGCTTTAAATTTTCACTTCACAATGTTGAACAAATTCTTCCTCGCCGCCCTTCTCTTGGGCCAAACTATGCTGGCCATCCCTCTCCCAGACACTGATCTGGCTAAATCACACGAGGCTAGTGTTCCTGATGTAGGTCGTCGCCTCCACGCTTTCCAAGTGCCAATCTAACCATTGAGAGACCGAGGTGAATGGCAACCTCATTGCGCGTGCCCCTCCGGACGACGCTATGTATGCTCATCCGGATGACGCGGATTATCATCCGAAGGTGGACAAGCGAGACGAGATTGAACACAAACACACCAACGCGCTGGAACAGAGGAACGCCCCTGAGATCAACATCGACGACCTCCCAGAAAATTTGGCGCAGAGAGACATCGAGATGAACCAAGCGGAAAACCAACCCGGCGAATTGAGCGAAAATCACGTGGAGAAGCGAAACGAGATTGAAGATGACCACACCAACGCGCTGGAACAGAGGAATGCTCCTGAGATTAACATCGACGATCTCCCAGACAACTTGGTCCAGAGAGATGTCGAGGTGAATCAAGCGGAAAACCAGCCCAGTGACTTGAGCGATAATCACCTGGCGAAGCGAGACAAGATTGAAGATGACCACACCAACGCGCTGGAACAGAGGAATGCTCCTGAGATTAACATCGACGATCTCCCAGACAACTTGGTCCAGAGAGATGTCGAGGTGAATCAAGCGGAAAACCAGCCCAGCGACTTGAGCGATAATCACCTGGCGAAGCGAGACAAGATTGAAGATGACCACACCAACGAGCTGGAACAGAGGAATGCGCCTGAGATCAACATCGACGATCTCTCAGACAACTTGGTCCAGAGAGATGTCGAGGTAAATCAAGCGGAAAACCAACCCAGCGACTCGAGCGATAATCACATGGCGAAGCGAGACAAGATTGAAGATGACCACACCAACGAGCTGGAACAGAGGAATGCGCCTGAGATCAACATCGATGATCTCCCAGACAACTTGGTCCAGAGAGATGTCGAGGTAAATCAAGCGGGAAACCAACCCAGCGATTCGAGCTATAACCACGTGGAGAAGCGAGATATTGACCTCCAACCGAGACACGGTATCTTGAAAGGTAAGTTATTGGGATTAGGAGCCAAGAATCGTCTCGGAAGAGGAGGAGGAGGCCGATTAGGAGGCTTCGGAGGAAGGAACCGCGGCTTCTCAAGACTCCACTGCCGAGGACGATGCGGAGGACATAAAAAGCGCAATGAGTATAGAGCCAGAGTTGAAGGAACTGAAGACCAGTGAAGAGAGGACGGAACCGGAATTCGGCATCCGGTTGTGAACCGTAAAGTTATCGGCATTTGCAACATGTAATCATAGGACGGGTAGGATTGAACTGGACTGAAGAGGAACTGGCAGTTCGTAGTAACTACTTTGGGACCAAGGTCAACAAAGTTATGTATGCCTTTTATATATGCCTTTATGCATTGATTATGTGCCATTCCCAGTTTGATTCGCTGCGAACTAGGCAGTAGGCGAACCCAGTGCAGCGGGTCCGGCGAACACCCCCCGTCAGCCTCCGTCAAACCCCCCGGCTGGGCCCGATGACACCACGATCAGTCCATTCTACGAAGTCTAGACTCCACTTCTAAGACGCAAGAGCACAAAAGCTGACCACAATCCCAGCGGGCCCTTATTTTCCCGACAAAAACATTCCACTGCTAGGCTGAATGTGGCCCCGGCTGAGCGCTCGGGTTCGCGGCCTTGCCCTGCCCAGGCATTCCTCCCCGCATCATTTACGTCGTGGCCTGACATGAATCGTCTAGTCAATCATCGTGAACCAATTTCCAAAAACTTTGTTGTGGGAAGGCATGGGTGGGATTTCGATCAACTCGCTGGCCGACGGTCACCGGCTTATTGGTTTCGGTGACTTTCGTATAAGACTTCATGTGAGGCTCGACGGAAAATGAGAGGAATTGGCTCATCATCCAACAGCATCAGCATCGCCACTCAAGTAATCACAGTTACAACCATTTTAACTCACTTGTATCATCTGCATCTCGCAACTCAACAATTTCGGACAGACTCCATCTCCTCGAGACCCAACCCTGTCTAATACACCACAACTTCACTTTCAAAAAGAACCACCAAAGCCCCCCAAGAAATCAAAATGATCAGCTCGGCAGCCCCCCGCGTCGCCCGTCAAGTCGTTGGCCGCAGACTCTTCTCCACCCGCACACCCCTGCGAGCTCACCACCCTTCCATGACCCAGGAGCTGCAATCTTTTTTCAAGTCTGAACCCCATCAATCCGCCAACTGGAGCAAGATGGCCAAGACGCGCGCCGTCACCTTTGGCATGTGAGTTTTTCTCCTCGGTCCTTTGAGTCGTTTAGCTTCATTGCATACTAATATTCGCTACACAGCTACGCGACTGGCATGACCACCGTCCTTGGCTGGCCCTACGCCGCTGCATGGGCTCTGGATGGCAAAATGGGCTCCGGGATCTGGTAATCGAACCTCTCTGGCATAGCTCTGGCGTTTGGGTTTTGGCATTTAAGCATTAGAATAAATGCATGGTTGGAGTACTTTCCGGCGGAGGATAGCCGCTGGGCGGGTTTTAGAACCGCTCGAAGTCTCACCCCGACTTTTTCATTTATGGACGTCAATCTGGACTAGACTTCGGATGGCACGGCGTCATTCATCTGTACATATTATACCCCCGGCTCTGTATATATCACTGCCAACTATCTCGATAGAAACTATCAAAATTTGCATCTTTAAAATTACTGGCTCTTGATAGGTTTCTTCTTGATCGACGAAAGTGACGATCTATTCGACTCCTGAAGTGGGTACGAAATATGATGTTGAGCTACGCCCTCATTGCTCCTCGTGAAAGAAGCTATACTCAGCCGTACCGTTCGTTCGGTGCCTCAAGATAGATGGTGAACGTATCGGCCTTTTGCTGTCTCCTTTTTCCCCGTGGTTCTGCCCCGCGATGCCAGCTGCGCAACTTGCTTTATCCATGCGTTGGAAGACCCTAAACGCATAAGGTGATATTATGCTTAATTTTGGGCAAAATAGCCGATATTGGGGAACTATGGGGATGCCGAATATCGTATGTCCCGAGTATCGTACGTCCTCCGCATTGAGGCCTAACTGCCCAGACCGACACTCATCACTTGGCCTTCGCGCTTCATACTTCCGCCTGGTAAACACCGCCACTAATTTGTGCGCCACATAAAGCTTGGTTCTTGCAATCGATTTGTAATTCAATTTCACGCAGTATTTGCGTGGAAGGGGGGATGATGATTGTCCTAACGATGTCGATGGGACTATATTTGTGTAGCGTTTACCCAGCACCTTTTAATGACTCCATGAGCAACACAGAAAGCGGGCTCCGCCCAAAAAGAAATGAGACTAGTTAATGACCAATCCTCTACTACAACGGCATACAGAATACCATTATGTTGTCTTGGCTCCACTCCACACCGGACTACTGGATGTATCATTTCACACAACAACCCTAACAAGCCTAACCCCATACGCATGTCGATTTACTGAGCTTCAATAGTTCAAACACTGATCGTCGGGAAGAATTAAGTTTCCATCTTCGATATCTCGAAATATATATTATCTATTTGCCGTAGCGACCGAACTCGCGGCATCCAACTGAGCGACGGTTATGTGGACCCAACCCGGTTGGTTATTATACGAACCTCATGTTGTTCTCGTCCGCGCAATAAAGGAAGGGATGTATCACCTATCGCCAGGCGGGATAGGCGTGGTGTATAAGCCCAAACCAAATAACCAATAATGTCGTGAGAGCGCGATAGCTTCAGCATGCTTCAACTTTTCGAGGTTAATCATCTGACACATCGTCACGACCACCATTACGCAACATGCTTACCTGCCAGGTGACTCTTAGTTGGCCCCTCCGAGAAGGCCAGCGAGTGCTCCGCCCCCAGCGGCCGCGCCAGCCTTTCCCTTTCCTTTCCCGCCAGCACCGCCCGCACCGCCTGCTCCGCCCGCCGCGCCTCCGAGGAGGCCAGCTAATGCTCCCCCACCACCCCCGGCAGCATTACCCTCTATTGATGGAGTCAGCACAAGTCCGCTCATGAGTTTACTGTAAGATATTTTTGGAGGAGCATACTTCCACCACCGCCTCCAGCGGCCTTGCCCGAATGGTGACGCGGCTCGATCGACAGAGCTGTCACCGAGGTAATAAGGACGAGTACGGCGAGGAACTTCATCTTGACAGAGAGTGTAGTCGCGGGTTGACGGATAATAGTTAAGAGAATGAAAAACGGTCCAGCCGAAAGATGAATAGATACTAGGAAAGGTAGAGATGAATGGTAGTTCCGGATGGTGTGGGTGAAAGTTTTAAGATGAGTGAATGTGGAGAGCAAACATACTTATAGGCATTAGATACACGAGCCTCATCAACTCCCTACTATTCTCCATATTTCAAATATTCCATTGGCCGTTCCATTCTTCTTTCTTCATTTTTCACACTACCTTGAAACCTCGTGGGGTTACAGACTCATCCCGTGCTTGCAAATTGGGAAATTGATGGCTGCCTTTAACTACGTCTGATCTCACATCAGGATAATATTATCAATGCATTTCCTCAGCTCGATTCATGAGGCGCAAATTTGGTTTCAACCCCAAACTTAACTTGTGTAACTCGAATAGTGACTACCGTGCAAACATTTAGCGCCAAGCTTCAGGTAACAGACCATCCGTTCTCTATAGCCAGTCTGCAACAAGCAGATCCAAACTCAGACAAGAACTAAACCACAATTCGTTTCATTGTGGGCATTAAACTTCTGTAGGAGTATGGTTGCTAAGAATACGGCCTATCAGGATGCAAGGTTTTGGAGATATCAACGGGCTGTCCCGATGAGATCGTTATGTGTCTACAATGTGTGACGCCAATGACTAGGCTGGGTGCTTTTGGGTTTGCTGGACGGGGACGGATGCTACGATGACGCTTGTCGGATCTGGAATACCCGTCCTCGTTGTTTTTGGAATACCCCTGGTGAGGATCTATTTACAAAGACCGAGAGCAGAGCCGGTCTGGTGGTGCGCAATGTAGGATGTTGACCGTTTATCTTCTGTTGGACCAATGGTGTGATTAAAGAGACATACCCTATGGCGTGCGATGACGCATTGTCAAGGGAAGTTCATCATTGATCAAGTCAAACCCATCACATGGCTGCGATGGCAAAGGTATGGTCATCACTCAAGGTACACAGGAGCGACTGATCTATACTATTGAGGAGAATGTACTCCATTGTCAATGTTTCAATACAAGAGAACTGATTTGGAAACTTGGCGGAGAGAATGAACCGGGGCTGTCCCTAGCGAGAACAGTCGATGTCTAAATGGAATTAAGAAACATGGAATATAGAGGGAATTCACCATAATGTCAGTCCACTGGTGTCGGCTGAGTCAGGAACACCCAATGCTAGACACTGTGTCTGCGAGGAAGTCGGTGAACGGGCTTATTAGGCGAGACATGTGGTTGCCCTAGCCCTTTGGAATACCCATTTCAATGAATTCGGATTATGTAATAATTTGGGGATCAGTACAAAATTTTCATCCGTCTATATAGAGTGAAGATAGCTAAATGAAATAAACGTTAACGTCACCCACAGGTCATTGCCCCACACGGGTCTTTGCCCAACTTTTCAAGAAATCTTGACTTTCCATCTTTACTTATACTATTCTTCCCTTCCACAACATGGCACGCAAATCTAGTGAAGCTAATCTTCAATTAGCCATCCAAACTAAACGACGCGATCCTCACCTAAGTTGGAACAAGCTTGGTAAAATCTTCAAAGTCGACCATAAAGACATTGAAGCGCCGTTACGAAGGCGTACAACCATTACACATTACTAACATGTCCAAACGGAAAATGACCGAAACCGAAGAGAATACGATTACCCGACGCGTAATTGAGCTAGATTCGCGAACTTTTCCTCCCCGGCTTCGATACGTTGAAGAAATGGCGAATATCCTCCGACGCGACCACGACGCGTCACCCGTCGGCAAGAACTGGGCCTCGAGCTTCGTACGGCGACAACCAGACCTCCGGACGCGTTTAAATCGTTGAATCGATTACCAGCGGGCATTCTGCGAAGATCCTGTCGCGTATCGCGGTTATTTTAAGCGTGTTGCGGACACAATAGCGAAGCACGGCATCCAGCCGGAGGATATCTACAATTTTGACGAGACGGGCTTTTTAATGGGCATGATCTCAACCGGCATGGTCGTTACGAGTACCAAAAGACGTGGAAGGCCTAGGCAAGCCCAGCAAGGCAATAGGGAATGGGTTACTGTCATTCAGGCGGCCAATTCCCAAGGCTGGGCGGTGCCGCCGTACATCATCTTCGCGGCCAAAGTTCACCTCGCTTCGTGGTATCGCGACACCACATTACCGGGCAACTGGGTCGTTGATCTATCCCACAACGGATGGACAACGAATGATATTGGTCTCAGCTGGGCAGCTCACTTCGATCTACACACACGCGATCGTACGAAGGGTGTCAAACGCCTCCTGATCCTTGACGGTCACGAAAGCCATCACTCGATGGATTTCGAACAATACTGCAAGGACCATGGCATCATTACCCTTCCTATGCCTGCCCATTCGTCCCATAAGCTCCAGCCTCTCGACTTGGTGCCTTTTAGTGTTTTGAAACGGGCGTACGGTGTGTTTGTTGAGGGTTTGATGCGACGGCATCATACCCACGTTGCGAAGGAGGATTTCCTTGCCGGTTTTTTGGAGGGGTTTGGCGCTGCTTTTACTGAACAAAACATCAGATCTGGTTTCGAAGCAGCTGGAATTGTCCCTTTTGACCCCGACAGGGTTATATCTGCCCTGGATGTCGCAGAAGTCGCGCGTACACCCTCTGCCGACCCAGAACTCCTACCCCCTATTTGGACTTCTAAGACACCTAGTACCACCCTTGAAGCCGAATCGCAGTCAACGTTGATTAAGAATAGCGTTCAGAGGCATCAAGACAGCTCTCCGACGCATATTCTTCATTCAATTGACTCGATTGCAAAGGCTACGCATGCAATGATGCAAGAGAATGTTATCTTGCGTCGCGAGAACGAAGAGCTTCGTGAGACTAACCATGTGCTAAGCAAACGTCGCAGAACCAAAAACAAGCAAATCCAGTATGGTGGGCTACTTAATATAGAAGATGCACAAGTTCTACGGGCTATTAGGGTGATACGGGTTTGGAAAGTGAGGAAGAGGGTGAAAGTAGTCGTCCTACAAGGAGGAGGGCAACGGGTGCTAGGCGCTGTGGCATTTGCGGAGGAACTGGACATAATGCGCGAACTTGTCAGGCAGATGTAGAAACAGATAATGAAAAGAATTCTGATTAATTTCTTGGATGCAGACGGGTTGTTGTTGATCTATCTAAGATTAAAGGTTGGGAGGTCGTGAAAAGTTGGGCAATGTGAAGGTCAACCCTCGCAGACTCACTACAACCAGGTGACGTACAGCTGGAACACCTGCCATGGCAGTGCCAGGTGGGAAGTCAATCATAACCCCTGCAGGAGCCCCGCCAAGCGTGGACGACTTAGTCGCGCCCCCTCAAACCTAAGTTGTGATCTTCTTTTCTTACTATATTGGAATAACAATGTATCTTATCATTGTTCTTTTCTACACGATATTCATCCTATTATGTTCTTTGCATTATCCGAGTAGAACGCTAGAGTAGTCGTATATTATACCTTTCGCAGAGTAGTAGAATATAAATCTCAATTTAAGCATACTGCATCTCGGATGTTATACTTTATTTATTATCATCATTATTATTAAATACGCCGTAGGGTCGAAGCCCCCGGTACCTCTATAAGTACTCCCGTATGTCAAATCGTGGCTTAATAGCTAGACTAAATACATACGCTGCTAGATCGGTTCACCCTAGTAGCGACTACGTTGGTTCTTGTCAGAGAACAGAATGCCATAGGCACCGGTGGGACACCGGTGGGGGCTCTGGTGTAGGAATGTGCGAGTCATGACACGATATGGAAGTCTTGGTTTGCGGAACAATCGGGGAAACTAGTGCTCCGCGGCTCCGACGTCGGGTTCTAGCTATCTATGTAAGGGGCGGAGGCCCGGGAAGAAGATAGAGGGAGAGTAGAGATCAATGCATCACCGTGGGCACCCCTACCTGAGACCGCCAGTGACCACCCGGTATTACGTAGGAGGGACGCCCGTTACTCCCCATCACTCTGTACTATCGCCTTCGGCCTAGCCGTACCCTGACAGTTCTCAACCTACTAACACAGTGTCCTTAAGAAGATCGAAGCTATCTAGGTCCTGGAGCTATCCGGGCCGTCCCTAGCAGCCGCCTTATAATAGTCCTACTAACTACTAGTGCTCTTGTTACAGTTGCAAGGTCTCTGCGAGTATAGAGGCCGCAGTGTGATAGTAGCCCATATAAGAAGATTACGTGCTCTGCTGTTTTAGGTGCGTTACTATAGTGGCATATTGGCGAGTGCAAACTAAAAGCCCCTATCTTATTTAGGAAGGCTGCTAGTCCTATTTTTCCGGTCCCAATCTAGCATAGGGTGGACGCCTCTAGGTTAGTCGGTTCAGGCCGAAAGACTTGCTCGTTCTCGGCATCCGTATCGAAGGGCCCTCTGGTTCCTTAGCGATAGCGCGGCGCTAGTGATCATGCTGCGCTACTTTCTAGGTAGCGAACTGGTGTCGTCTTGTGGGCGCTACAGACTACCCGGAGATTTATATGAAGGCCAAAAAAAGATGTTTTTTTTTTCTTTATGATGGTTACTTCTGGTTTGAAGCGGGGTTTTGTAACCCTACGCTTGGCCGTACCTTCCCATCTAGTCCTTTCCACATAATGACCGCCCTCGGTCATTTTTACTAAGAGCCTTATGGTAAATCTCGTCCTCACGCTTCCGATCTCTTCACCTCTAGATATCTCATCCTGACAGCTTATCTTCCGAATCCTTCATCCACAACGTACACAGCAGGTGACTCCACCTCCCTGATGCCGAGCTCACAATTGCCACGGCCCTAGACCATCCATAGCCTACGAGAGTCCCCGCCTAGTCTCCAAAGTGCTTCTTCAATGTGACTGTCGATATGAGATATTTTGGGTGAGGTGGAAGAAGGGCTGAGGTATTTGCCTCTAGGTATTGGCCTGACGTGACGGTGGTATAGAGCGCCGGCTTGAGGGATCTGAGGTCGACAGCAACGACCCTCCGCTGTAGAATCATGCTGTAAATAACGATAGTGAGGTCCTAAATTGATAAAACAAGTGGGTTGAATAAGTGACAATGCCTTAGAAGGCTAATGATATTTCTCCTCATACTGAGCACCAGATTTATATGAAGGCCAAAAAAAGATGTTTTTTTATGATGGTTACTTCTGGTTTGAAGCGGGGTTTTGTAGCCCTACGCTTGGCCGTACCTTCCCATCTCCCGGAGGCACTTGTTCTATATACCGACCAGGCTCCTAGCTGGCCCTACCGGGTCCTCGCTTTAGTATGCCACGCGATCACCCGAAGGCGATTACGCTACGGATAACCGCCGTATATAGTAGCCTCGCCCGAATAAGATCGTAGCCCTAGAAGATATTAAGTAGCTTTGTTAGAGCTAGCTTCTAAGTTGCTATTTTGATTTGATACACTCGAAATGGGCGTGCTACGTTAGTTTACCGTCGAAATAGGCCCCTGGAAACCTCGCAGAGACCACTGGCGATACCGTAGCGTCTCCAAGGCGAATACTCTGCTGTAAGCGCTCTCTCGGGCCCTAACAAAATGCAGCAGCTCGCTCTTTTCCGGGGCGAATTCCATCGCGTGTCTTACTGCCCACCTGCTTCATTTGGTTACCAGCTTAGCTCCCTCAGCGTTAGATTTGTTTAAATCAAGTCCTGAAGCGTATGTCCTGCATCGGGGCTCAGAGAGATCAATAAACTCATGATGACCAGGAATCGTGTAATTGCACTCATTCCTTGACGATGAGCTGATACTTGGAAGGAAATATCACGATACGCACACCATGCACATTGTCATGCGGACGATGAGCTAGAAACACAATATATTAAAAAGAATACGTACGATGCCGGAAAATAAATAATTGACATGCGGATTTGACGAGAGTGGGATTCGAACCCACGAGGATTGCTCCACCAGGATGTGATTGCTAAGATTGGAACCTTAACCTGACGCCATAACCAACTCGGCCATCTCGCCTCGTTGCAAACAGTTGTTTTTAGAAGGGTTCATGTTTGGCGAGCTTCACGTCGTACGGCGTTGATGGAGCTCTGGATCGTGAGAATTTTGCTGGTTGAGGATATGGAGAATTTGAATTAGGTAAAACTTTGGCGGCTGTATGGAGTTGCCAAATGCGCGATAAAAAGTGGATAGCGGAACCGGATGTACCTTCAACTTTAACATACCGAGACGAACACCTGGAGAGAGCTATGGGGATTGCCAATTTGTTTGGAAGCTACATTGGCAAGTTGGTTGCACAGGCGAGAAGGATTGAGGCGATGAGAGCTTATCCACCACTCACCTTTCGAGGCCGGTGTCTGGTGTCCTACCTGAATCGCAACCATTGACGAAGCGGTGCAACAAGTAGTGTTCAGGAACTAAGCAAGATTAGGTGCATGCATAGGAGGCTCGAAGCATTGGGCTGTACTTCGTAGAACTTCATCCTCTACATTTCGTCTTTCCAAATTCCAAAGTAGGTTAAGCAGAGGGCCTTTTACCGCTCGTCTTGAATCGTATCTTTCAAATCGTCTGGTCTCGGACTAGCGTGGCCCGAGTAATTGGCCAACAGCACTGTCCTCGAGCTCTGAGAGCGGAGAGCTCCTCGCGGCCCGTGGGGATGAATGTGGCAACCTATCGCTGCTACGGCCAAATCACCGATCAGCTAGCCTGACAAGCTGGTGTCTGTCTCCTGGCCCATCGAGTTCACACGTTTACCATCCGCCAACATCAAAACTTAACCTAAACGTCGCGATGGCCAGATCCGTCATGTGGTCACCGTCGAGACTGAGGGTGCTCGCCCTGGGGGCACTGTCGTTATCGCCACGTCTGGTAACGGCACAGCGCAACTACACCCAAGTCGACATGCTGCGAGCTCAGCTGGCGCTTCTCAACGACAGACCCTCTGATTGCCCGCCTTGGTACGTACGCGCCGAGCGCTTTACTGCCACGTATTTCTCGCGACCTAACTGCTTGCTAATCATCTTCGCATAACAGTTTCAATTGTCTCCTCCCAGCCTTCACCTGCGGCCAATATGGCGAATGCAACGAGTACAACGGAAAGTGCGAATGCCCGCCGGGCTTTGGAGGCGATGATTGCTTAGAACCAAGTTCGTCAACCTTGCGGCTGCACATATGAAACAACGGCTAGCAAAGTACTGACTCCCTTTTCCAGCTTGCGGTTCCCTTGCCCGTGGAAAAGACCGACCGATACGCGACGGCGACACCTGCGACTGTGACGACGGTTGGACCGGTATCAACTGCAACGTTTGCACCGAGAATGTCGCCTGCAATGCTCTTATGGAAACAGGAGACGGCGGGGTCTGTTATCAAAACGGAGAGGTCGTCCAGGAAAACTACCAGATGTGCGACGTGACAAACGAAAAGATCTTGTCCATGCTCGATGGCAAGATTCCCCAGGCTACCTTCTCCTGCGAGAGGGAGAGCGGTGTCTGCGACTTCCAGTGTACGTATAGATACCATTGAGTTGCCTCGGTTTACATGCTAACACAGCTGCCAACAGTCTGGATTGATCGCAAGGAATCCTTCTACTGCCACTTGCAAAACTGCAAGTCTGAGGCCGATTTTACCTCCGACCAGAACAGTACCTTCTACAAGTGCCCCGACGTTGAATGCTCGTGTATCCCGGATCGCTTTCTGTGCGGTGAGGATGGCTCAATCGATTTGACCGACTTTCTGAAAGAGTCGGTTGAAGGGCCTGCTGAATTCTCGTGTCTGCAGAAAAATGGTGGCGTCAACGACTGCAAGTTCTCTGAACCGCAGTTGGATTGGATGACCAAGAACGTTTTTGGAGACCCCAATATTGCGCTGACTTGTCGGTCGGGCGAATGCCTTTACCACACTGAAGTTCCTGGATACGAGCGGCCGATCAAGCGCATCAACACCCCCCTTATTGCTGGGGTGATTGCTGGATGCTCGCTGTTTTTGGTCGCTGTCATCCTTCTGGTCTGGTACCTGTCAAGGCGCCATTTCAAGTACCAGCCCATTGCCTTGGACGACTCCGACGATGAGTCCACCAAACTCATGGCTGACCACAAGCCCGCGTCTTTGTATTTTGAGGATGTGTCGTACGAACTAAACGGAAAGCGCATCCTGTACGATATCCAGGGCGTGGCACACCCTGGTGAGATTATGGCCATCATGGGAGCTTCGGGTGCTGGCAAGACGACTTTCCTGGATATCCTAGCCCGCAAGAACAAGCGCGGCCAGGCCAGCGGCAACTTTTATGTTAACGGCGAGAAGGTCATGGATACCGAATACCGAAACGTAGTCGGCTTCGTCGACCAGGAAGACACGATGCTCCCTACCCTGACTGTCCACGAGACAATTCTTAACTCGGCTCTTCTCCGTCTCCCGCGTGGCATGGGTCGCGTCGCCAAGGAGCAGCGGGTATGGGATGTCGAGAAGCAACTTGGCATTTACCACATTCGTGACTCTTTGATTGGTTCAGAAGAGGGCAGAGGTCGTGGTATTTCTGGAGGTGAGAAGCGTCGTGTCGGCATCGCCTGCGAGCTCGTCACTAGCCCTTCGATCCTCTTCCTCGACGAACCTACCAGCGGTCTGGATGCGTATAACGCCTTCAATGTCATCGAATGTCTCGTTACCCTTGCCAAGACCTATAAGCGAACTGTCATCTTCACCATTCATCAGCCGAGATCCAACATCGTGGCGCTTTTCGACCGACTACTTTTGCTGGCTCAGGGAAAGACGGTGTACTCGGGACCCTTTGCACACTGCCAGGAATACTTCGATCGCATCGGATACTCATGCCCTCCCGGTTTCAATATTGCGGATTATCTGGTTGATTTGACCATGCACGCCGGCTCCTTTCAGCCTTTTGATGACGGTACTCTCAACGCCGATGCCACCAGCATCGGCCCAAGTAGCACAAAGGCCGTCAAGTCGATCGCGAGTATTTCCGGCAACAGCACAGCGGAAGACAGCATTTCCACTGAACCCTCATCCAGCCGACCCTCGTCTAGTCGACCGAAGAACAAACGCAAGGATTCCCTCAAGCAGAAGCAAGAGCGAGAGCTGTTCACTCGACGCAAAACTGCTACACCGAATACGGTTGACACGGTTGACACCGCTACATCGTCTGACGTGGAAGAAGAGATTGGAGCCTATAAGCTCAGGAAGCAAAACGCTCCTCCTCTCATTCACGTCGAGGATGTTCACGACCTGCCACCATCCGTCACAAGCGGTACTGATCTTGACACTCTGATGCAGGCATACATTGAGTCGGACATCGCAAGACACACCCACGACGAGATTCGCCAAGCAGTTGAAAATGCCGGAAATGCCAATGGTCGCAACGGTTACACACCGGAGGGTCCAAACATCAACGTCGGCGGCATCGGCAAAGGTTACGCTCGTCCTAGCTACGCTAGGCAGTTCATCATCTTGTCTGGGCGAACGTGGAAAAACCTTTACCGAAACCCTCTATTGATGTTAACCCATTACGCTATTGCTATTCTTCTAGCTGTCCTCTCCGGCTTCCTGTTCTACGGTCTCACGGATGATATTCCAGGCTTCCAGAACCGTCTGGGTCTGTTCTTCTTCCTGCTCGCCCTGTTCGGCTTCAGCACACTTACTAGTCTTAACGTTTTCGCCTCGGAGCGTCTCTTGTTCGTCCGCGAACGAGCCAACGGATACTACTCGCCCATTACCTATTTTGCGGCCAAGGTCTTGTTCGACATCATTCCGCTGCGCATCATTCCGCCCATTATTATGGGATCCATCATCTACCCTATGACAGGCCTCATCCCTGATGCGCCCCACTTCTTCACCTTCATGCTCATCCTGGTTCTGTTCAACCTTGCCGCCGCGGGTATCTGCCTTTTCATCGGCGTAGTGTGCAAGGATGGTAGCGTTGCGAACCTTATCGGATCTCTTGTTATGCTGTTTTCACTGTTGTTCGCGGGATTGTTGCTCAACCATGACGCCATTCCTGCTACTGCTGTGTGGCTCCAGAACCTGTCCATATTCCACTACGGCTTTGAAGGCTTGATTGTCAACGAAGTCCTTAAGCTAGAGCTGGTTGACAGGAAGTACGGCCTCGACATCAACGTTCCCGGTGCTGTGATTCTAAGCAGCTTCGGCTTCGACAACCTGGCCCTGTGGAGCGATGTCATCAACTTGGGCATATTTGCCGCTGTATTCATTCTACTTGCTTATCTCGCTATGCATTTCTTGCTCGTTGAGAAGCGGTAAGCTGCCAATTCCGTAGAAGCTCGAGTAGATGCGAGTTACGGCTAGATGTAGGATACATCTGACATGAATTTGAGGATTGCGGATATGTATTTGATGGGATCGGAAAGTCGACAGAAGACTGCTGGTTCGAAGGGTTTGGCATCTTTTTCTAATCTCTCTTCCCCTATGTTACTACTACACAGCATCGCTCAGTCAAACAGTGCTGAGTCTCATTGTTCATTGAGACGCATGAGGGATTTCGGCGTTTAGGGCTAGTGTATTTGATAAAACATCAGCAGAAATCGATGAGATGTTTAGCATGCACATATTATGTCCCTGGTTGAGGTGTTCCGCGCCATGCTGCTAATTTCATTTCATGTCTCATTCCCTTGGGCGATGCATGGCACGCATGCAACTAAAGTCCGTGGATGACCCAGTGCTTAATCCATGATACCAACTAGTGATCTTGTCAAAACGCCTGAAACCTGGGGAAACCTCAAATGTGCAGGAGATGATTGCGCCACCGTCCCCAGCAGGAAATCATGGGTCCAGGCAAATTCCTCTGTCCTTTCAGTCCTCCAGGATCATGACTATTGAAATGGCTCCAAGATGAAAATTCTCAAAGTCATGTCTTCCACTCCCGCCACAACTATGCCTCTGAGCGCCTTTCGTCCTCCTTTAGACAAGCCCTTTTCCCACGAAGCATCATGATGACAGTATCACCACACATTGAGAAGGGGTAGGATTGGGTTGGAAGGGAGGGTGTGCTGGTGTTACACTGGTGGCGGTGCTTGCGAATAATTTTGGAAACTCAAGTCTTGGAGGGTGATGGAGTTCAGGTTGGGACCCGAGTTGCTGGATTCGTAACCTGTTTCCAACAAGGCCCGAGACCGGAAATTGGAATTGTAGGTCAGAGTGAACTACAGACCACGCTACCTCATTCTGCAAGTCCTGTGTATGAGGTCCACATGTCGCCAGGCGCGTGAGCAAGCGTTGCTACTGGGTCCCCAATGCCAGCGTTTGCAGCAAATGCCAGAACTGCCACTTTCTGCTTCATACCACATTGTGAGAAAGGGACACTGCACGGTCTCTCACACGCACCCTCTCTCTAAAGAGAAAGGGATTATCTAGAGGCCATGAGTGTCATTTGAAAATTATTCGACAGTTATAACCAGAATTCTTGATTGGAACGCAAATGATGCTTCTGTGGGCACTCACTTGGCAGCTGAAGGAATCCAACTGACAGTGGTAGCTCTAGGTTGCACGACAGGAAGCATATGCATGCGGCCTACTGTAATCATAGTGGAAAGCAGGGCCCCCAAAGGTTCGGGTCACAGCATGGAATGGGCAAAATTTTGTCGTTCCAAAGTTGAATAGCGAAATATACTCGTTTTGTCCTTGAAGGTGCATAATGAACATTTGGATAGATACATGAATGAAGATAGCTTCGATTTAGAATATTATTGGGCGCTAGTTCACCATTGAAATGCGATTAGCATATTGTAGACTTGATAGAGGATTAGGTCCTATGAGGCCACGACAAACACTTAGGTTAATTAAGAATCTTTCAGCAGTCCCGGCACGGGGTTGTGGCTGCTGATGGAGGAGTGACCTGTGATATCTTTGACTGAGCAGGCAGGCAGGCATCTTGTAAATTTAGTCCATTAGATGTATTTCAACCCGCCTCGAGTCACATTAACTCGCAGGACTTGACGTAGAAGATTACGTGAGGTCGTTCCTTGCTTTACTTTGGATGTCCATCGTGCAGTTTGTCCTGATATTAGCCCTACCGAAAACGGAAGTCTGGAGGTATCGGAAGTTGGCTGTTCGACCTCTATTCGAGGATTCAGGTCATCCATTCGAGGCGAATGTTAATCACAGTAGTGGAGGACATGACAAAGTGCCAGAAACGAAAATCAATTTATCGAGGCGTCAAGATTCCGTCTCAATGGTCCCTTGGTTTCGAGCAATACCCAGGGGATGATTAGTTAGTAGTTGTCGGCTGGTGTAGTTGGTCACTTCACTGGTAGATAAGTCCCGATTTGAGCCTCGCCCACTTGGGTCGGTGACGAGTCGCGGGTTCGAATCCCGCAGCTGACACACAAGGGGGTTTAGTCAACCCTTACGGCGCGCTGCCCACCTTGTTGACTTCGCCTACCTAGCGATAATAGGGAGATTCGTGCAGTTGAGGATTACGAGCACCCTAGCCAGTCGACCGTCAAGCACTACGTCGGCGGAATATAACTCGACAGCCGGTCCAGAATTCGAATCGTTAATCCGACCCCTTATCGGACCTCGCCTTTCCGATAACGCTCGTCGGCGAACCCGTCCCCTCACGATAGAAGGCGCGCAGCACGCCCTCTCGCCGCGATTCTTGCGAGCGTCTAGACCACGTTACGGTCTATCCACTTGAGCGTATGGTTGAGATGTATACGCTCGACGAGAACCCCAATTAGCAGATACTACGACTTGTCGCGACAAAAAATAGTCGAGCATCTTCTGCACATCAGCAGCATCCCACCCCTGAGGACGAATTTAAGTGCCACATTACCACACTTATCGGTAGTTCAGGCAGGGGTTGTAGCACAGACTTAGGGAGGGACAGGAGGTTTAGTAGTCATTTGGCTACAAGTTTACCTGTATAACCGCCCGACGCGGCTTAAGGGCCCGCTATATCATCTATAGCCCCTTAAGGGAGTACTTGCAGAGGTACCGAGGGTTAACACCTACGGCGTATTTAATATTTTTTTTTTAGTTAGTAGTTTGATGAGTCAAATCCCCGGGGTTTACAGCGTTGAATACAGGTTCGGGTTCCGTGAGGCGCTATGTTGGATTACATTCGGAAGGTTCTTAACTGTGAGGTGGTCTAGAGATGAAGCTAAGACGTATCCAGGCCAACCTGCGAGTCAATGTGGTTCCGTTTACGTTGACATTCGTTTGAGATCTTGGCGAAATGCACTTGATTCATAGCATTGGAATCAGCAACCATTCTAGTCACAAAGTCTAGCTGAGCGCAATCAACGTTATCAGTAGTGTAGATGATCCTGTGATTGGTAAAGTCCAATTTCCAGCGATAGTGCTCGACTATCAGTTAATTACCTAATTATTCGACTTGGAGTTATTCTGTGATCGGATGTTTTCCCTGAAGATGGACGAGTGGTATCAATTTAACATGCACAGAGGGGTCGCCGCATCATGTAGTGAGGTGGTCATGCGAGCTCTGGGGATATCCGTCTAATTTAGCTCTGGCGGCAGAGCCATCGAAGAGGCTATCTATACAATCATGCGGTTTACAAGCAGACGCTTTGTCCCTGTCCTCACCGTAGGCCTTCTCATTCACATTCCCAACTGCATCTCCAATTCCGCATTCTACCCAAGTTACAAGCTACACATAGCCTGGTGCGTTAATTCAGTTCAGCGAGAGCAAATCTTCAGAATGCAGTTCTCCTACTTGATCTCGGCCATTTTCTTCGCCGACGCCCTCGGGCAGCCGTGACCGGGAACTCTCACCTGTTGTACCGGCAACATCTGCGACTGCACTCCGGACGGCATTGACGGCGCTTTATATGATATCTGCAAGGGCATGAAGGGCACGGGATTTGCCCGCTCGCTCGGTCCCGTTGTAACACTGTTTGAGAGATGAGTTCCTACACTCTCGCGAACCTCACAATCTCACAATCCCCTTCCGTCGGTTGGGTTGACCCACGGGCCATCTACAGTGGCTTGGGTTGGGATGGAGACTTTGGTGGCGATTAGCTCTATATTGACTACTAGAGCCTTGATACCTGTGATGATTGATTCCTTATCACACCTAAGGTTTGGTGTGATCGCTATAGTGTCTAACCTCGTGATACGCTTCAGCGTCTGATACCTTCACAATCCCATTGAGGAAGGTTGTTTCATTTCAGCAGAAACAGTGCTGTATTTGTATGCTACTTGTAATCATCGACGATAACCCATTTCCGTAGAAGTAGAACAACGCTGGCGATTGATTATCAAGTCATATCGTCTTGCTCACCATCCCTTTGTATTCACGCGTGATACATGCACCGAACCACCACCACTCCTCATGTATCGACATCACATGAGCTCAATGCCTGGTATCATCTTCAATTCACCGATCCGTCGACCAGTCCTTCATCTGCCACATCCAAGGCTCCTTCCCATCCGACACACTCATCAACCAACCAATAATGAAAACAACTCCAACCATCGTGAAGCAAATCGTCATGAAAACCTCCCAGGGCTCAGAACCCACACGAATCGTTATTGTATGTTCACTAGAACGCCGCCGACTAATGGCGCGACGAATGGAGTAGTAGTTTCGATAACGCCGCCCCCTTGGATCTCCTCCCGGCGTTGATAATAATGGCTGGTGCTCTGAATCCGGATAAGATCGGTAGAAGTGCAAACATGAGGACTCATTGTCCGGCAAAGGTTGTGGTGGTTTGTTTCCAGGCGGATTTGCGGGCTGTTGTTCTCGTACGTTTGTTGGTGATGGTGTTTGTGACATTGGCTTGGGGGGCTCATCAATGGGGAGTATGGGGGGCTCATCAGAGGTTAGCGCGCTCGTCGCATATTTGTTTGAGAGTTTGAGACCTACGTTGCTATGGCTGGCTATCTTGCTTCGGCTGAACGGCAGGAGCATATCTAGGGAGGAGCGAGATTGTAAGGATATCGCGAGCAGATGCTGCTGGCACAAAATGGCTAGAACAACAAGTTTAGATGACGAGTGAAAAAAGCCATTCCGTGCTTCAAGGTGGTTTTCTCAAATCTTCTGCGCACAAAATTGTAAAGCTTGGGTCTGCTAAATTGCATATAGGTTTGTATCGGAGATTAATCTGGGTGTGTACCCCGGCATCTTGGAAGTCAATGTTTCATAAGCATAACCAAACGAACATGTCAAGTCCTACTAGCCTTTTAGCCTTCGACCTCAAAGTTGAGCCCAGTTATTTGGGTGTAATATTGGGTATTGAAGTCACCTGTGGATGCCGAGAAGCCTATTTGTCTGATATCCATACGGTCCACTTGATGTGCACTATACCTGTACGTCGACTATAGCTTGAGACCGATGGACAGGCTAATAGATGGAAAAGATCCTGTCTTGCGCATACAAAACATTTTCATTTCGTTTGGGATACAACGACTAATGTTACTAGACAAGTGGTCGCAGTGGGGGTTGTTTCCTCCAACGGCGGGAATAGCCTATTTATGAGTTTGTATAACCATTTGAATCCAATTCTATGGAATCCAATTTTGGAGAAGTAATATTTTAAAGATGCATTTTAAGTAACGACACCATTTCACGGATCACCTATTTGCTGCTTGCAAAATAGTAAAGGGCCCAAAACATGATCTACAATGATCGCAAGGAGAATAAGAATAACAGGAACATGTTAATATTCAATATTTCTATTGGCAATATTATTCAATACGAGTGATTACATTTTTCAGCTGAATTATGATTTGAATTGTTGATTGGATCGGGATATTCAAGTCCCTTGTCTGTTGGACAAACTACGATTTTGGAAGCCCTTGTATCACAAAATGTCATCAAAGAGATATCCCCGAATTCTTTGTTCTAAATCAATACGTCTCTGTGGCGGTTTTCTACTTTCTCAAGAACGCCTTCTTTTTGTTCTTACAATATTTTAAAGTACCTTGATCTCTGCCTGGAATGCAGATTCTTTGCTGTTGGTCTCTATAGCGTGTTGGAATACCATGTAACACGACGAGTGGATAACAAGATGGATGACAAGATACCAACCAATCTTAGACCGACAGGGGGTTGGTCCAACGGAGACTCGTCACCATACCAAGGATTGATATCCAGATGGACAGAGTAGTGAGGCACGCAGTTCAAGCCTACAACATCGCAAGTTTGGTCACCTGAAGCTTTTTGCCATACAACACAACCATGTTGGATCCCTAACATATGTTTCTTTATTTTCCGTGAGCTAAGAGCCTGATGGGGTTACAGAACGAGTGCCTCCGGGTAGTCTGTGGCGCCCACAAAGCGACGCCGGTTCGCCACCTGGAAGCAGAAGCAGCAATCCCGCCACTAGACCTCTATCTTAGTGCCCGGGCTGCTAAGTTTGAAGAACGGCTACGGCTTAGCGGGAAGAGAAATCTGCTTCGCAGCGCGAGCGCTAAAGCGTCACATATACTCCGGCAGGATAGGCCGGCGAAGAGGAAGCAGGCGTCGCAGCTACTCCGACCGGCAGGGTACACTATGGAGAAGGAGGCCCGGGGCTCCGAGTGGATGAGTGAGGAAAAGGAGGTCCCGGCTGCCCTCCTCGGCCACTGGAGGAAGAGATGGCTCACCGGAGCAGAGCATCACGATCGCCAGCGACGCGCCATCGCTGAGGAACCGGAGGGCCCTTCGATGCAGATACCGAAAGGGGGCAAGTATTTCGGCCTGAACTGACTGGAAGCGTCTACGCTGTGCCAGATCAGGACGGAAAAAATAGGACTAGCAGCCTTCTTATTCAAGACAGGGGCTTTTGGCGTGTACTCGCCGCTATGCCGCTGTGGCGACGCCCCTGAGACGGCAGAGCACGTAATCCTCGTTTGCGGGCTGTTGGAAGGACCGAGAGAACGATTACGGGCCGCTATCGCACCACGGCCACTATACTCTCGCAGAGACCTCGCAACGGCAACAGGAGAACCAGTAGTTAGTGGGACTATTGTAAGGTGGCTGCTAGGGACGGGTCGGACAGCTTCAAGGCCCAGATAGCATCGATCTTCTCAGGGGGGACTTTGTTGGTAGGTTGAGAACCAACGTAGTATGGTAGTGAACGCAACGGAGTCGCCAATAGGGCGAACCGACGACGCAGCGTATGTATTTAGTCCAGCCATTAGGGCACGGTCTGACATACGGGAGTACTAGTAGAGGTACCGGGGGCTTCGAGCCTACGGCGTATTTAATAATAATAATAATATTTTCCGGCTGTTGAGCGGCTGTTGGGCATAAGTATCACTAAGGAATAGAGGTTTATTTGTTCCTAAGAGGGCCATCGCATGACCCCAGAAAAATTAGCAATGCTATTGCTGTCTTTGTTTAGGAAATAGCGACCGATGCCTCATGCTGAATATATGGTCACCAGATGAGTTGGTTTAGGACATGGATACATCATCTGGCTTCACCAGCAGGCACGTGGTTTCCACATCTCCTGATTTTGTATCTGTTCAATGTGACAACGGACAAAGAAACATCTTTGATTGTAACTAGTACCTATAATTTACATGGTACGTATCAGCATAAATTAGTGTCCTAGTTCCAACAAGCCTACGGTATATTACAAGTTACTTGTGATGGTGCAACATACAACACAATGGCGAGCTCTTCTCGTGACTTGATCACGATGGTCTCCACGTGTAATCTTGATGAGGTCTGTCCACTCTGTGGCGGAGACTCCAAGCGGAATCCAACCCTCTGAAAGTGTCTTCATCTTCATTTCATTTGCCAACTCCTGACCTTTCGCTTATAAACCTGAATGCGTGTCTCGAATATTTAAAGAAGCCAATGCACCATGATGAATCTGCTTGTTTTCAGCCAATTTCCATCCAAATTTCATCGAGCAACGCCGAGAAGTATCCCAGTAAACATGATACCATCTTGGAAGAAGAAGCACAACTGTGAAACTAAATTGGAAGAAAAGTGGGTTCCCAATGATGCACCACCGGCCTACGAAGAAATACAAAATAATATTAAATACGCCGTAGGTGTTAACCCTCGGTACCTCTACAAGTACTCCCTTAAGGGGCTATAGATGATATAGCGGGCCCTTAAGCCGCGTCGGGCGGTTATACAGGTAAACTTGTAGCCAAATGACTACTAAACCTCCTGTCCCTCCCTAAGTCTGTGCTACAACCCCTGCCTGAACTACCGATAAGTGTGGTAATGTGGCACTTAAATTCGTCCTCAGGGGTGGGATGCTGCTGATGTGCAGAAGATGCTCGACTATTTTTTTGTCGCGACAAGTCGTAGTATCTGCTAATTGGGGTTCTCGTCGAGCGTATACATCTCAACCATACGCTCAAGTGGATAGACCGTAACGTGATCTAGACGCTCGCAAGAATCGCGGCGAGAGGGGGTCCGATAAGGGGTCGGATTAACGATTCGAATTCTGGACCGGCTGTCGAGTTATATTCCGCCGACGTAGTGCTTGACGGTCGACTGGCTAGGATGCTCGTAATCCTAAACTGCACCAATCTCCCTATTATCGCTAGGTAGGCGAAGTCAACAAGGTGGGCAGCGCGCCGTAAGGGTTGACTAAACCCCCTTGTGTGTCAGCTGCGGGATTCGAACCCGCGACTCGTCACCGACCCAAGTGGGCGAGGCTCAAATCGGGACTTATCTACCAGCGAAGTGACCAACTACACCAGCCGACCGAAGAAATACAAAAGTCCCAAGCAAACCTTTCAGCAACAGGTCCGGCTGCGCAGCAACGAGAAGCAACATGGCCAGTCATTACAGGCATGGACCCATATCATCCAGATGGGGTTCAGATTCTCAGAGATGCGGCTAGTCTCTTCTTAGCCTCAAAAGGTGAAAGTTCTGAGGTAACTCACCATAGAAAACGGTCCATACCGACAATGGGCAGTAATAAAGCACAGCTGCTTTATGATTACATCCTTGACAACGTATACGATTATACATATACCAGCGTCATGAACGGGTATGGCAAGCTCTGGAAGGCCGAATATAAAGACAAGGTCGTCGGTGCGCTACTCGCGGTGCAATGGTATGGAAATAAGACGAGTGGCCATATCAAGTCCATAGAAATTGACCCCAAGCAACACTACGCAACGTATATACCAAACGCCCGGCAGACCATTCATACAGCGAACCTAAAAACTTAAAACCGAAACAGAAGAAAAAAGCATTCAGGCAAACGGCACCACAATGAGGATTTGATGCATCTTGACAAGTCGTGGTATGTTGGGTCAACACCCAAGGAAATGCTGTCGTTTTATGACAAGGCGTGGGCAGATGAAGTGGAAAGGAACTTCGACGACGCTAAAAATCTCCGCGCGGCAGATTTCGAACGCAACTACTTTTGGTGTATGTATTTGCAGCCCACGTCCGTTGTCCAGATTTATGACGATGTAAGGGAGCTAACTAAGTTGCAGACTTGCATGATGTGGCGGTGGACGAAAGCATTGGTCAAGAGTTAGCTTTGAAAGTAAAGCACGAGTTAATCCAGTATTATTTATCGCACGTCCGCGAATTCGGCGACCAACTCAACAACTCGGACAAGACAGGCGGCTTGGCAATTCGCGACTTGAAATCTGAGCCATACGGCGAAACATTCTGGAAACTGTGTGGCTTTCGAGTATTTCAAACAGGGCAACAGGTTATAAAAGATCGAGATTCGTTGAACTTGGCGAGAGCACTGGTAAACCCCAGAGGCGACGGCAGGTTTACTCTCTTGACCTGTAACATGAACCGAGCAACTGAAGGCCAAGCGACGGATGAGCAGCCAGATGTAGATTTGGAGGAGAAATTGAAAAGCATTCTAGAGATGGAGTCAGGGTATAATTTAGATTCAAATTCCGGTTCATCTTCCAACTGTTATTCTAAGTAGAACCCGAATATAGGACAAAGATCCTCTTAAAGTGGCTCTAATATAAAACTTTTTCCGCAAATGGCGTCTTAACCTAACAAAATTTGAGACCGTTTCTACACGTCCCGGAAAAGTCGCCAAATAGGATGCACTACTGAGAGCCATACCAGCTAAAATTTCACTACGTCTTTATACTCCTCAGTTCTAGCTTCGAGCAACGGCTGACGTATAGACAAGGGGTTGTTTCGGTTGGGAAGCGCAATGCCCATATAAATGCTCGGATCAACAGGAAATCTCATGACAACTATCAACTTAAGTAAGTGGTTGAGAGGCCGAGTACTGTACGCCAATATTTCAGAAGTTCCTGGCACAAGTCTACTCCGGCATGACTAGTAAACAGCTATATACCCTAACGCTATATTAGAGCCGTCGCCGTAGGGAAATGGTTGAAGATAATAAAACCCGATATTGATGTAACAGTCATCTAGTATGTAGTACTGCAGCTGTATCTAAGGGCGTTTATCAGACCAATTGCATTCTTTGCTTTCCCCAGTTAACACTGGTGTGGCGGTTGTAACCCTGTGATACTGGCGCTTGGGGTAGCAGTACCACCATCCTCGACACGTCTCACCTAACTTGTTGAAGTGATTTAATATCTGAAGTGTATTATCACCACTGTTAATTGTACCACGCGCGACTTCCAACGAGTAAGTCTTTTCAAACATGCACAGAAAATTATGAGTAACTTCTCATTAGATCACTTTTTCGTGGTCTTTCAAAAAATCAAATTCAAGCCCTAAAATCCTCCTAGAACAGCATCACCAAAGACCCCAACCACTCAAGCATCTTCCACCATCTCCTACCCAGCGACTTGCCCTCTTCAGAGAAAACAGCCCGCCATCTACCAGACGAAGCTGTGGGCCTCATCGGAGCGGGACTCGAAACCACGAGCTGGAATTTGGTCACCGTTACTCTCTACCTACTCACCCGCCCTGCTATCTTCACCAGAGTCGACGCTGAAATCAGCAGCTTCATTACGATGAGCAATGATAAAGAGCTGCCGCAGAGTATATCTAGAGCAGCGATCCTATTTGATTGCGTTCGTCTCAGAAACACTCCGGTTATCCTACGGTATCGCGACTCGGCTGGCTCGAGTTGCCCCTGAACAGACGCTGGCTTATCATGATGAATTCCAGGGTGAAACAGTGCATAAGCACATCCCGCTAGGGTTGAGGGAGGATGTGGCGAGAAGGTTGGATTTGGATGTGTTGCCTTTTTCAAAGGGGAGTTGGCAGTGTACTGGGATGAAGCAAATTGATTGATTCACTCTTGTCTGAGGATTTTCTGATGATGGGCTTGTCTGAGACTGTGACTGTTGAGTTATAGCCTAGACTGTTACGAGCTTTACGTCGGGAGTTGGCTTTAGTGTTGCGCGTGCTCCCATATGAGGTTGTTTGAGACGGGTGTGAATGACGTCAAGTCTTATTGATGGATTCCTGCCGATGCCCAATTCTGGGAGCAGGGGGATACAGGTTATCATGAACTGATATCAAGCGGATGTCATTGGTATTGGTACATACATATGCAGAACTGGGCTGATGGAGGGCCAATGGAGGTGCAGTGGTGAGATTACAGGCGTGTTTTGGTGGAACTTTACCGACCAATATGCAGCAATGACTTCCCTTCCTTCTCTTGTTGGACATCGTGCTCGATGGGATCCCCGACGCTTATCGTTCAAGTTTCTTGACGGGCGTTGTCATTCGCAGCTGTTGTAGCAAGGTATGTAATGAAACGCTGCAGGACACAGGATGATGTGTCCTCAATACGCTAACACAACAAAATAAGTTGCTTTGTATACACACAGCCCACACGGTGTCGCAGGGCCAGCGAGTATGCAATGCATCAAGAGAATTAATGTTTCAAAGGTCTGGTGCGCAGCGGTTTCCGCTATAAGGACGCAAGGGGGAAACGACCCATTGCTTGGAAGTACCCCTCTCAGTATGTACGACAGAGCTCGACTCTCGATACAGCCTCTATAACACGATACACGCAGATCGTACACGTTCCTGCTGGAGCTCAGCTAGCTAAAAGATACGCCACATATCCATGGGCCCACCCGTCAAGTCCTCAGTGATCTTCTTTTGTCGCTTCTTGGTGCGGTTACCATCATCTTTGATACCAGAGTCCACAGCCTTGTTATCGGTCTTAGTGACGTCGCTCAGCATCTCGCGTACCGACATAGGCATCCCGGGAACATCCCAAACGTTCTGTGCCTTGTATCCGGTAGAGCTCCCCACACTCGAAAAGTAGTCGTCTTTGAACAGCTTCTCGATCTGGGCATTGAGCTCTTCCTCGTCCACGATGAAGGACCTTGCATTCATGTATAGGTGTTGCAGAGCATCTTGACGATCATCGGACTTCTTTTCGACAAGCTTCCGCGTACGTTGTCGCGACTTGCGCGCGGTCACGAAGGCTAAGGGGTCGCGTGAGACGGCCGTCTCGAGCAACACGGCCGGTATGGTGGCTTCTGTGAACACTTCGTCTTCGCGCTTCGGCATATTCATGGCCTCGGTGTTGCGCCGCACCTTCCTCCTGTTTCGAACGTCCCTCACGTTCTCAGTCTCTATCTTCCGCTCCCACAACTGCGTAATACCCTCTTCGAGGTTCTTCCGTCGTGATGCGGCCATGCGACGTTCCCAGGCTTCATGTTCACTCAATGGCTCCCGCTGGGACTTTTTCGAAGTCGGCAGTGGCGCGGACTTTTGCAGAAACAGGGGATCGGCTTTCCTGACGGCGCTGTTTCGTTGTCTGAAGACGGGCCGGGGGATGGGCAAGTGGCCTTTGTATTCGAGGGGCGATGGTTTGTTATCAACTTCGTCTGACTGTGAAAGTGGGGCCTTGGGGACATTGATGTAGTCAGGAGACTCGGGCGGGATCTTGGTGACTTGACGGACAGTAGTCGTAGAGAAGTGCTTGACGAATGCCGATGCAGTAGGCTGCATGGAGGACGGTGTTATCGACAGAACACGTGCTATTGATGGAGCCATTGTATGAAAGTTTGAAGTGCCAATCGGCACGAATATCGGGGTATTACGTCCCAATGGGTCGTGATGTAGCGCCGTTGACCAGCTCGAGATTAAATCGTAACCTCTCCAATGTGAGCTTGAACAATTGGAAACATTGAAAAGTTGAGAGAACGGCCAATTGTTGCACCGAGTTCCGCTACGAGACCCGCTCGGGCCATTTGAACTTCGTTTCTGCCCAGTCACACCGCCAAATTATCTTGATCTTGCAGGTGGGCTTTTTCAATTCCGCTCTCAAGAAATTTCAGATAGCTCCCCGCCAGCCATCGATTGCAGTTACAACACAACCTCTTTTCTCCTTTCTTCTCAGATTTTGCCACGGTTCAGGAGCAATTATCTACAGCACATTGTATGATACCATCGATTGAACTCAGTCCAACTCTCCATCATGGGTACCGCCAAGAAGGAGAAGTCGAGACTTGCTCGCGAGGGCAAGTCTGGCTCTGGCATGGATAACCTCAAGGTCAAGGGAGAGAACTTTTACCGGACCGGAAAGAAGGCAAAAACTTTGAAGATGCGAGATTCGGCTGGCAACAAAGCACAGCGCAATGCCGATGGAAGGATAACACAAGCAGCCGCATACCAATCAAGGGATGCTCCTGTCGCACGTGTTGAACCAAACAGGCAAGTGCCGATTCCATGCCCAGGACTCGTGTCCAATTGTCTGCATGAAGCCTCGTATTAACACTATTTGCAGAAAGTGGTTCACAAATACGCGAGTAATATCCCAGGACTCGTTGACTGCCTTCCGAGATGCCATGGCCGAGAAGGCGAAGGACCCATACCAAGTCCTGCTCAAGCAAAACAAGCTCCCCATGACTTTGATCCGAGATGGCTCAGATACCAACGGTCTTAAGCAACATAAGGCAAAGATGACTGTGGAAAGCACACCCTTCGATACAGTCTTTGGGCCCAGGAGTCAACGCAAACGAGTGAAGCTCGATGTGAGCAGCTTCGCCGACTTGGCCGAGGACACCGAAAAGAGCATGGATACCTACAAGGATCGCCTTGAGCAAGCCCACCTGCTGAGTGGCAACTCTGGTGCTGGTGCTGAAGCACCTGGAGATATGGAGGGACAGAAAGAGGATGCGCTTTCAATTGCCATAGAGCCCATTTTCAACAAGGGCCAGAGCAAACGGATATGGTCAGTCCTTGAAGCTTTCTCCTTCTACTCCCAAGCAACCGATGGGCACTTGCCACACTGCTTCGAAAAGCACAATCACTGACTTGCCCACAGGAACGAGCTTTACAAAGTCTTGGACTCAAGCGATGTCGTAATACACGTCTTGGACGCTAGAGATCCCCTTGGGACAAGGTGTCGTAGTGTCGTAAGTTGATCCTCCAATCGCATCGCCCTCACATTTTCCCAGACGCTCTGCTGGCCCAGTGCAACACATACGTTGAAGTAGCTCATACTGAATATGATTTCTACAGGAGAAATATTTGAAGGAAGAGGCGCCACATAAACATTTGATCTTCGTGCTGAACAAGTGTGACTTAGTCCCGACCAGCGTCGCAGTGAGTTTCTCCCTTTCTTTTTCTCCATTACCCCAACGCTTTGAAGTCAGGATCCTTCCGCATCTCATGCACTCGCCATGGAAAAGATCTGTTAAGCCGTTGGGAGAACGAATTTCTTGCTCGAGTTCCTGTGCCCTCGGGCCAGTAGCTGACTAGACCCCGTCTTGGGGTTTGGTCATGAGTAAGGTTGTTTCACGATGAGTTGAAGTCTACCTCTACCTTCTGGGTGGCTCGTGGTGGTTTTCTTAGTAGTGCTACATACATGCTTTCTGTTTACATTTTTTTTGATCTTCGTATTGAGGGCGCCGCTAACGATGCAAAGGCTGCATGGGTACGCCATCTTTCCAAAGAGGTCCCAACGCTGGCCATGCATGCGTCCATCACGAACTCCTTTGGAAAGGGGTCATTGATTCAACTTCTCCGCCAATTCTCTAGCCTACACAGTGACAGGAAGCAGATTTCTGTCGGCTTTATCGGTTACCCAAATACCGGAAAATCGAGCATAATCAACTGCCTAAAAGCCAAGAAAGTGTGCACAATAGCTCCCAGTATGTTGATTGCGTCATCTTCCCGAAAGGAAACCTTCTCTAACCCATTCTAGTTCCTGGGGAGACCAAAGTGTGGCAATGTTAGTGACTCTGACTCACTTCGTTGGAACTGAAAATGCTAACATGTGTAGATATCACGCTCATGAAGCGCATTTACCTGGTTTGTGCATGCATAATCTACTGGACATATTCCTTTCCCTAACAGCATTGCAGATCGATTGCCCTGGAGTGGTTCCGCCAAATGCGAATGACTCGCCTACTGTAAGTTTCCTGATTGTCTCTCTTTTGCACATCTGCATCGTTTGACAACGAGTGGCATGCCCATGTCACGCAATACCTTCCTTAAAATTGGCAGCGGAGCATGGAACCACCGCTGATACTTCTCTAGGATATTTTGCTGAGAGGTGTCTGTCGCGTCGAAATGGTCGATAACCCTGAGCAATATATGCCGGCTGTGCTTGCCAAGGTCAAAACACACCACATGGAGCGGACCTACCAGCTCAAGGGGTGGAATGGTGATCACATGATTTTCTTGGAGATGCTTGCGCGCAAAGGTGGCCGCTTGTTGAAGGGAGGCGAGCCTGATGTAAGTTTTGATGTCATTCAGTTTCGTGTTCTCCAGCTGATGATTATTCGAACAGGTTGATGGTGTTGCAAAGAGTAAGTCATGCTATTATGCTTTCCGATCTGGCCACCAGCTTTCTGCCAAAACAGATTCAAGCTCGAAGTCGGTCCCATGGCTTCTTAAGGCAATATACTAACTTGTCCAGTGGTTCTGACGGACTTTATGCGAGGCAAGATTCCATGGTTTACTCCCGCTCCTACTGTTGAGGGTGAGGAAAGCACAGCTATCGAAGGCCGCGAGGGTAGGCTTGGCGAGATGCCCATGAAGCGAAAGCGAGACGATGCGGAGAGTGTTCCCGATACATCCATGGTAGCTTCTACGGCCGGAGATGCATGCGGTGACGAGGAGTTCGATGGCTTCGACAGCGACAGTGATAGCGATGATGAAGCTATTGAGAAGGCTAAGAAGGCAGTAATGAAGGCTGATGCAGGTGGCGAGGAAGATATGATACCCCTGGATGTGTCGAGCGATGAGGAAGATGAGTCGGATGATGGAGACGATGACTGAATGGACGTTGGGTGTGGGATAAACCCATCGTAGATCAGTCTATGCCTGCACTCACCCAATCCCAGGGCAGCCTACGAACATGGCATGCGACCTCCCAGCGTCGAGTCGAGGGAATACCCTCGTTTGATGTCGCGCCGCCTGTGGTTTGGGGTGGGGGGGAGGGGGGAGGGTTGACATCGTTCTTTTGAGGAGGCTTGATAGCCAACCGCAATGGACCGCCGCCATGACTGTACTGGTCATTGTGGGAAAAGCATACGTAGCTACGGGCAATAACCGCCCGGCTCATGGACCCAGATGGTAAGCTCATCGTTGTATTGGTAGCAATAGCCTCTGGGTGACCTGAACGAATGCAATCACAGGCAGAAAGTGCGTTACACCTGCCAGCCCACCTTATCAAAGCGCCTTCTCAAAAATCTGTGATCATATCCGCAGCCACCGAATCGATTTTGCGGCAGTTGTCTCAAACCTGCCTTGCACCTTCCGTGACTCGGATGCTGCGAACATCAAATATCTTCTACTTCCCAATTTCCTGCTTCAGACACCATGCCGACGTACTTCAAAAGTCATCTGGGGTGATTGATATTCGACCTACCCTGGCCAACACTATTTTGGCCCGCCTTGTTTTGGAGCCCCTACAACAATTCCTGTCGCTTCTCGTACTCGTCCTTCTGCATTGCCTGCCATTTTACCACCAGTCTGAGTCCCCAAAGCTCGTTCCCGAAAATCCATCATTCTCGTCATCTCGGCAGCTTGGCTTATCAATGCTAACACTGTCTTGATCCGCCCTAATCTGACTTAAAACTTGGCCCGTATTCCTCACGGCTGTCTCGAACTCTCAAATACCCACCACTCCAGCCATTCACTTCGAGATGCTGGCATTCATGGCGCTCCTGGTATGGGGAATCCTCTTTACATCCTTTAGCCAGGGTAATGCGATTTCCATTCGATCCAATGCAGCGTGTGGCTTTCATTTGTCAACTTCGTCAAGCTCGGGTGAAATCTCCGTTGGCCAATTAAGCAACGGGCAGGCGAGAGCTGGTAAGGGGATCAAACCGTCCGTCTTCACTTGGTTCGGTGATGCGTTTTTGGATCAGCAGGGGAGGGGGTGTTGGTGGACTCGTAAGTTGTTCTTTACCGTTCCCCCTGTTTCCCGCTTTATTCTGTCCAAGTTCCATACTCCCCCAAGTTTCATACTTCCTCCCAAAAATCAACATCACCTTTATCAACCCTAAGTTCACACCCCACCAGCCCCTACATCCGTCCTCCAATGCGACATCAATCAACAACCCGACCACCGCTTCGAGATTGGCTGTGACGGCACCTTGAGCTACCTTAGTCAGTCGACCTTCTATCAATGCCAAACCGGCGATGACGATCAGGTCAACATATACTTGTCGTCGAGTGGTGGTAATTGTCAACCCATCAGTTTGGTGACCAGTGGGTGTATGGATTTGGCTACTTGTTCGGATACTACGTCGTCTAGGAGGGTAGGAGAAGGTGGTGGTAACACTAGACCGCAGTCTGTTACGGCAACCAATCGTGGTGGAGGTGATGGGAGTGGGAACAGTCCTTCGGGTGCTGGAGGAAATCCAACGATGACGACCCGTGGAGGTGGAAATGGTAATGGACCTTCGGTGGTGACTTTCACGCTGACTGTTACGACACCTGGCGGAGAAGATGGTGGTGAGGATGGACCCGAGTCTACACCTGGGAATGGCAATCCGTCTACGACTGGTGCTGGTGCTGGAAGTGGAAAACCTTCTAGAAATAGCAATGGCCACTCTACCTCAGCAGGACCGCAGACAGTTACGACTATGCCGAACGGGGTTTGCTCTGGTCCCAGCAGTGGTGGAAACAGGAATGGACCCTCAGGTATCTCAGAGGGTGGTCCATCTGGTAATCTAGGCCAATCTGGAGGAGCTGGGCCATCAAGTGCTAGTCCTTCTAGCTCTGGACCTGGTAATGGCGGAAACAGCGGGAGTCCAATTATGACGCCCTCCACGATCAGCCTGTCCCTTTCAACTTCCCACTCTGACTCAAATCCAGCAGCGAGCTCCAACTTCAAGGGTCCTGGTTCCTCTCCAAACGGTGCTGTCGGAAACTCTACTCCTGCTTCAGGGTCAAATCCTTCATCAAGCTCAACCTCCGGCTCAAATCCCAATTGCAGCTCTTCCTCTCGGTCTAGTCCAAACACCAGCTCCTCCGCAGGCGCAGGCGGCAGCTTGAGCCCTCAACCACAACCCCAACCCACCGTTCATCCAGCCCCCGTCCTCCCACCAGCCCCAGTCTCCTGTCCACCCGACCTCGATGGCCCCTTCGAATCCCCTCACCTCATAATCCCCATCGACAAAGCCCACCCAACGAAACCCTACGGCTCATCACTCTTCGGCCAAGTCTCGGAAAACGCATCCACAATCTTCAACTTCGATATACCCCTTTCCTCGGCCGCCACGGATCAAAGCTGCAAGACCATCTTTGCGTTTCCAACCAAAGACCAGCTACAGACATCGTCGTATTTCTTCACGGGGGATGGACTGGTAAGTTTTGCTAGGTTGGGTGAGGACGTGGGGGTCGGGTTGGATACTACATATGATAAAGCGGTGGAGATGGGGAGGGGGGAACGGGAGTTGGGGGTGTTTGAGTTGAGACCCGGGAATACTTATGTTATTGAGAGTTTTGAGTGTAAGGAGTTGGCAGGGAGGGAGGTGGTGTATGTGATGATGGTTGCGAAGGGGTATGGGGATGGAGTGGAGACTTGTCTGGTATATTTTCAGGATTGGAATCCGAGTCCGATTGGGTTATTTATAAGGAAGTGCTGAGGGGTTAGGGGATGGGATGCTTCGAGAGGCTGAACAGAAGAGGATGAGTGTTGATAACTTTGCGAAAGAGAGGAGGGGGCATGACTTGGTCTTAGGTGGAGACCATTTTGGTGATTTTCTGCTCAATCGGAGCACACTCTTATCCGGTGATTTTTGGACGCGGAATTCAAGGCATATAGTAGGATTACTTAGGGATGTCGTACACTCGTAAGTAATGCGACTTTTTGACGGAAGAATGATGCATACTTGAGTACGTTCGATAGATAGCGATACCAAATGCCAATGTGCAGTGTCCAAACAGCATCTACTGCATTATAGTACCCTACCCCCTAGTGGCATGCATTAGCAAGTCATGACAGGTTCCTGTGGGCAGATATTCAAGTGAAACAGCTTTTGAAACTCAGGACTCAAAGTGCCGTTACGAATCGCTTGGGTAAACCAGCGACGAGTCTGAAGAATGCCTATAATGAGATCTATGAAGAGATCGAATTTCTTCACCCTAAAAAGAGTGCAAAATACCTTTGTTGCGGCGGCGGCTTTCTCAAAACATCAAGAAAAGATTAGGAAAACGATTCAACTTCTTGTCGAATACGCCGCGGACTTGAAAATGACTCTTCCTATGAGAAAACGGAGATACTGTGTCTTTATTGGAATAAGAGGAGAGAGCAAGTATACCTTAGAAGAGGGGGCAAACGAAAACTAGCTCTTCGATAAGCAGTGTTCAAATACGCTTTATGGGATTATACCAGCCTTTCTTACCGTATATCTAGTGAGGGCATCTTGCAACTACTTTCGATACGGGCCATATATATCAACCGAGCGTTTGTAAAGGGCAGGAATTGGACCAACCCTCGTAAGCTCATTTTCAGACTTTCTTCGGTGGAAATGAGTAAAAACAACGACATATAAACCCCTCCAGTCTCCAACTGAATCCATCAAAGATAATCAGATAATCAGACACCGTTACTTTCTTCTCAATTATACTCTCAGAAATTGGCACCTTTCTGAGATCATACCGTAGCCCACCCCTAGAAGGGCGTGTACTTGCTTGATGGCAGGACATACCAACCACCGCTCAAATGTATGGTGGAAAGAAACTTCCGCTGTTGGCAACTCCTCGAGAACACCCCGCCCTGCGGATCTCTGCGGGTGTGCATAACGAGTTCCCTTCGCCCCACCCTCACATCAAGTATTGCTATTTAGTTCTTGATCCCACTCGATGGCAACCTTTAAAGCTGTGACTGTGGCCCGTGGTACAGTTTCCGACATCGACTCAAGTGGTCACGGCTCAAGGTTCATGTGGCCACACCCGAGCCTTTGACTTGTTGCCGCCGACATCAACGACAGGCAGGAACACACCAGGTGTTTTTAATAATATTGAAGCATCTCTGAACTAGCTGAATAGAAGGATTCAAGAAATGGACATTTGGCAAGTCAGATATCCGAATGGAAGTTGCGAACGTGACAAACACCTCAAATTGTGAAGCCATATTGGCGTTTTTAAGTAAAGCATGTGGTGCTCTCTTCAAGAACCGAGGCTAATGAACCTTCCATTGCATCTTGTCAATGATTTCAACTCGGGGAATCTCTCTTCGACCAGCAAGCTATCATACCTTCCTCGTCTGCCTCTCAAAATTCCATCCGAGGTAATTCAGTGCACGCAGATCACGACAATCGCCGAATTACGAATCTTCTTCATATCACAATTAATCAATCAACACCATGAATCACATCACATTACCAAACTTAAAGGCCAGACCTTTTTTGGTATTTTGTTCATATTGGGCACTATGAGCTCTGCCACTTAGTTCTTATGTAAGCCAACCAAGATGAACCCTTTTGTGGGCATCTGGTATACAAGACATTCCTACACTACAGAGCAAAGATGAAAGGAACCCCCTGTCCCTGTCTGTCTGCCAAATACGGCCCTTGGTTTGGTTTTCTGGTTGTCGTATAAGAACTAGGCGCAGAAAAACAAACCAAAGCCACGAGGTAGTGCCATGATGTTGTGGTTCCATTATAAATTTCTTTCCATCCTGAATTGGGCTCATTTGACTTCCCGTGATCCTTCGGCACTTCAACATGATTCTCGAGCGCGCAGGGAATGGGGAGATCAGATGATAATAAGAGATGGTTAGACGGGCGGACGGACGACATGGTCAATGCAGACGACAGATGACAGATAGGTCCTTGGGTGCAAAGGGAAATTGGTTGGGGATTTGCTGAATTTTCAGAATTTTCTGGTGCGGTGTTTTGGGGTGAAGTTCGTTGATGGTGCGCAATGGGGGTATTGGTGAAAGCTGAAGATGTTCTCATCTGATAGTGTAGAGACGAGAATGTACCAGAAATTTGGCAATGAAAATTCCTGAAGAAAATAACTTCGGAACGTGATGCCGAAGAATCGTCATCCTAGCGTCAGGTAAAGAGGGTGTCGAAGTGCAACGTTGAAGGTGTTCTCGTGGAAAGCGAGTAGATGGTCGTATAGGAGAGTCATCTAATCGCAGATCATCTCATCACCCTCACCAGACACCTCCTTCTCCTTTCCCTTCTCCGAGCGAACTCGAGCGCCGGTCGCAGAACCCTCAGCCGGAGCATCCGGAGCAGACGCAGACCCCTCAACGGAGCCCGAGACAGCCGCAGCTCTGTTCTTGGAGGGCTTACCATTCTTCTTGTCTCGAATCATGACCTCCCACTCCTTATCTAGTACCTCAACCATGTCGATCATCTTCTTTCCGGCGATGTCGTACTTCATCCCCTTAGGAGTAAGCCATCCGTAGCGAACTTCATCTTCGCCTTCATCGTTACCGTTGACATCGCTGGCAGAAGAGGCATTCGCTTTGCCCTTGCCCTTGCCCTTCTTTACATCTGTGTTCTTCATCTTCTTCTGATCAACAGGCAATACCTCCCAACCAGCCACTTTCCTAACACACTCCTCCCCTCTCTCCATATCAAACTCAAAGATGCTTTGACGATCAACCATCCACAACTCACGCACGCCATGCTCCTCGGCGCACTTCCAGGCCGCGAAGATCTGCCAAAGGCTACGCATCGGGACAGTCTGCTCGCGCGACACGCCCAGCAGGCCTTTGATGGGCGAGTTAGTCTTGCCCGTGCACATGGCCCATATATCCTTGTGCTTAGCGGCTAAGTTAATGGGCTCGCCGTTGGTGTCGTGGATGGGCTTGGAGACGAAATCGTCGGGGCGCTGCCAGCGCGAGGGCTGGAGGCGTTGTTGGGGTTCAAGGACCTCGGGTAGGTCCGGGACGCCAATGTGTTTCCCCAGGGAAATGGCGGAGCCTGATGATGATTCTGATAAGGTTGGGGAGGGCATAGGCTGGGGATGAGGTAGGTTGCTGCTGTTGCTTCCGATGGGAAGGGGACGATGAAAGCGAGTCATGGGACCGCCGGCGACGTCGTCTAGGGTGAAGCCGCGGGTGCCCGGGCGAGGGGGGTTCGGAATCTGGGCGAACCGGATAACTGCATCGGGATGCGTCGAGGCGTCCAATGTGACCCCTCCTACGTGCCATCCTTCTCTACCGGGGGCGTTGCTGAGGACTGGACCGCCATAGATAGGAGGGGGCTGCGAACATTCGGATTCAGGACGCGAGTAGATTGTCTGATGGCCATCTTGAGTCTGGAAGCCTCGCTCAGATTGCATTGGAGCTAGGAAGCCGGGGTTATATCCGAGGCCTTGTTGACTACCCGGGTATCCTTGGGCGAACGGTCCAACGGGGGGGTTGTTGAGGTTGGTCTGGGAAACGCCATGGCTGGGGTAGTTCAAAGCGCCATAGTGGGCGAGTTGGCCAACGGGGATAAGCTTCTCAACATGGTTATCGAAGACCAGTATTGATTCCTCGGACTCCTTTGCACCATAATGGTTGGATATATTGGCTTGAGTTGACCGATCAATTGGAATTCCGGCACTGGTGCGAGTAGGGCTATCAGTAGGCCTTCGTAATTCACCCGTTGCAATACGACGACGAGAATCGGCAACAAGACCAGAGTAAGTGCGAGTATGCTTGGACTTGACCGTAACCGGCGTCAAGGTATCGCGGTTCTTGTTCCAGGGTTCTCCGAAATGTCGGTTAATCTCGGATGAATTTCCCAATGACGCTGAGGTCGTATCGGGCTGGCTAGCAATGTTAGGGAATTGCTGTTGGACCAGATCTACCCGAGGGGGTTGCTCCATCTTGTAGTGACGAGACATGAGACTCGAATTATGGTCGACGAAATGTGAACCAGTTTCATTGAGATGGGCAGGGCCTTGCGTTATGGTCGGGTCATTACACTGTCCAGATCCAGATCCATTTCCAGCACTGGAGTTGTTGAATCCATGGAGCCTGGGGTCCAAGGGATTCAGCTGAGAGAAATCAGTGATGTCCCTAGGGTCGATATATCCCACAATTCCAGTAGGAATGTAGCTGGGCTGGTTGTTGTGTCCGGGAATCGCGTTGCTGTGAGCAGCAAACTCAACATCTTGCATCAGAGTCTCGTGAACTAGATCTCCACGCGAATTGTAGAGGTCCTCAGGATGGGCTGTAGGGGCAAAATGTGGACGTCCCGAGGTTCTCAACTTCTGAGGTCGAACCGACGTGCTTCCTTGACTCGATGGCCGGCTTAATCCTTGTTGGCTAGCAGGGCTGTACTGAGCAAAAGAGCCTCTGGGAGATGACATGGGAAGTGGAAGCTGGAGGCCATTCGTAGGACCCAAACCTTCGTTATTGATGATGTGTCGAGCACCGTCGAAGGGGTAAGGCGGATGATGTCCATACAAAGGCTCAGGTTCTATCTCTTCTACTTCAGCCGGATTCAGGAGGCGACCATTGAAGGGGTCCACTGAGTATGGTCCAAGGCGATGATGGTGCATTATAGCGTAAATATCCCGTGCTCCTGACGGCATTGGGGTAGCCAAATGTGGGATATAAGCTCCAGAGGGCGTAGGCAACTGTCCGTTTCCATTTGTGGTATCTGCTCCACGGCCAATGAAATTTGCTTTAGCAGGTGAATAAGTTTGGGGAATGTTAAATCCGGAAGACACATTTGCCTTTCCCTGGGTATCCTCTTCCCCAGAGGGAATAATTGCCTGTACTTGGGCAGGCGCAGACAGTTCAGCTGTCGGTGCTTTGGACTTCATTGCCCCAGGCTGGCCAGCTGTAGACGACTCAGCAGCATATGCTCCAGTATCATTCTTGGATTTTCTCTCATCCTTACGTATTCCGGATCGTCTCTTTGCCTTGTTTTGACCGGCGGCATATATGGCGGTGTTGGCAGCTTCAGCGAGACTCTCTGTCATTTCTTGATCCGCAGAGAATGGAGAAGCATCTGCTTCAGGGCCCATAGCCCCGCTGTTCTTCTTTGCCTCTGCTCGAGCAGCCTTGAGCGACTGGAAAGGTCCCTTTTTGGAGACATTCTTTGCCATAGGTTGGGTAGACAAGGACAACGGGACATCTCCCTTGATTATGTCGTCGAATGTTAGGAGCTCGTTCTCAGCAGATGACAAAGCAGTAGACTGATTATCCTTGGAGGAAGAGCCCTTTTGCAAGTTAGAGCCAACCTGAAATTCATCGTCATCACGAGACTCATCCTGAACAATTATCTCATCTCCACCAAGAAAGTCATATTGTTCATGCGCGGTGTAGTTGGGACGCGGTCCACGACCACCAGTGGTGTCAACACCCTCCTCAGTGTTGCTCTTTGCACGTGTGGTCACCATCTTGGCAACTTTATCTTTCAGAGATGACTTCGTAATTGTGGGCTTCCTATTATCAGACTTGGCGGAGAAAGTCGGCTTGTCCAGCGGTAGGGTATTCGTGGATAGCTTTCTACCCTTAGAGTCTCTAAGATCCTTCTTCTGATCTTGCTTAGAGGCTGTGTTATCAGGTCCTTGACTCTCGGTTTTGATAACAGTCACAGCGCTGCTGTCTGTGCGAATGGAAAGACTCGAGGTGGGACGTTTAGATTCAGGACAAGAAAGACGACTGACTCGACTCAGTTGTTCCTTGGTTAGGTACTCCTGAGCATCGGGAACTGCTTGAGTAATAAGAGGCTTGCCATCTGCCGAGATAGTGAGGGACTTTGATGAGCCTTTGAGTACCTTGACAGGTGCAGTCTTTGTAGGTTGCTGAATAAACTCAGGAGGTGGCTGGTACACGTTGTTGTTGGTGACGCCAAAGCCCTCCCAATGCTTCAATGCGTCCTCTCTCTGTTGACCTGAAAGGGGCAGCTCCGTTTTCAAATTGTCAACGGGCAGAATGAGAAGATGCAGCCACTCTGAAATGTTATCAGGCTTGATCAGAGGAATACAAGGCAGACGTCCCTTCTTGAAGCACAGGTCAATGAAGACCTCAACACGACGGGGCTCAGAAGGGGTCCGCTGGGGGTGGTCCGGAAGATGGATGCCGTAAAGAACCTGCGGGAACCACTCGTCTGCGTTATCCGGAGTGAACTCGGAGAAATCCCAGACAACAGGGAGGCTGCGAGAGTCTCTCAAAGTCTTAAGGTGTTGCTTTATGGCAGCCTTGGCCAGGTTTTGTGGATGATTCATGGAGTTCCGGTCATGGACTTTTCTTGTGACGATTGAAGGGCTATCATTTGCGGCACTAGAAGGCTGTGTGACGAGGTTGCTGATCGCGATTTGGTCTATAACCAGTGCACGTATGCCGTCTTGCAGAGCGACTGTCAAGCTTCGTCTCTTTTGACCTTTGGTGCTTTTGGCAGCGTTATCTGCCATGCTGATGTTAGCTTGTTGTCCAAATGGATGCGCACCTGTGAAGGTCGCGTGAAAGTATGATTGAAAGAAAACAGAATAAGCGGAGCAAGGACTGGTCCTCAATACATACCCTCGGGAGGGTCCATGATGGCAGGTAGCACTCTTCAGACCACAAATATTGGAGTCAAGGAGCAGCTGTAGGAGGTTCAAATGCAGTATGCTGGTGGTGGCTGGATGTGGTGGTGTAGCCACGACAAAAATTGGCAATCGCAAAAGTGATGGCAATGGTGATCGTAATCCCAGAACCCAGGAGTGCACACCCAAAAGCTGAGCAATGAGGAATATTCCAGAGCCTACGATTAGACCTTGAACATCTTCAAAGTAGCTGATGATTACACTGCTGGGAGTGTCCAGGAACAAGTGGTGATGTACAGTAGAGGTTGTGAGGACTTCTGGGGTGAAGAAAGGTGAAGATGGGAATGATTCAAGAAGGGTCACCGCAAGAGATGTTTTTGAATTGGCCTTGTGCGGCATGGGCAAGTGCCGCAGATTGAGTGCGGCTTGGGATGAGTCGCAGCGGGTGATTGTAGCTCAAAGAGGTCTGAGGAGACTATCCCCAACTTGGCCGGCGCAGGCTGCACATAGCTCGGTGGGGAACAGCAAGTTGGTGATATAGGGGTATCCAAAGGCAGTCGGCAGCATTTCTGATAAGATAAGGAATATTGGCGGCCCAAGAATATGGTGTTATCCCGGTTCGCGCTCTTCCGGTGCATTGATGGCTTCAGTGAAGAACAGATTGGTTATACCGTACTCTGTAAGCTGGAGGTGTGTCTGCCATAAAAGGCCTGGGTGTAAGGTCCATGGCAATGTGAATGATGGCAAGTTTCTGAACCTGATACCATAGGCATCTTAGACCATGACCAATTTGCCAGCGATTATGGCAATATGGTGAATAATCTGAAGAGCTGATGTTCCCTATCGGGGAACATGGACAGAGTAAAGGGCTCATGGTCATTGGAGATGCTGGTGAAGTTGACATGGTGCCTTGATCAGAGTGACAGCGGCCGGTGCCAGCACAAAGAATGGCAGGCAATAATGCCAAGTAGACAATTGTGCACAAAATGTGCAGAAAGGAACATAGTTGAAAGGTCGGCTTACCTCAACCTGCGGAGCAAGAGCATAATGCTTGTTCTGACTTGGCCGGAGGAGTTGCGCTTCTTCGCAGTTCCAGCTTGCAAGACTTGGCTTAAAATCTTGTGCTTTGTTGCGGTGGAATACTGTTTGAGGCAAATTTGTCAGAATATTTTCTTGTGAATAGGAAAGGTTGGTTATAGGTGTTGCGCTGGGTTTAAGGTGGGTGCGGCTGGTGCAGGGTGTGGACCGCGTGATTCGCTGTTGAGCCCGCGGGTCCGCCAGATGCGGTAGGATGAACGCGGATCCGCGGCTCGACTAGCCTAGGAAAGAACGAAGATGGGTATACCGGAGACTGAACGTGTTTCGTAGATGACTGGGAAATGTGTTGCAACAGCTCAACTTGCCTCTGCGATGACTGAGCATGCTGCTGCAACGACTATGGGTGTCGCAGAGTCAAGACAGAGTGTCTTTTTGGCCTTGGACTTTTCTGGGCAAAGGTAGAGTGGAAAAGATCGAGTGCGGCGGGGAAACAAGTCAAATCGTTGTGTTGGACAGAAGCACAGGCGGTATAGATTGACGAAGAGGCTGGAAATGAACGAGAGATCAGAAGTATCATGGGAGGACCTACCTCGATGATACTGTAGACTTGTTCAACGATCGATCGCGTCTCTGTAGATCTGGAGGAAAGATGAAGTCAGTGAGTCGTTCTGCTCGCAGCAATGGAAGAAGCATGGATATTCTTAACTTGATGGGACTGGAGATTGGTGTTTGTTGGAGAGGATAGAGAGCACAGTTGCAAGTTCTGGAAGAAGAGAAGACTTACTCCGTAGATTGTGCAGAAGATCAAGAGAAGAATCGAAGTTCCTACCTCGATGGATTTGGCGGTTATCAAGACAACGCAGGCGCAGATATCAAGACTGGAAGCTGATACGAATCAGGCGAAGAATACTTGAACTTGGTAGCAGCAGGATCCTCACCTCGATGGGATTGCGCTCTGGGAAGTCGAGGCAAGCGCACTTGCGTAGTCTGGGGGAAGAAATAGATTAGGGAATCGATCCGTTAGAAAACCAGTGGCATCATGCAAAGCCCTACCTTGACTCGATTGGGATTTAAGTGAGCGCAGTTGTGGAGTCTGCAGTTAGGGAAATGGATGATTTGGTTAAGGAAAAGGGCAGTGTGCGTTGGCGGATTGGTGTTTTTCTACGCAACGCAGAGGGGAGCTTCTGCAGCCATTAGAAGCAGGGCTCCCGCACAAGTCAGAAGAGTAGCCCCGTAATTAATTGTCACCTGCCGCAGTGTCCGCGTTCAGTCATATGCCATGCTGAACTTCAGAGACTTCCTTGTAGGCGGTATCTATTCTTTTTACATAGACGAGGACAGTTATTCCAAGCTAGAGAGTCCAATAGCACGTAATTTCGATATAGAAGGACCTTTCGCTTCATTGCAGTCGGTAGAACTGAACCGCATCCACGGGATCTGGTGACGAGCTGCCCGCTGTGGAATTTTCAGCCTCCGAGAGGCTGCTCTGGCGACGCAAGACATGGAGATAAACAGTCTTACCTTCGCCCAGGCAAAGGGGAGGAAGGAATGCAGCCACTGTGTATTGAAGCCGAGGGCAGCGTCTTCTGTCCGTTTGGAAGCACTGGGCTCTTGATGGGACAGAGGTTAACATTCATCACTTTGAGCCAGGAAAGTTGAAGGAATGAGGCTCGCATATTCCACCTAGAAATCTTACACGCAGGGAATAATTCATGAGCTTTGTGCATCATTAGTGGTAGCTAGATTTGGTAATGGTATTCTATAGGAAGACTCAAGTTCCGTGATAGAATCAAAGCAGCCCGCTATTTTCCACTCGAGGATGAAACCTGCAGCATTTTCCAGCTCTGTAGCATCCCATTTACCTTGCCTTCAGGAGGGAAGGGTGCAATCTGGCATGACACATATTATGCTTCGATACTAGAGTGGATGTAGGGAATGATCTGGTCGGGGCGGACTAGAGAAACTCGCGAGAACCTTTGGTCGTTGAAGAACATGCATTTATGAAGACATTTCCAAGAATTGAGCTTCACTCAAGATGGCAGGGAATGTGCTGACTATCAATATTATAAGGTTCAGCTCAAGAAATACTGCGAATTGCGTCGACACGTATCGACAAGCTCGCCGGTTCAGATATCCGTTGATCAATAATGACACCCATGGGGCTCACTGCAGCAAATCTGACGAGGGGTGATCGCGAAGCAAAGGTACAAGGGATATTTATTCACCAAATTGCTGGCTCTATCATAAATGATTTCCATGTGAACCGCTGGTCACTGTGATGCGGTCCAGAGATGGAAATAGCAAAGTAGATTTCGTAGATTGCATTTCCAGTCCACACACTGTGGTTGAGAAAATCTAAGAAGACACACAATTCGCAATATTTAGGGTCAAAGTCGGAAATATTCCTGGCAGATAGGCCAAGGGTCGGACTCACCTCACCAATTTAACCTGGTGAGCAAGGGTTGGCGTGGATTATCACCAATACCCTCACCATTCTCCAGACTTTGGTTGCTAACGCTAACCTCAGAGGCCCTAGTTAGGCAACCTGGTTGGGTTATGGTTGCCAAAGCTCAAATCGTTATTTGGACCGTGCTGGGTGGCCCTTTAAGCCCTATTTTGGGGTAATTTGAACGTGTTAGAGGTCTCTGCTAGGCCTGTAGGACTCCCTATAAGACTTGTTTGCTTGAAAATCTCTGCAAAACGGCCGGTACTCTAAATTTCGCTGTCATCTTGGTATTCCTCTGTCGTTTAATCCGCTGCCTTTGTAATATGGAGAGTCTAATCGCTTCTACAACGCCGACACCAGTATTATCGCCATCTCGCCAGGCCTCGGCTGACTCCTATGCCCCCGGAGGCTCAAGGGCACATTTTTCAGTGTTTCCGTAGCTTTACCTTCTCCGAGCGCGGTAGGTCTGTATCCTCGTGTATAGTCCTATGGCCATGATGTCCAGAGGGATATGAATGTGAGCGGTTATTTTCATCTATCGGTAGAATGGTCACTTCACAGCGGCCAAACCTTGAAGCCGGTATCATAGGCATGTGCCAGACACTACAAAGTTGGTACAGAGCCGGCTTAATAGGCCAGCTGGATACTCTGCTTGGGGCTCTGATGACTGATGCGACCATGGAACATAACTGGCTGGATGAACCGCACGACGCTACAGAGGAGGCCATGGCCAACTCCGCCAGCATGTTCCCAGGAGACGGCGTCGGCGAGGTTGGCGATAGCTTCATTTCTTAGCAGTAATTCTAACCATAAAGCCACCAAAATCACCTAACGTAACCAGTGTTTTGCTTACAAATATGCTCACCCACCAACCAAGGGGGGTTCGTGAGGTTGGTGAGGTTAGTCCGACCCTTATCAGAAGGGCATGGTCGAAAGTGTCGAGATGAACCATGACTTCCAAATTCCGAAAATATGTCAAGATAAAGACAGGATCTGCAGACCTTTATTTTCACAGTGTTTCAAATTTCCGCTTCCTTGCCACCTGTTGTCCATTTGTTGGTTCCCAGCCAGAAACCTCTGAACTTGATATTCGGTAGCACCATCAGATGTAGAGTACATGCGGTTAGCTCAAAAAAGCAATGCTATAATGGTAAACCGCAGGAAGGACCGCTGGCGATGTCAATATTTCGGGCTATGCATGCGGGTATCACATTTGAAGTCGACATTCGTGGTTTGGGCTTTCAGACCAAAGGGGGATAATGTAAAGTTTACTTATGACTGGCGTTCTGGGCATTGAACCCAGTTTTGTTCTTTCGCAGGTTACAAGGAAATGGCACACTCTTACCTTCTCAGATATAATGAATCCAACCGATCCAACAGGGAAAGCACGGGTTAATAGAAGTTCCGGCCCTGACCTGTCGAGGCCACAAACAGCTAACCTGCTGTCAAAGGAAACAATGTGACATGTCTCCAAAGCCATGCCAGGTCAAAACAGCAGAACACTTAGGCTCAAGCGAATCACTGGAA